ATTTACCTAATACTTAATACCTAAGTCTGCAAATGTGTTGCCCTAATTATTGAGAGTTGTTTCAAGAAGATAAAAGTCTTGGCTAGTCAAGCAAGGCCAAAATAAATGCTATAGATTCAGGTCGGACCTTGGTTGGCCTAGAAAATTTGGAGAATCTGGCCAAGGAAGGCCAAAACCATGGCCTGGAGCTGGCTTCGACCTGGCCAGTTCTTTTTGGTAAACCTTTACATCTAAACGTGTATTTAAAGCAGGTTCTATCTAAAGCTCTAAAGCTAAAGCTGGGCAGACACTTACTATTGATCTATAATCTATAATCCTGTGATAATCTCGTTATAATTATAATCAGATCTATAAACCTTTTATAATCCTGTTATAATCCTGTTATGATTATAAATAGGTCTATAATCCTATTATAATGAAAGTAAGTGTCTGAAACCAGCTTTAGATAGATTAGATGTTTAGTTTAGATGTAAAGGTTTACCATTATTTTTATTTTGATTAGTTTAGGTCTAAATTTACGCACAGCCCTTCATTTTGATACCTTGAATAGGGGAAAACGGTTGACCACTTGTCGAAAATGATCGGCATCGGTTTCAGTCCATCCACGAGACTCCTAAATTACTCATTTGATTGCTAAGAACGAATTTGTTGTAAAAATCTCAAGTTTTTACAACAAACCTGTTCTGGATTAGACTCGAGAAGGAAACCAGTTGGGTTAATACCTCCCAGACAGCAATGAATTGTTTGCCATGGATGATAGTAGAAATTTTCCTAAATTTTTAAAAGGTTAGCTTGTAACATTTAATATTAGCTCACCGGCATTTCAGCTAAACAAATTGGATCGACCCATTCTGTTTTCCCTTCATCAATATATCGAACTTCAACCAATGAAAAATTAACCTGAAATTTTGAAATTTATGCAACCTTTTTTACTTTTTCTGTCCTTTTTTGGAGTTTCCTTTTTACTCTTTTTGGTGTCTTTTGTGGCAAATTTAGGAAATAGTCATTGTCAGATCAAAAATTGACTGCTTAAAACCCATGAACTTATCCAACAGGACCTTTTTTGCCTGTTTTGTCTTTGGCTTTAGCATTTTGAGATTGGCCAGAGCTGGCCTGAGCCTAAAACCACTTTTCAGGAGAAACCAATCTTTAGATTTTTTCTCAGTTTGTCTTTTAAACTGCAGGACTTGATCGATTAAACCAAGAAAATTGAGAACCAAACAAGCTGGCTTTTCAGCTCTCCAATTCTTGGTTAGTGACTTCTGTTCAACTTACATCAATGATCCTTGCTCTTCCGTATTGCCTGACAATCTCATCATCTACAAGCAAATCTTCAAGTGGAGCCATGCAATAGTAACCCAATAAACTATCATTTGTCATTTCAGAGCTCAACGGCATTAGTGGCAGTCTGGAAACTTGATTTTCAAATCTTAAATTAAACTCACTCAGATGGCTCTTTTAAAATTAGATCATTAGTGGTCCTCATTTTAGAGTCAACTTTAACTCACAGCCAAATCTACTGCCATAGCCGACTGGCTAAGAACCTTGTATCTTAGTCAAGAGGTTCAAAGGTTCAGGGTTCAATTCCTCGGCTAGATTATTGGTTCTTTTTTCCCATTTATGAGTTTTTTCCTATATTTAGAATTTGGGGGTTGTGCTTATGTATTGTTTGTACTAAATTATTTCTGTGAATAAATGTATACCATATTTTCTCTAATAGTAGTGCACCTTGAGCGTCGCCTTAATTCCCCGAAATCTCGAGAACAGCTTATCAAGACCTATCGATGTGGAATCGAAAAATGTACCTGCCGATGGGATCTAGTAGGGGATTAGAGTGTTGGGCTTCTGCAAAAGCTTGGAAACCGTAAAATAGTCATCAACTCGGCTCGCCGGGGTGCACTACTATTAGAGAAAATACGGTATATTTGGAATGAACATAAAGTTCTGCGTCGAATAGTATAGGTTGCATAGCATTTGACCGGCTCAACCTTTCCTTGTCCATGAAATATCTTCGCCATCTACCGCATTCTCTCTAATAGTAGTGCACTTTGAGCGTCGCCTAAACTCCTCGAAATCTCGAGAACCACTTGTCAGAACCTATCGATGTGGGGTCGCAAAATGTAGCTGAGGATGAGATCTTGTGGAGGATTAGAGTGTTGAGCTTCTGCAAAAGCTTGGAAACCGTAAAATCGTCACCAACTCGGCTCGCCGAGGTGCACTACTATTAGAGAAAATACGGTATTTAAAAAAACTCACTCAGATGGTTCTCTTAAGATTAGATCATCAGTGATGTGATTCTTTGGTTGAACAAAGAACGAGCTGGGGCTTTCGATATGTGAAATGATGACTGTGGCTGAGCTGATCAACGGGATTCGATTGATCTGAAAATAAATGATTCGTATTGTTTATTTGTTGACTAGTAATCTTTATAATTTGTGCCTTATTTATGAAATTCATTACTTTTTGTCACATTATAGCATAAAAGTAATGATTTCAGTATGTTAAAGAAAAATAGCATAACAATTACTTGTTCTACGATCTTATCCTACCTATTGATACAGCTATAATAAGTATTAAACCTATATTTGTATTTAATTGTTAATATTTTGGTAAAAATAAGCTCAAATTCTTACTTTATTATATTGCTTTCCATTTCGAACCATTTGCGTTTCCGATTTGTTTTTTTTACAAGATTCTAACTTCGGACTACGCGATCGTTCAGGCATTTTTACTAAAATTTTTCAAAATAAATATAAACTTGTAAAGATACTGAATATACTTGATGAAAAGTTATAGAAAAACGAAAATGAATTGTTGTAAACAATTACGTTTGCAATTTTTTGCTTATGCTATGAAATAGAGAGCAAAAGAGAGAAACAGGCCGATTTTGGCTACAAACTACAAACCCATTGCCTCGGGAAAGACTTCCAAGAAAAAGAAACAGAAAAATGTACAAAGTTATAGAGCTTTATGTTTTTAGCTTTAAGTTTTTCAAAGCCTTTTTAGGCTTAAGGCTTTGCATTATCAATGGCAATGATGAGGCTCAAACCCAAGGAAATATTTGACAAAAGCTTGTAGTACTACTTTAAGAGGATCCTTCTGCAGCTGAATTTGTACTCAAAGGATTGTAACTACTTACCACTAAACATTTATTGAATCAAACACTTTGAAGAGTTTACATGTAGTGATTTGGACTCGGCAACATGTTTTCTGCAAAATAAATTAACAAAAAACAAAGTTGGTCAAATTTGGACATACCGTAGTCTCTCTAATCTCTCAGTCGAGCCGAGTTGGTGACTATTTTACGGTTTTCAAGCTTTTGCAGAAGCTCAACACTCTAATCCCCCCCTAGATCTCATCGTCAGCTACATTTTTCGACCCCACATCGATAGGTTCTGATAAGCGGTTTTCGAGATTTCGAGGAATTAAAACGACGCTCAGGGTGCACGAATATTAGAGAGAATACGGTACTAACTAACTACGAAACTAACTTATACTGAAACTATGAAATATGAGTCGAAATCTGGTGCATCTTATAGTTTTAGATACTGATTCTTTGAGCAACTTTAGGTTGTAGATTAGATGTTTTTCCCTGATTATTTCCTAGTAGTGCACCAGTGCAGCCGAGTTAATCACTATTTTACGGTTTCCAAGTTTCCCCAGAAGCTCAACACTCAAATCCCCCACAAGATCTCATCCTCAGCTACATTTTTCGACACCACATCGATAGGTTTTGATAAGCGGTTTTTGAGATTTCGAGGAATTTAGACGAAACTCAAAGTGCACTACTATTAGCGATAGCTAATTTTTTTCTAAATGATACTAAAAGTTTTAGAATTGGTTTAAGGAAAGCTGAACGTATTTTGCCAACTTTGCCAAAAGGCAAAAGTGAGATCCGGTCGGATTGATCGGATCGCATGTCTACGATGCACACTTCAATCTACAGAATACTCAATAATTACCCGGGCTCGGGATTTTAAGTGTAACTCAACGCTCAAATCTGCAATCATCTCACGCTTTGTTTTAATAGAAAATTTAAATATTTTTCTACAGGGGATTCTTAGGTTTGATGAAAAAAACTTTTCCTGCCTTTTTTTTGATCTATTTGCGCAGATCACAACCTGCTTCCACATTTCTCTATCCCTTGCTATTGTCATCCAGTGTTTCCTAGCTTGATTGTTCCTGGTTCGAAGTCTTCGACTTGCTGGTGCTGATGGTGGTTGCACTCTAGCCATCCTTTCTCTGACCGTCTCTGCCACTCTTGTGCTCCACCTCGTTGCCGGTCTTCCGATGGGCCTCTTCAGGTCTCGTGGTAGCCACTCTGTGATCCGTATCGTCCATCTGTCGTCTGTTCTTCTGGCTACGTGGCCGGCCCATCTGAGTCTTTCTCTCTCAATCACTTCCACTGGATCTCTGAGTTCCGAGAGCTGGCGCATATCCGTACTTCTTAGGTCTTGGTCGAGCTGCGTCTTCCTATTGTACCCGAGGAGGTTCCTTTCAAGGGCTCGATGCGTCGTTCTCAGGGGTCGTTCAGCGGTCTGTGTCGTGGCCCAGGTCTCTGTCCCGTAGCGGAGTGCCGGGAGGACAGTGCTGCCGAAGAGGTGTGTCGAAGAGGAAGAGTTCTCTGATGATTCTTGAGCTCTAAGTTTTGATTAATTATTGAACACTCTGTAGACAAAGATTTCCCTTCAAAAAGTACTAATTTCTCATCAAATCCCAGCGGATTCAAAGTAAAACGAGCCAATCTGTAGTCAAGATGAAAAAGTCTGCAAAAACAATGTATTGAAATTTCGGTTCCAAAAAGAACACCATTTGTAAAGATTGATTTCAAAACTTTACTGTAAAATTTATTCTTAAATTTGAATTTAAACTTTTCATGAGTCAACACGGAGCTCTCGTGCATCCAGCTTTTCTTGAAGAATATTTTCCTGTATTCCAGGTAAATTTTTAATTATTATTAGCTGATTATTAGCTATGTTTTTCAATATTTAGATCATTGAATGCTTCTCGTTTTTGTTATTGGAGCTTACGTTTATCCCTTATTGCTATCTCTTGTTTACAAAACGGGTAAATAAAGGGCAAAGTGTTTGAATAAATCAATCAAGCAATCTTATGGCTTTGTATTTTTTAGAAGATACGTTAGAACTATTAGGTTGATGCATAAGTCTTTTCGTTCCTTTTCGTCTGCCGTTTCAAGCCAGCAAATGCACCAATTAAACTACGGTTGATTTCATTAGAAAAACCAATTATTTTTCTGCAAAATAACATTAAAACGGGTTTAAAAATATTTTATGCCTGGATTTTCTTGAGAGTATGAAGTCGGGTAGTCAAAAAGGGCTAACTCGATGATGCGGTTTAGACACCTTAGCTAAAGAAAACCTATCTTCGTGTCAATAGATAAAAGATAGAGAAAAAAACGTTTGATATTTCGCCAAAATTTCAGAGAAATTCATTCAGCCAATTTTTCCGTAGAGTTTTTTATAGATTTTTACGAAAAAGGCGTTTTTCACTCTCGAATTTGCTTGAAAGTGAACCGAAATTGATTTAAAAAGATGCAAATTGAACAAAAAAACACTTTTTTATAGAGCAAACTATAGATTAATTGGTGAATTTGTTACTTTTTAACAGAAGTACGAAAAAAACGAAAAGACTTATGCATCAACCTAATAAATCGAACACTGGTTTTCTATCCAAAAACCTTGTAATCTAACTTTGAGCTCAAATACCTTGGTGTTGGGCTGTTTAATTTACATGTTCTTTGTATCATTGGATGCGCCAAGTCATTCTCTATTGATTGGTACAAAAGCTATTTAAATCTGACAGTCCAGCACCAAGGAGCTTAAAGTTAAATTGCCAATGGCAAAGGGGGCGCGGCGTGTCAGATGTCCGTCGCCCCGCCCCTTTTGCCATTGGCAATCTAACTTTGAGCCCACGTATCTTGGTGTTGAGCTGTTCAACTTAAATAGTTTTTCTGCCAATCGACAGAGAAAGACTTGGCAAATCCAATGATACCAAGAACATTTAAATTGAACAGCCCAACACCAAGATATTTGAGCTCAAAGATAGATTGCCAATGGCAAAAGGCACGGGGATTATCAAATGTCCAATAGCCTTTTGGGAATGCGTCTACCGTGGCACGCAAGTAGGTAATGTCTGCCCAATCCTACTGCAGGACTTTCTTCAAAGAATCGATGCTTTTATGAACGAGATTTTATCTCAAGGACTGTCTAAGCAGAAAAATCCATTTGATTGAGATCCAGCGAGCTGGGTGGCCATTGAGCAAACACGATAAAGTCTGGGAAGTTCTGTCGGCACCGATCTTGGACAAAACAAACCTTATGGGCAAAAGCTCCATCCTGTTGGAATGTCCAATGTCGACAAAACAACAAAAATCCCAAGGAAATATGCAAAAAAAAACTTGAAGAATGTTATGAATAATTATGACGCACCCGGTAGCTTTGCATATTGGTACTGGTACTAGTATCGGTAGTGAGACTTTAGCGATATTTGCATAGCTAATAAAGAAGTGAAGGAATTGGCAAGAAAAGGTAGATTTCTGGAGTGGTGATTGAACACTCGACCCCTTGCTTTCCAGGCCATTGCTCTAACCATTGAGCTATTTGGTACCTTAATTTGCTAAGAGAAAGAGGGAAAGACAAGGGGAAGAAGAAAAGAAGAAAGAAAAGAAGAAAGAAAGAAGGAAATATTTGGGTCTTTAGAACTGGGCCTACTTGAAAATCAAAACCACGTCTATTAGTACTAAAGAAGTGAAGGAATTGACAAGAAAAGATTTCCGGAAAGGACCAAGTCTTAATCCAAGTCTAATACTTAATTTTAGACAATTGATTGTTGCTTTAACCGTTGGAGACAAATGATAAATCTACATTTGATCAATTCCTTTCAGGTTTTCCATCCAAACCTCACCACTCTCCTCCTCTCTCAACCATTTGTACTCTCTTTATCGACTCTAATTCGACTCATTCGTCACATTCTACAAACATTTGATCTCCTTGATGGAGTTATGTTTCAAATGATTTCTTTTGTTTCTGAGTCAAGTACGTTTTAACTAAGATCTCTAGAGATTTCAGTCAAGTTTTCAGTAAATGAGTAATCAGTAAAGTATTGAAATTTTAGTGATCGGTGTCTCACTGCATATGACAATTGGATACGCGATTGAGCGATATATAGCAATGAAAAATTTAGAAACATATGAGCAAAAGTATTCAAATAATCGACTCAGTCTTTGGTTGTTGACTTCAACGGTGAGCTTGACTATGAGTATTACTGTAAGCACTGTACTCACTATAGTATCCCTAACTAGTACTACCTGAAGTACTGTGTTGCTTTATTTGCTATAATAGTACTATGTTTTATTATAAAATTGATTCTTTTGCAAATAATGAAAGACTTTCAGCTCACTAGTGTCTTGTTTGAGGCGACAATTTTCTACTGGCGCATTCTGCCGGATTGGCTTCCATTTGTTGCTGCTTATACGATTTCTTTTATCGGCGTCTTGGTATGAGTTTTTATTTGAAAAATAGACATTCCAATAACAGCTAGATCATTTTGACAACGATGCAACGATAGTCTAGACCTTAGATTATACAGGATACGACGAAACTTCTGTTCTTTTTAAATCCTCGATTTGAATATCTAATTGTTATTATTTTATAAGTGTTTATACTCAAAAGATACCCAATTTTTCACAGAATTGAAAGCTTATTACCTTTTTTAAATAGCTTTGAGTTATCACAATTTGCCTGAGCTCTGTACCAGTTATTAGTGTTACCAGTATAAAAAAATCTGTCAAACTTAGAGCTTAGATGATTAGGAGTATTCAAAAAAAATTGTTTATCAGTTTCAAACTAAAATACAACAATAGTTTTCAAGTTTAATTATTGCAACGAAAAAGCGCAAAAATGTATGCAAGCAGAGATACTTTCGAAGAGCACAGAGTAACGATAACTTAAAATCTAAAAAAGTTATTTAAAAAATGTAATAAGATTTAAATTCTGTAAAAGATTGGCTATATTTTGGCTATAAACACTTATGGAATAAAATCAATCAGAGAATTTTAAAGAGAATTCTAAAAAGGACAGAACTTTCGCCGGATCCTGTAGAAGAATACGGTAACTTTTAACATCCTTTACCTCGATCCTTTAAAGGAAAATGCTTGAAAAACTAAAGCATTTCGTTTCCTTGATAAAAACCGGAAAAGTACAGTAGCTTTTAGCATCTTTTACATCAATTTTACCTCTTTTACACTGGATTACTGTAGCAATAAAGTTAAGCTCTCATTTTCGATAAAAGTAGAGTAGAAGTACGGTAGTTTTTTTCTTAAAAACATCTTTTACAAAGTTTTTTATCCATCAGCACACAGTTTAAGAAAGTCTGATCAGCTAGATCAGTTAGAAAAGCACAGTCTGATCTGTTGAAACGTGTCGTTCATCGTGTGCGACCAGAGATACTTTCGAAGAGCACAGAATAACGATAACTCAAAATCTAAAAAAGTTATTTTAAAAATGTAATAAGATTTAAATTCTGTAAAAGATTGGCTATCTTTTGGCTATAAACACTTATGAAATAAAATCAATCAGAGAATTTTAAAGAGAATTCTAAAAAGGACAGAACTTTCGCCTGTATTGCAACCAATATTTTTTAAGGATAGAAACCGATAAAAGAGAAATCAACTCAAAAACTTTAACAATTGATTTTTAAAGATATATTAAATAAGAAAAACTTTTGAAAAGATCTCTATGAGCAGAAATGGAAGCCGGGTGACATTTGGGAAATAAATCCAATGTGGCTAAGCGAGATCGAGTTTATTAATGCTTATTGAAGAGATTTCTTCATCGAATTGATGCTGGAATACGGTTTTGAGAACATTTTTGCTTTAAGAACATTCCAAACATTGAAATCCATCTGATTAGGATCGGGACTTGAGGGTGGCCACTAAAGGTGGCCAAACCGGGAATGCTGTCCTGAACCACTCGAGACTTGTGAGTATATCATCCTACATAAAACACCAAATCCTGTTGCCAGAGTGATTTTTGGCTCACGGAAGAAGAGCTTTCTTAAGCATGTCGAGATAGTTGTTGAAACTAACATTGTGGCGGTTCTAATAATCCTGTGGCGGTTGTAATAATCCTGCTGCACCTGCTGCACCTAATAATCCTACTGCACCTAATAATCCTGCTGCACCTAATAATCCTGCTGCACTTAGGTAGCTTTCGACTTCTATTGCCCCAATTCCCTACTGAAATAGAAAACAATTCCCTTAGATTTACCAAATAACATCCAATCCATTTATTTAGTGATTTTCTAAAGCTTTGTTTTTTCTTAAACTTTAAAATTCAGTTCTTTATCAAGCTTCACTTTGTGTGCAAAGAGCGATATTATTTAGTTTTCAACGAAAGACATGCCACTGTTGAAGCCAGGTGAGAGATTAGATGCTAAATTTGCTATCGATTTGGTGATAAATCGCTTAGAATTCATTTACCTCAATGTTCGCATCTCTTCAGATACAACACTCAAGAGAATTTCAAAGCCTCTCACCTACTTCTCTACCTGGCTCCCTATAAATGTCTCACTTCAATTCTCTTAGTGGCTTTTTATGAGATTTTTGTCGAATATTCACTGTTTACGCAAACTTTTTATTCTTATATCTTTTTTTATTTGATTCAATTACAAGTAAAAGCATCTCATTGAAGTTTATTTTTATTTTTAGATCGCTTTCCAAATGTGGATGACAATATTTTTGGAGCCATCATTGAAGAAAAGATTTCTAAGCCTGTTTAGAAAAGCTGTAAGTGTTGAATTTTACATTTTAAAGCTTTTTTTTTCATTAACTGAATATCTTTAGCCTATTACAAGCAATGGAGATTTACGCAACGTTCTCGGGAAGAAAATCAAGTACAATAATGTTGACGAATCAAATCTCTACTTTAAACAATTGGAACAAATGTGGAATTGAATGGGGAAATGGATTTTAAAGAGTTTTAATAAAAGAAGCTTTTCTTTAAAAGGTTTTGTGATTGATATGAAAACTTTCAAGAACTTGCAACCAAAAGCAACCAAAAGTTGCTCTCAATATGAATCCAAAAGAAGTTTTCAAAATCTCCGAATGTCCAATGTAAATCCAAATCCAATCCAATCCAAATTCATAAAGAACTTGCTATTTTTGAAACCCAGTTACTATAAAATATTGATAATCTATTCATTGTCAGCTATTTTTCAAATTGATACATTTATTCTAAGAACATTTACATCAAATAATTGAGAACTGAATTCGAAAACTTATTCGAAGTGAAATCGAAAACTTCGAGAACTAAAAAGGCTACTGGATTGGAATAAAACAAACAAACAAACAGTTTTGGTTCAAAAATAAAAGCTTATTCAATTCAAACCAATCACTAAGCCAAAGCATCTCAAAATCTTAAATCAAAACATCAAAGCATCTCACTCAATCACTAAGCCAAGGCATCTCAAAATCTTAAATCAAAGCATCTCACTCAATCACTAAACCAAAGCATCTTAAAAAGCAACTCTAATCTTTGCTTTTAATTAAAGTTTTACTTTTGAAATGAAACTTTTTTGAATTTGTTTTATTTTGATTGTGATGATCAGTCTTACAAAAGCGGTGTTTTTTTTCTTCTTTATTCGATTATCAATTCAATTTCCACCATCTTCAATTCTTGTTTGGTACCAAACGCCGCCTCAAAGCATATCCATGATTTAGATTAGATTTAATAAGATTTAGATAGCTTAGAACGTTACCTTTCAGAAACTATTTGTTTCAGCAAAAGTTATTAACAAAAACCTATCTAAAATCGGGCCGCAAAATGGTCAAAAACTGCTCCTTCCCCCCGATATCGGAACGACAAATTCGAAACTGGTTTGAGTGTTTTTGAAATGGAAATGTGAATCTAGAAAACGAGGAACGAGGACATCCCCAAAGGTGCTCGACCAGGAAGACCTTCGTACTGTCGTTGAGGACAACCCCAGTTCAACAACTCGAATGCTGCTGCTATGCTGCCGATATGTTTCGCAAATCTCATAAAACAATTGAAAAACATTTGCATGACATGGAGAAAAGTAATCGCGCCGGAAAATAGATTCTTCACGGCTTGGGTGATGTGAACAAAGCTCGAACAAAGAACTCGAATAACTCTCTCGGGAATCCTTCTCAACAAATCAAAGTATAGTGGTTTTTGGGATTTGATTTTGACTTCCGATGAAAAGTGAATCCACTACGATAATACTAGCAGAAAAAGACAGTGGTTAGGACCAGGAAAAGCACCGAAAACGACGCTAAAATCCGACTTACATCGAAAAAAGGTGAGGCTTTGTGTCTGGTGGAATTCCAAAGGACTTGTACATTTCGAGGTTCTAAATCTTGGTGATACTTTTACAGGACTAGTCTACGGTCAACGATTGGAAAGGGTCGATTGTGACTTACGTGTTCGAGGCATTGAACCATCGACGATACAGTTACCTTCAAGTTATCGTCTTCGTCGTCGTTCGTTCGTTCTCAAATGGCAAAGATCACCCGAGAAAATTTTGGTCATACAAACAAATTTGCAATGTAGAAACATCGATTTAAATATTTTTTTTTGAAAAACTGTGATCTTTGCTTGTGAAAATCTCCATTGACTACTTGATTTTGAGAAAAAAAAGGTAAATTTTTGTTCATCCTATGCAACAATAGGACTGGATTACCCATTTTCCTCATTTTTTCGTTTCTTTGGTTCTTGGATTTGAAAATTTGAAACAATTCTTGATTAACAGACACGTCAATAGCTAAATATTTTAAAGTCTTTGAAAATTTAACCATCACTTCTAGATGAAACGATTTCCACTTTAATTTCCGATTTCCACTTTCCACTTCAACGATATAGTTGGCTTCAAAACTCTATTGGGGCCTCAAAACTCTATTGGGGCCTCAAGACTCTATTGGGGCCTCAAAAAGCTATTGAGATTAAAGAGCCAAGCCGATAATTATCGGGTTGTCTCTTTAATCAATGGTTTAAACCAATAATAAATAAAAAACTTTGAAAAACTTATTTTGAAATTTGACTGTTTTTGAGCTAGCTTACTTCTCATTTCTTTTATTTGTTCATGACGTAGGGTTTTGGATAAACGAAAAACCCAATGAACTCGTCAAGCTAAAAGTTGGTTCATTTTTTTCAATAAATAACTTTAAAGGTTCTGCTTTTACTGTTGTAGGGTCATTTATTTCAGACTACGTTTGTAGATCAAATCAAAGCTGTTTCAAGTGTCCAGCTAGCAAAACCCACAGTCTGTAAATCAGTCCAAGCAAAACCAAGTCAAGCAGATCAACACCAACACCAACACCAGGCTTAGATCTAGCTTTTGTTGTGGTCAGGTCTACACAGTAAAGCTAGACCAGCTTAGGCTAGGCCTAGCTCTTTTTTTTGTCAGATCTAGTTCGCCAGAAGCCAGATAGGGTCAGATTTCGCTAAATCTAGCAAAATTTACTAGTTTCACCCAAAAATTCGCAATTTTGGACGAATAACTTCTTTAAAATTTGAAATTTTTCCCATTTTGTTTGTCTTTTTAGAAACTAGATGCAATTCTGCGTTTACACATATATAAATTTTGATTTGATTTTGATTTTGATTTTGATTTGTTTGAACACAATTATTTTGATTAGATAATATTGGATTGGTGAATTGAAAACTGCCGGCTAATGTCATCTGTGACAGTTTGAGCACTTTCTTCAAAAGAAACCCATTTTGGTATCAATGGAAAAGTTGTAGAGAATCAAAAATTAAGCTTATATCCAGATTTTCAGAACGATTCAAAAACTGATTTTCAAGAAATGTCAAATTTACGAATTTTCACATAACTTGCAACAAAACTTGCATTTTAAGTGAAACTACTAAGTGTATCTTTTTGGAAATTTGGGTATCAGCCTAATTTCTGATTCTCTACAACTTTTCTATTGACACCAAATGGGTTTCTTCTGAAGAAAGTGCTCAAACTGGGACATCTCCAGTTCTCCATTTTTGAGTCTCACACTTGTCTCACACACAAACCAAAATCCTACTACGAAAGAGGAATCCGCAAATTGCCTGTAAAATGGGCAGAAGTCGTCAATAATAATGGAAATTATTTCAAATGAATTCATGGTTTTATGTTGAATAAATTTTAGTTCAAAGTCTCGCAGCTTCCAATTCACCAACCCAATAAAATCTACTATTGACTTTTGTTATTAAAATCATGGGTTCTGTCATACATTCTCACGCGTTTTGTGCACTCAATTTAGATTAACTTAAAATAATGTGTTTGGGATTAAGTTTAAGATATATTTAGGCTATAGTTTTGAATCAAGTGTTCCAATTCAGCTTCCAATTCACCGCAGCTTTCAATTCATCAACCCAATAGGTTGGCCAGAAAAGCTGGATAGTAGGTGCTCAATGTTTAGGATTATTTTGGTTACTAGTCTATCATCAAATCAAAAGAATTTACATATGTGCAAACGCAGAATTGCATCTAGTTTCTAAAAAAAACAAGCAGCTAACAAAGATTCAATTTTATTCAATTTTAAAGAATTTATTCGCTGAAGATTCGCGAATTTCGAGGTGAAACTCGTAAATTTTGCTCAGGAAAGTGAAATCATTTTTTCAATTCAAAAAAAAATGAATTCCTTTTCGTAATCGGTGACAATTGTCTTTTTTATTTTAATTTAATAATTCAATTCTCAAGAAATTCAAGAAATTCCGCCTTTTCTTCCGCCTTACTTAGCATTTGCTGATTGAAAATTACCCCCTTTCACCTGTCTTCTGGATTTTGGCAGAGTAAGCTTGACCAGTTTTTGTATTTGATCTTGCTAGATTGCTTTTCTAAACTTTCATTTGATTTTTGAAAGTCTTTTACTAGATTCAAAGTGTTTTAAAACATTCAAAAGCTAAATCAGCTTCGCTAAATTTGATTTTAATATCAGTTTTTGATTTGAATTATTGAATCAAACGATTTAGCTTAAATGATGAGCCAACACGGTGCTTTGATTCATCCATCGTTTTTTGAAGATTATTTTATTTATCTAATGGTAAGTTTAGTTAGAGATTTGGTTTTGTGATTGTACTGTTGCTTGAAAATGGAATTGCACTTGATTAGATCTTTAGACTCTAAGTCTTTACGATCTTTACGATCTTTACGATCTTTAGGCTCTCTTTAGAGTCCTGCTGGAATTAAGTGCACTAGTAAGTTTGTGTTTTCATTTGTTGAGCACAACGTACAATCAGTAAACGAGCTTTTTACGATAACTGAACTTTCAGCTATTAGAAGTGATCTTATTTTTTTTCTTGTTGTTAACTCTATCGATCTATTGGCATTTGCTTACGAGGAAACGGGTAAATTTCAAAAAATATTAGCCAATCTTGACTTTGACCTAAAAGTTCAGGTTTTCCATCCAAATTTGAACCTGATCCTCCTCGTGCAACCAATTTTGGTCACCATTGCCACATTGATTCGATTGCTTCGACACGCTTTGGACCTCATCGGATTCCTTGATGCCAACACTTTTCAATTGTTTTCGTTTGCTGCTGAATCGTGTGAGGACTTAATTTCAATCAGTAGAATTTAAAGTAGGCTTAAAACTTTCTCTAAAATGACACCCAAGTTAGTAGACTCAACAAAATGAATAGCTCCAATCGATTCCACGTCTTCGAAAAGCCTTGAATACAAATCTACAGCTCAATATCTTCTTTTTCTACCATCTTCAATGCAAAAGAAAAATCTCTGAAGTGTTCTTTGTGCGGCCGGGTAACCGCTTGTCATCTGTAAGGTCAAAATTCCAAAAGGTCCGCTGTAAGGCGGTTTCCTTTTGGAATTTTGAACGAGTTGTTCAAATGTGATGAGGGAACCGTTTCCCGCATTGTATCAAAGAAAAAACGACAAGAAATGTGCACACGGACCAGGAAGTGGACGTCCAACAGTCAGAAAACAAGGCAGTCGTATTGGCGCAGAAAAAGGCGATTCTCAATGCCGATCAATGCCGATGGCGTCCGACTCGTCCATCCACAATTCAACAAAGATATCAATTCAATGACAATGAGCCGTCGCCTAACTCGACATAGAATTTGGAAAAAGTTTAATTACTCAAAATTAGTGGTAAAATTTTGTAAATGTGGCATCTTTTTTGTGCAAGACTGTACTCACGGTTGAAATCGATCTAAAAACAGATTTCATCCTTTAATACCTGATAAATTATTGAGAAACCGATTTGCTTTAAACGAGATCCGTCCTGGCTCTGATTCGTCCTAGCTGATTTGATTCGGAAAAGTTGCATCTTTGAGTTTTGAGTTCAATTTTGCACAAACTTGTCAGTTGTTGGCTGTCAGTTTTCAGTTGTTGGCTGTTCCCTTCACATGACGATGGGCTATGCTCTCGAAAGGTTCATTGCAATGAGAAATCTCGAAAGTTACGAACAAAAATTCCCGACAAATCGACTAGGCTGGAGGATTTTGTTTTCTTTGGTAAAGTTTCTATTTAAAATCTTCAACTACCAATTTTTCCAGGCTCTATTCGAAGTGATCGAAGCGATTCTCTTTTTTCAAAAATGGGCTGTTTCATGGGTTGTCTTCATTACTTCATATTTCATTCATTTTATCGCCATTGTGGTAAGGAATTTACACAACTTTTCATTGTACATATTTAGTTTTTCATCAAATTGTATTTCGTTTGCAAACAGAAATATTTAGCAGTTTATCAAAAGAGATATTGCACAGTGGAGGACAGGTACGAATTTGGATAGATCTAACTGGAAAAAACTTGAAACTTAACGGCGAAACTCTTAAATTTTAAAAAGTTGGCATTGAGCGGGCCAAGACTTTGCTTGTTTTTAAAAAACTGGCTAAAAACTGTTACGTTTTCTATAAAGTTATAAAAGTTCGATTTTAATAGCCTAGATCAGCTAATCAAAATTCTAGCACAAAGTTTACCGCAGCATTTCGAAGATCAGCTTCTATTCCATTTATTCTGAGAATAACTCTAGCCAAAGACGTTTTCATAGCATTATTAGCCATTCAACAGACATTTATTATGCTCAACTTAGTAGAGAAAGCAATAGAAATTGTAGCTTTCAATTACAGCTTTTAATTACAGCTTTTATTAGCTTTTAATTGCATTTAAATGTTGGATTTTTGTGTAAATTTGCAAGGAATATGTGCAAATTGTATAAACGATATACGATCGAAGAAATTAAAAGAAAAATCATAATGCAATTAGGTTTAAATGGTTTAAATCAAATCCGAAGTTGCTCCAAAAGAAAAACTAAAAGAAAAAGCTGAACTCGAGACCGAACCACGATCTTGAGGGCGGCAGTCAAACGCTACCCATTAGGCCATCAAAGCACCTTTTTACGGCCAGAGAAGGAGCCTTTTGACCGTTTAAGCATCCGTTTTGAATTTTTTTGTTTCTTTTCCAGCATTTTCTTTTACATTGAAATTTTCGATTAAAGTTTTACACGCCCGGAAAGACATTTGACAGATTTTGATTTCAGATTCGGATCCCTCATATCCGATTCTATAAAGTGCACTAGATTTCCAGAAAGCTCAGCTTAACTTCGTGGCTTTCTCTAGTTAGCAATTGTACTTGTAACTTGAAAGATTTGACAAGTTAAACAAGGCTAAATCTGACTGTAAATCTATTTTCACAGCCACTTACCTAATAAAGACTTTTAGTTGACAAGATTTTGCTGTTTATAAATGTTTATGAAAGTAAATTCTGATTAGAACTCAAACCTTAAGTCTAGATTAGACGAAATGGGTTAATAGGTTAAAGTTGATTGTTTTTATCTTGAGAATATTCAATTCGAACTTTTCAATGGAAACATTTCAGGTACAGTACTCTGTCAAACTACAAAGCTTCTCGTGTCATGCTATTCCTTGCTCCATACAAAAGTATTACCTCTATCTTTGTGATTGCCAATTACGAATACGTGGCTGGTTATTCCCTCTATACACAAACATTTTTCATCTTTATTTTCTATTATTTAGCTCATTTTCAGGTAGTTATTCTAAAGTTGATAAACAAAAAACAAAGCTTTAGATCCAAGGTCAAATGTGGTTAACAATATTTTACGAACCAGCTTTGAGGAGTAAATTTCTGGAGTTAACAATGTCTAATAATAAGGTATTGAAAGCCTTTTTTTGCTTACTTCAGTTATTTTTAGATTAAAACAGAGCAAAGCCTCAATAATGCTTTCGGTAAAAAGTTGAAATATGAGAATTATGAACAAGGCGATGTTTATTTTCGACAGTTTACGACGATGTGGAAATGAGAAGGGATAGAATGAATAGAAATGAGAATTTGCTCACGAAAACGGTTCCAAATAATTGGTTTCTTGTTGCAAATGATCGGTTTTTTGTTCCAAATACAGTTCCGTCAAACAAAATCAGAAAATTCACATGATTTTCTATTCAAAGAAACATTTGAAAGACTGACAAATAGCCTAGGATTAGGGCACGATCCTTACAAGTATTGCTCGCTTTCCAAACAGTGAGTAAAACTGTGATACTCTTTTGCCTGATTCACTTTCATTTAAGGTTATTTAGTGTGGAATAAAACTGTGTATTGAATAGTCAAAAAGATCAAAAGCGTCGAATCAAAATGAATGAAAGTGAACAAACAGAATTGCAGAGACATTGATCATTAATAGTCTATTGGCCCTCCTTTAGCTTGAATGGCTTTTTCTATCCGTCTGGGCATCGAGTCGACCAAATTGTGCAAAACTGATGATCCAATTTGATTCCATACAAGACGTAGACAGAGTCAAAGCTCGACTTTGGACGAAAAGTGTTTCTCATTCAATTTCGCTTTCACAATCGATTCTCGATAACGTTCAAATCTGGTGAAAAGGGAGGTGCTTTAATCAAAGAAACACCATTAATCGCAAACCAGCCCGAAAATCCAAAGAAGGGCCAATAGACTATTAAATTTACTAATACATATGACCACCAGTGTATGTGCAAACGCAGCTTTTCAAATGATGATCAAATGATGAGACTCTGGATGATCCAGCTATACTTTAATGATCAATAATCCAGCTAAATTAAAAAAAACTGCTAAACAATCCAAAATTACGTAAAAATACTTAAAAAGAAACAAGATTTGAGATAAAATAACGAAAAATCGGAGCACAATGTAAAAACATTTCTGATAGTTTTTGGTCCCTTGATCATTGCCTTATTCTTTTCAAAAAAAGGCATCAAAGCTCTGAATTAACTTTTTCTTTGACTTGACCTTTGAGAATCCCTCATTTTGATAATTTTACTTATTTGACTCTTTCAAACTCTTCGAAACTTATAGTCATTGTTGTTTTACTGTTGCAATGTAAAGAGACAGCTTTCCTTGATTCAAATGTTTTCTAAAGAGTGCGTTAACGAAAAACCACAGTAATCCTCTCATTTTACGTGAAAACGACAGCAGAGTACGATAGCTTTTACTATCTTTTCGCAGAATTCTGTGGGGATTCTAAAGACAAGCTTTGTAGAAAAGCTACAATACTCCGATTCTCTTTTTTGTCGAAGCAACTACAGAAAGTTCTGTTCTTTTTAAATCCACTATTTGAATCTCTGATTTACATTCTTTTATAAGTGTTTATACTCAAAAGATACCCAATTTTTCACAGAATTGAAATCTTATTACCTTTTTTAAATAACTTCTTTAAATTTTGAGTTATCACAATTTGCGTGAGCTCTGCACCAGTTATTAGTATTACTAATATAAGAAAATCTGTCAGACTTAGAACTTAGATGATTAGGAGTATTCAAAAAATTGTTTATCCTAGTGTCGTGTTTGATTCGACAATTTTCTACTGGCGCATTCTGCCGGATTGGCTTCCGTTTGTTTCTGCTTATACGATTTGTTGCTTATACTTATACGATACGTCTTGGTATGAGTTCTTATTTAAAAATAGACATTCGAATAACAGCTAGATCATTTTGACAACGATGCAACGATAGTCTAGACCTTAGATTATACAGGACAGAACTTTCGCCAGTTCCTGTAGAAGGATACTGTAACTTTTAACATCCTTTACCTCGATCCTTTAAAAGAAAATGGTTTGGAAAACTATAGCATTTCGTTTTCTTGATAAAAACCGGCAAAGTACGGTAGCTTTTAACATCTTTTACATCAATTTTACCTCTTTTACACTGAATTACTGTAGCAATAAAGTGAAGCTCTCATTTTCCATAAAATTAGATTAGAAGTACGGTTTTTTTTCTTAAAAACATTTTTTAGAAAGTATTTTATCCATCAGCACACAGTTTATAAAAGTTTGATCAGCTAGATCAGCTAAAAAAGCACAGTCTGATCTCTTGAAACGCCTCTTTCATCGTTGTTTTTGTAAGCATAAAGTCTGAGTGAATGAGTTTACCCAATTCTGCACAATTCGGCTTAATTTCATGAATACTCGCTCGTTTGCTCAAAATAATTCTATTATCTTCGAAAAATTCAATATTTTCCGCTTAATCCAGCGGATTTACGTGACTCAAATCTTCAAATCAGCCTCAAATTCGTCTTTACATTCTAAAAACATTCAATCTCTTCAATTCCCTCAATTTCTTTTCTTTTCTTGCAATGTATGTACTAATTATTTGATACATTTTTTCGTTTTTTGCGTTATTAATGAGAAAAATACAGCGCCGAAGGGAAATTTCATTCATTTCCCCCATTTGAATGACCGACCATGGAGTTCTTGTTCATCCGGCACTCTTTGAGCAATATTTCGTTTATCTAATGGTGAGTTTAAAGCTTGAAATGGTAGATTTTTGTTGAAAAATACTTCTGATTATGTCATAATTACTTTAATTACTTGATTTCGATGATTCGGTTACAATTTACTAAGCTCAGAGTTGGACCAGAGGCCAGAAGCTAGTCAGGTCTTGGCCTTTACTCGGACTGGTCTGGCCTTGGAAATTTTAAAGTATACTTTTTATACTTTAAAAACACACATACTCACATACTTAATAGTCACAAGAAACATTTTTATACTTGTGAGAAAAAAGAGAAAAAATTGGTGGCAACCGGAATTGAACCCGCGAGCAAAGATGGTCTAGGTCTCGTAGTCTAGCCCAGTATCCTCCAGGCCTGCTTTCGCTACCTTTCCCTCTTAGCTTTGCCCTCTTAGCTTTCGCTAAGAGAGCATCTATAAGAGAGCGCCGTGCCGAAGGCTCCTTTCTCTTCTTATAGGTGTGGTTGGGAAAAATTGCTGAAACTTTGGACCCTTTTTTTCTCGAAAACCAGAGTCTTTGAGGCAAAAATAAAAAAAATACGTGTTTCTTAGAATCCTACGGGGGCATTTTGGAGTTAGGTGCGGTTTCAAAAATCGGTGGTAAGTTGAAATAATTCCCTAGTTAGTGCTGATAAGCCTCGAGATCTCGATAGTCAATTCCTAGTTCCAAGGAAATGGAATGGTCTGTCACAAGAGCCACTGCCCGACTAATAGTAAGGCCATAAGCCTTACTATTAGTCGGGCAGTTACTATTACTATTAGTCTTCTCAGGCTTATGGCCTTACTGGCAGTTTCCTGCTCAGTTGTATTTGCTTATTTGTATAAAGTTTCTAGTTTTTTTGTTAGACTAGACTTATCTACTATATATGTCGCAGCCGCTCGTGATTTTCAGCCGCTAGTTTCGCTGATTCAATCACTAACGGCTAGTCGATGGTGATTGAAAGTTTTTTAACGAAACATTTGACCGATGGTGATTCAATCACGAGCGGCTGCGGCATATATGTCGTAGCCGATTATGAATGAGTGGGTCTAGGAGCGTCCAACCATCAAGTATTTAGTATCATTCAACGCAGAATCATTCATAATTATGTTAAATTTTTAAAATTAGAAAGATTGGATAAAAAGAACACAAATTATGGGGCTTCAAAGTTTTCTCTTGAACAAACAGTTCTTTTGCTCTAATTTTTTTTCTTTTCATCAAATCTTGCTAATTTTAAAAATTTAATATAATTATCAATGATTCTGCGTTGAATGATACTAAATACTTGATGATTGGACGCTCCTAGACCCACCCATTCATAATCGGCTACGGGGGTCCCGCCGATTTTGAATGAAACGTTGTAGCGCCGGCAATTTTTAACCTAAACTCACAAATTTGGTACCAATCGACGCAGAATTCAATTCGCTACAAGATGATATAATATTGTCCTCATACATTAAAGGGTTGCTCTACTAGAAAGATTTGCCAAAAAATTTCATTCATAATCGGCTGCGACATATATAAAGCAAAAGAGACGTCTGTCCGTCCGTCTGTTTGTGCGTAGCCATTGGCAAAAAGGGGCGGGACTTAGATTGTGTGGAAAATGCTAACGCTAGTGAGCGTTTTCCACTAGTAATACAATAATTTTTTGCTATTAGGTTTAGGATTCAGGAATGGACAAAGTTTTTCCAGTTTGATCTATCCAAGAATGGTGAAATTGTAAAGTTAGCTCTGTCTCACAATCAGCTAGACTAACCAGTTAAGTTATAGCCTATTTAACGCTTGTTTTCCACTGATCACTGACTAACCATTGCTTTGATGATTTTTGTTCTAATCTTTGTCCTTAAAAGCTCAAACTAACAAATTTAGATCCTCGAGCTTTGCACATTCAGCTCATTAATGCTTTCGTACGCATTGTTCCAACGATTGTTGACTTCAAAAAGGGTTAGTTGCATCGTGATTCTGCTTTGCTGCATCGTGATTGTGAAATCAGCTCATTCGAAAGAAAAATTTACCACGAACAAATTATAAAAGTTCTTTTTTTACTCAATGGAACTTTTGGAGTTTAAAAGCTTTGAATTTCCAGATTTTCCACCCAAATCTGACAACGATTCTACTCTTTCAACCGATATTTCTGATCATCGCGACTTTTATTCGCCAATTCCGTCATATCCTTCAAGTCATCAATCTAATCAATGGATTTTCTTTCCAAATTTGCTCTTTCTTCTCAGAAGCACGTTAGTTTTGAAGATTTCAAAAACAATCATTGAATAACATGTCATTTTCTGCTTCAGTGGAAATTTCTTTTGAAAAGCATGTAGGCGAGCAATTGTGATTGAATTTCTCAGTAATTTTATCAAAACAACTAAAAATTACTTGTTCTTTGTAGCAAGAAACAAGGCTAAATCTGTTTTTTTAGAAAACTGTTTTTGTTGAACCTGAAAACAGTGCAGAAATTAGTTTTAACAAGGAAGTTGTTTGGCTTTATGTGATCTTTCTAAAAATTGAATGGTATGAATCCAAAACTAGAATTGATTTCGGAATAAAACCTTAAGAGTGCAGTGTTAATCAACGTTTGACATGCGTAAGGTAATTAGGTAATTAGGTTTAGGTCTTCAGGTAATTAGACTTTCACGGTAAGGCTACTGGATGTTTTTACGTGTCGTTGAGCCAATTCTATCAATATCTCTTGCATAGTTCTAGTCTAGATTGTCTTTGCAATCCTTAAATTACAAGTAGGATAACAATACTTAGATCTTCGGATCATGAAATCTCATGTAACTAAAGGATCTTCGAATCCGGACGTGAATCTTTGGATCTGATTGTTTTTTATTAATTTAATTATAAATCTTCATAGATTGGCTTTATAGATCTTCATAGATCATTAGATTTTATAAAATCTAACGATTTTTCTATATAATAGAACTTTTTTCTTAATAAGTTAGCTAATAGTAAGCTCTTGATCTGTACTTGTACTTAAGACTCGAATCGATTGAGATTGAATCGAATAAAAGCACATCAGAAAGTGGTAACAAGTAAATCTAGTGGTTAAAATACTTACTTTAGAAAACTCTTAAGCTTTCTGCCTAGCTTTGAAAAGATTTTTACGCAATTTTCAGTTGCCGCTGTGTGTCTAAACATGACCTCAAGCTACGCCATCGAACGCTACATTGCGATGCGGAATCTTGAGAATTACGAGAACAAATACCCAAATAATCACATCGGATTGAAGATCATTTTGGGAACGGTAGACTTTCCCAAAATCACCCCAAGTAATCTCCATTTCAGCTAACCCTTTTGGTATTTGATCTCATTGTTTTCTATACGAGTCTCTTGCCGGGTTGGTTAGCTTATGGGATCAGCTACGTTGTGCAAATTGTCGGCATCTTTGTGAGTAAACAAATTTCACTCTAATTTCTAACAAATTTCCCTCTAATTTCTTTTTTAGTTTTTTTATCACGTTTATAGAATTTGCAAGCAGAAATATCTAGAGGTTTGGCAGAAGAGATATTCGACAATCGATGCGAGGTGAGTTTTCTATTGAAAGACGAGTATGTAGTATAGACCAGTTGAATAAGTGCTCTAAAGCGCTAAACAGATTTTTCTGAACGGATTATTCTGAAATTCTACTGGAAGACCTAACTTTTTGTGCGCTATCTGCGCTTATTGTCATTAAAATAGGTTTGATTGGAAGCAACGGTCCAAATCGCATCAATCGAACCTTGTCGTCTTTGAACACTCGGATTTTTGATAATGAAAAACCTTCTAAACAAAGCTTTTCAGAAGCTTTCAAAAGCCATTTGCAAGAGAAATGATTAGCCATCTGAAAAAAACCGTATTTCATTTGATAGCTTGAGACTTATTCAATTAGAAAATGAATTTGGGTGAAAGATTTACAAGGGAAGGGCAACTGGCTAGCCAAATGCTATGCGACCTATGCCATTCGACGCAGAATTTCATGCTGATTCCGGATATATATTTCGTTTTTTGCTAAATGACAATCTGTAAGGAGTTATAAACGTCTAAAGTTTTGTTAGGACGCTGAAAATCTACTATCTAAATCTAAAAGTACTATCAAAAGGTGCCCTCTGAAAATGTGGTCATTTGGGTCTTAGGGGCCGCCTTGCAGTCTCAATTCGGTCATTTGGGTCTTAGGGGCCGCCTTGCATTCTAAATTCGGTCATTTGGGTCTTAGGGGCCGCCTTGCAGTCTCAATTCGGTCATTTGGGTCTTAGGGGCCGCCTTGCATTCTAAATTCGGTCATTTGGGTCTTAGGGGCCGCCTTGCAGTCTCAATTCGGTCATTTGGGTCTTAGGGGCCGCCTTGCATTCTAAATTCGGTCATTTGGGTCTTAGGGGCCGCTTTGCAGTCTCAATTCGGTCATTTGGGTCTTAGGGGCCGCCTTGCATTCTAAATTCGGTCATTTGGGTCTTAGGGGCCGCCTTGCAGTTTCAATTCGGTCATTTGGGTCTTAGGGGCCGCCTTGCATTCTAAATTCGGTCATTTGGGTCTTAGGGGCCGCCATGCAGTCTCAATTCGGTCATTTGGGTCTTAGGGGCCGCCTTGCAGTCTCAATTCGGTCATTTGGGTCTTAGGGGCCGCCTTGCATTCTAAATTCGGTCATTTGGGTCTTAGGGGCCGCTTTGCAGTCTCAATTCGGTCATTTGGGTCTTAGGGGCCGCCTTGCATTCTAAATTCGGTCATTTGGGTCTTAGGGGCCGCCTTGCAGTTTCAATTCGGTCATTTGGGTCTTAGGGGCCGCCTTGCATTCTAAATTCGGTCATTTGGGTCTTAGGGGCCGCCATGCAGTCTCAATTCGGTCATTTGGGTCTTAGGGGCCGCCTTGCAGTCTCAATTCGGTCATTTGGGTCTTAGGGGCCGCCTTGCATTCTAAATTCGGTCATTTGGGTCTTAGGGGCCGCCTTGCAGTCTCAATTCGGTCATTTGGGTCTTAGGGGCCGCCTTGCAGTCTCAATTTGGTGCAGCCGTGACCGAGTGGTACAGCGCTCGCTTTCAGAGTAAGGCTTCCCGAGTTCGATCCCCACTTAGGATCTTTCTTTCCTTTTTTCAAGAAATGCTGCCTGGTGTTCTTTGTGTGAAGTTTCTTGTTATCTATTTCATATTTCTTGTTGGTAATAGCATTTCGCCGGCTCAGCCAGTTGACCTTTCCTTGTTATTACTCAACACAATAGTTTGTCCGTTAAAGCGTGTCCCAGTTCAAACCTCTGATCTTGAGATCAGTCTGACTTTATAGCAATCTGACTTTAGTCTGTTGTAGAGCAATCTCTAATTGTCTTGATTACGGTAACACTTATGGATTACGGGAGACAAGCACGATTTTAAGCTCCTATTCAAGTAAAAAAAAGCTTCGAAGCCTTACAAGTCTCCATAGAACAAATCTAGGATAACTTCTGAATGTCCTGATGATTGCTAACTGTTCCATTACTGCAAAAAAGGTTTCCTTTCTTCAGATACAACACTCAAGGCAATTTCAAAGCGTCTCGTTTACTTTTACGATTAGCTCCATACAAATCGATTACATCTATACTATTGTTAGCTGAATATCAATTTCTTGTTGATCGAACTCTCTATGCTCAAACGTTCTACACATATGTGTTTTTCTACTTAATGCATGCACAAGTGAGACTGATTTTCAAAAACGTATTCAAAGAACTTTTTTTAGATAATTATCCAAATGTGGTTGATCATTTTCTTGGAGCCAATGATGAAATTAAAATTGAAAGCTATGTTGAGGCCGAGGGTTTGTTGTTAGCTTTTAATTTTGACTCTAAAATTTAGGTGAAACCAGTCGTACCTGCACTTCGAAACGTCTTCGGAGAGCAGCTCATTTACAATAATTTCGAGGAAAGCGACATATATTTTAAACATTTCAATGCAATGTTGAAATGATGAGATAAATATTGGAAAAAATGGCACTTCTTATTGTTAGAATATCGTGGGATTGACCACAATCTGATCTGTTTTAAGAGCAGAGTCGGCTCATCTTCCTAGAATTGGAATAAAGCTAACAAAAACATATTCCTACTACAGTGTAACAACTTTTTCCTTTATGAATCTTCGCCGAAAACCTCTAACCGTTCTAAAGAGTACTCCAGTTACTGTAACTCCGATAACGTTAGCTGGTCTAGGCTTACAGTTTACGGTAGCTGACCCACGTTTTAGAGGATCTACCTGCGTCCTGAGATATTAAGATATCGATTTTTATCATAATGTCAACTTGGAGTCTAGTCGAGGAGCTTTTCAAATCAATTTAACAAATTTATACTGCTGAAAGGACTCAAAAGTTTCCAAACGTTTAAAAAAATACGTTTTTTAGCTCTTGGGTTGTTTAGAGGACTTTTGCAAGTCTAGAGGACTTTTGCAAGTCTAGAGGACTTTTGCAAGCCTAGGGAACTTTTGCAAGTCTAGGGGACTTTTGCAAGTCTAGGGAACCTTTGCAAGTCTGGAGGACTTTTAAATGGGTAGTCAAGCTCTAAATGCTTATAACTTTTTACAGAGACAAGATTTTCATTTACTTTTTTGAATATTTTAAAAGTAGAAATATCAGCTTTTCAAATGAGACTGTATAGAGCTGAATTAGTTAAATTAGACTCGAGGAATCAAAGCAGAAGTGAGCAAACCAACAACGACTGCAATCAATTGATTTTCTCGAGGCTGCTCTATCCAATTCAGTTTTATTTAGTCTCATTTGAAAGCCCAACATTTCTTCTTTTAAAATATACAAAAAGCAAAGAAAAATCTTGTCTCTGTAAAAAGTTATAGACATTTAAAGCTTGACTATCCATTCAAAACTCCCTTAAACTACTGAAGAGACCATTTTTCCTAGTTTACTATAGAAAAGTCCTACAGTCTGTTCCTCTGACAACGTTTTTCATTCAACCAAACAATTCTTTCAAATAGTGCAATAGGACTGTTGGGTGACGGGGAAAGGAAAGGTTAATTCGAACAACCAACAGTAGTGGAATGAAGAATGAAGGGACCTCGACTTTTGTCGTCTCTCCACCATCTTTTCTCTACGACTTAGTGAAGCCGACCTCTAATCTCCTTCGTTATGGAAGCTAATGTGGGTTGGGAGTGGGGAAAAGAAAAGACTCAGCCTTTGATCACTCAGCCACCCTCCGACCAAATCACTTACAGACAGATACAATCACGTACAGTTGATACTATTTTTGGCTAGCTAATATTTCTGATATTGTCTTTGGAACTTGTGATCAGGTATTGTCAGGTATATTTCTATATTGTCTTGTCTTGTCAATATAGTCTTGCCTGGGGTATTGCATTACTCCAGGCAGTTGTCTGCCTGGAGTAATACAATACTCCAGGCAAGACTCCAGGCAAGACTCCAGGCAAGACTCCAGGCAAGACTCCAGGCAAGACTCCAGGCAAGACTCCAGGCAAGACTCCAGGCAAGACTCCAGGCAAGACTAATACATAACTCCAGGTTATTGTCTTAAGAACTTGTCTTTTACTAGCCGTTAGGTTAGACAAGCTTGTTTAAGTTCGGGATTTGAGATTTGAGAATCGAAACTTTATAAACATCGTTAAAAGTTGTAATAGAGTGCTTAGAACATTAAAATATAATGTAAAGGCATCAGAAAAAGAATTTTTCAAAAAAGCGCTAGGGAGGGATTCGAACCCAAGCCAGGGAAGCCTTGGTCAATATCCCAACACACTATCCATATCCACACACTATCCATATCCCAAGATCAATATCCCAAGATCAATATCCCAACACACTATCCACTAGACCACCGAAGCCGTTCCCAGCTTTGTTTGTAGCGACCCCATGAAGAGTCCGAAGGGATTCCTTGTGTAAGGAAAATTTAAGAGATTTCTATGCCAGATTCCTTGTGATTGCCTAGGTGTTTGCAGCTAATTTGTGCAGATTCCAAATCAGCATAGCCGATTCCATAAAATCCACTCTGTCACGAAGTCATTCTGAACAAGGAGCTGGAGCAGTTCCTTAAATTCTCACTCTCAATTCTCACTCTCCTTAAATTTCCCATTTTCCATTTCGGAATCTTCATGAAGCCGCCATAAAGCAGCTCCAATAGTCTAGTGAATAGTGTGTTGAGCTACTGAGCTATCAAAGCCTCTCTGGCTTGGGTTCGGATCCTCTCTGGGCCATTAGTTTTGTCTTTCACTTGTTCGGATCCTCTCTGGGACATTAGTTTTGTCTTTCCCTTGTCGAAATCAGCCTTTAATCTACCCAATCAACCAACATTGTTTAATATTGTTGTTGAATCTGTTGTTGAATATATTGTTTAATACCTCATTGTTTAATATTTTTAAACATTCTAGCGATAAGTACAATTTCACAAGACATTTTCCCCAAATCTTTCAAATGACCTCGATTTCTCATTTGACAATGTCGTCTCCTATCAATCTCGACAAATTTGTTTGTGTGTTGAGCCCAATTTTCGTGATCACTTGATATTAAGAAAAATACGCTGCTTGATCAGCTATTTCTTTACTGTACTTGACTACTTTTTTTGATTTACGTGACTACCAAAACCATTTACATTGATCTCAGTGTTGGAGTTCTGATTCAAGAATCAAATTCCATCTCTAAATAAGGCTGGTTTATTGCCAGCTCTAAATAAAGCTGGTTTATTGCCAGCTTGCAGGCCAACAGTTCTGTGCTTTATTGCTTACAAAAGCTTGGCTTTTCAATCTTTAAATCAATGACCGGAAATGACAAGATTCCTCCATTTCTCTTGATATCTAGCAAATGCAGACAGGAGATCGGCGCTTGAGAGTCTGTTGGTGGATAGACAGAGAAGACATTGATAATCACATAGGGAATTGAGCAGAGCTATCGGGAAATCATTCGATTTTGCGTGGGTGCTTTCAATGTGTACATTTTATTCTCATTTTGCTTTGACTCTTGTTTTTGATGTACTCCAGGTGACTTTTACAATGTATAACTACGGTAATTTTCTTCTGAAAATGACTAATGAAATGATCAAAGAAATCTAATCTAATCTAATCTAGGCTTTAGAAAGCCTGAGCCTTTAGAAAGCCTGAGCCTTTAGAAAGCCTGAGCCTTTAGAAAGCCTGAGCCTTTAGAAAGCCTGAGCCTTTAGAAAGCCTGAGCCTTTAGAAAGCCTGAGCCTTTAGAAAGCCTGAGCCTTTAGAAAGCCTGAGCCTTTAGAAAGCCTGAGCCTTTAGAAAGCCTGAGCCTTTAGAAAGCCTGAGCCTTTAGAAAGCCTGAGCCTTTAGAAAGCCTGAGCCTTTAGAAAGCCTGAGCCTTTAGAAAGCCTGAGCCTTTAGAAAGCCTGAGCCTTTAGAAAGCCTGAGCTTTTAGAAAGATTCGTAACCAGGGGCTTTTAGAAAGATTCGTAACCAAGTCTGCGCAAAGTCAACTAGGGGCAAAGCATTTCTCTAATCGGTTTTAAAACGTGGAAATCTTTTGGACATCTTTTGAACATTTACCGTAATCTTTCCCGTTTAGTAAATTCTGGCCTTACTAAACAACTCGTTCTGGTTTGTATAGTGTTAATCTTGATTCTTTTGGTCTAGTCTACGGAAAAAACTATGTAAAATGAATAAAATCAGAAACTAGGACAGGAAAAGAAGTGATATTAACAAAATTAAAATAAAATTGTTAAGATTTTTGATAAAAGGTAGAAGAAATATGTGTTTTGCAAGGTTTTACAAGGTTTTGCAAGGTATTCCAAGGTTTTGCAAGGTTTTGCAAGGTTTTGCAAGGTATTGCAAGGTTTTGCAAGGTATTGCAAGGTATTGCAAGGTATTGCAAGGTTTTTGCATGGTTTTGCATGGTTTTGCATGGTTTTACAAGGTTTTGCAAGACTTTACAAGGTTTTGCATGGTTTTGCATGGTTTTGCAAGACTTTACAAGGTTTTGCAAGGTTTTGCAAGGTATTGCAAGGTTTTACATGGTTTTACATGGTTTTGCATGGTTTTGCAAGGTTTTACAAGGTTTTGTAACGTTTTGTAACGTTTTGTAACGATGCTTTCTTCAAAAACTAACAAATTCGATTGTTTTGCTTTTTATAATGCTGTTCTGGTGCAAATTGTGAGAAGATTTTAAAGAAATTTAATGATTTTCAAACAAAAATAGCTTAATTGATTGGCTAGAAGTCGATTTTGAATCCAAAAAAAGTAGTTGAGCTAAATTTTTGCAATGGAGTGTAGGCGAAAGATAGATTACGGTAACTAGAGACAGAAAACGATCGTTTTAGACAGAGAACGGTCGTTTTCTTTCTTTCTTTTGTAGCCTTTTGTGCAAATGAACCTTATTCGATGAAGATGACACATTGGATGTCTGCCAGTCGGCAAATTTGTCCCCGTTTTCTTTTCCAAATGACATTGATATCCGTATCTTTATCACCAAATTTCCCCACATCGACTCCACTCATCAATTCAATCAAATCATCCAGCGCCGAATCGTTAAAATGTGCATTCATCCTAGCTTTTAGTTTTATGAGTCACTTGGAATCGATTTGATTCGAATATTGTAATCTAATTGATCTCGATTATCTATTGGTTATATCCTGAATATCTTTTAGATCATAGAAATCGTTCTTGTTAATTCTTGTTAATGTTCTTTTTAATCCCAACCCAATTCATTGACGTTTACCCAAATTGTGACCGTAATTACAGGCATCGATTTGAGAGGAAATGCCCGTGAGATCGTTCACAAACTGGTTTCTCGTTACCAAACAAAATTCTATTTTATTGAGAATGTAAAATATACAATTTCCTTAACAAATTACCGTATTCTCTCTAATAGTAGTGCGCACTACTATTTTTTGAATCCCCTCCTGGACCGCAATACTATTAGAGAGTGCAGTACTATTAAAGAGTTTTATCATTTACCAAAGTAAGACAGATATAAGATTTGTTCCAAAAATTCTTGCAACCCTTTCACGTACTCCTTTGGCTCCTTTTGACATACAGTTGTGGGCCGGCGAGCTGACAATTACCGTAGTAATTGTTTGTGTTTGTGTCTTGACAAACAACAAAAAGATGTTTTTGCACTTTTGCACAACAATTTTAGATTTTTTGCTAACTTTTTCATGTGAAGAATAGTTAATAAATGAATAAAAAAAGCCTCACTTTTGCTTGCTTGAATAGCTTTAGAATGTCACATAAACATAAAGTCAAAAAGGTTTAGATAAAAAAGAAGCAAACAGAAATTCAAATTTTCGGGGGGGTGCACTACTATTTTTTGAACCCCTTCCTGGACCGCAATACTATTTGAGAGTGCACTACTATTAAAGAGTGCACCTCTATTAGAGAGAATACGGTACTTCATTAACCAGCTCTGAATTGTTGATTAATCGTTAGAATAAAATAAAAAAGCAAAGAGTAATAAAGAAATTGAAGAAAAGATGGATAAGAGGTTAAGAAAATAATGGGCTAAATGAGAAAGAGCCAAAATAAAAAATAGTAAGCTAGAGATTTAGAAAAAGAGTACAGAGAAGGCAAGAATAAGCTAGAGATTGAGGAAAAGAGTACAGAGAAGGCAAGAATGTCATGGAGAAGTGAAAGAGTGAGTGAAAGAGTGAAAGAGTGAGTGAGTGAAAGAGTGAGTGAGTGAAAGAGTGAGTGAGTGAAAGAGTGAAAGAGAATACAAAAGAAATATATAGAAGATCAATGAAGTGAGGACAAAATGGCAAAAAAGAATAGAAATAGTAATAGAAATAGAACTAGAAATAGTCATAGAAATAGAAATAGAAGTAGAAAAAGAAAAAGAGAGTGAGGAATAGAGTTTCTGAGCAAATAGTGTAGACATGGCAGCGGTTTTCCGAAAAGAAAAACCCCCTCTTCAGGTGGGCCAAATCCGCCTTTTCTTCTCCTTTTCTTCTCCTCATTTCACCAAAACTTTCTCATTTTTTCTCTCTTTTCCATTCACTTTTCCAATTCTCTTTCGATTTCAAGTGTATTTTGTGGCAACCTGTGCCCTTTTCAACTCTTCTTTTGCCCATATTTCCACTCACTTTTCACCAAATTCCTCTTTTCTCACTAGAAACTCTTCTTTTCTCTCCCCTTTTTTATCCCAATTTTTGTGTGGTTTATAGTCGACAGTCATTTCCACTTTTATTGATCGAAAAACGTTTATCTTATCACAAATTTTATACCTTTTTGACTAGATTTCCCCGGATTCAATAAGAAAACTCAATTTGAACTCTATTTACGATTCTGATTTCTACACAATTTGTCGCAGACGCTCTACAAACTTTAATACATGGTAAGTTTAATTTATTTTAAAAAGCATTAGCTTTTAGTCTTCGCTTTAAAATGCTTTTAGTCTTGTTCTTATACAGTCAAGTTTTACATACAAATTTTCGTGGAAATGTAAAGCTGGCTAGACAGCTTCTAGCTTCAGCCAAGTTTTACATGCTGGCTAAGTCAAATTTTCGTTGAAATGTAAAGCTGGTTAGACAGCTTCTAGACAGCTTCAGCCAAGTTTTAGATGCAAGTTTTTAGGTCAAATTTTTTGTTGAAATGTAAAGCTGGCTGAAGTTGAAATTGAAATGTAAAGCTGGCTGAAGTTGTGCTGGCTGAAGTTGAAATTTAAAGCTGTCTAGAAGTTGTCTAACTTCTAGACAGCTTCAGCCAAGTTTTACATGCTGGTTAGATCAAATTTTCTGGAAATGTAAAGCTAGTTAGGCAGATGATAACGGGACAAAATTCGTTTATCTTTATTTAAGCCAAAATCTAGATTTGTTATTGTTTTCTGTCTTCAATTTCAGTGAATTAAAGAACTTTTATTTTAGAGAGCGAATCTGACCTGTGAGATTTGTTTATTGGACGCGAGTGGGCTGCACTTTGGTGTAGCCAGTTGTAGAGCATGTAAGTGACTTTTTGTGTTAAAACTTTTCCTTACAATTGATCTTTTTTACTAGAATTACTAAAATTTGACGTGTTACTAAGATTTGCAACTCTTGCTTACCGTTTCAGCTTTTGATTTCAAGCCTTTTAAACTCAAAAAGCTTTGAGAGACCAAAATTAACAGCAAATTGATTTTGGAAATGGTTTTTGAGTTGAAATTTTGCAGTATTCTTCAATTTTTTATCAAAAATTCATAAAAATTGAAAAAAATCAATAGAATTTTTGACTTTTGTATAGTTTCCGGGTATTTTGAAAGAGTCGTCACACTTTGAAGGCCTATAACTTTGTCCAGAGTTTATATTTTTGTTAACTTTATATATCATTGTATAGTGGACATTTTAGGCTTTCAAATGATACCAAATAGAGCTTAATTGGCTTTTTCATTTCCATGTAAACAAGGCGAGACGACACCCGAGTTGGGTAGGCCTCATTCGCTCAGAGTTGGCTCTGATTTTCTTAGACTGGATTATCTAATTAAGCTCTATTTGGTATCATTTGAAAGCTTAAAATGTTTTCTATACAATGATCTAAAAACTTAAGAAAAATATTAACTCAGGATAAAGCTATAGGCCTTCAAAGGGTGATGACCCGTTCAAAATACCCGGAAACTACACAAGAGCCGAAATTCTTCATTATTTACCAGTTTTCAAATTTACATATGGACACCGGCTTGCCGGTTAATAAACACTAGGCTTGCCGCTTGCCGGTTAATAAAAAACACCCGGGAACCACGCAAGAGCATGAACGGGTCGCCACGCTTTGAAGGCCTATAACTTTGTCCAGGGATAATATTTTTGTTAACTTTATATATCGTTGTACAGTGGACACTTTAGGCTTTCAAATGATACCAAATAGAGCTTAATTGGCTTTTTCATTTCCATGCAAACAAGGCGAGACGACACCCGAGTTAGGTAGGCCTCATTCGCTTAGAGTTGGCTCTGATTTTCTTGGACTGGATTATCTAATTAAGCTCTATTTGGTATCATTTGAAAGCTTAAAATGTTCTCTATATAATGATATAAAAAGTTAACATAAATATTATCTCTGGACAAAGTTATAGGCTTTCAAAGTGTGACGATCCGTTCAAATACCTGGATTTTTTTTTTAAAAACCTGGATCCTTTAAAAATACCCGGATTTTTCCAAAATGACCGGAAATTTTTCTTTTTAATAATTTAAAGAGCTGAACTTTCATTTTAATCTATAAATTTCCTTTAGGTGCCGCGTTTTTTCGTCGCTCGGTCGTCCTTAAACTCGTCTATAAATGCCAAAAAGAGCACCATTGTGATGTGACAAAAAGTGGGTTCTTCAAACATTTCTTTAAAACTTTAAAACTTCAAAAACCTTTCTTTTCCTTTCTACAACATTTCCTTTTAAAACTTTCCAACAAGTTCACGCAAAGTTCACCGAATTTCCGCTGTTTACTCTTCTCTTTTCCCCACCTAATTTTTGGTACTCTGATCAGCGGAAATTTCTTTTGGTTCAATGAAAATTTGATGACAAATCGGAGAAATCTTTGGCTCATAATCTATATTTTCCTATTTTTGCAATCAATGAATGAAAATTGAAAGACTAAAAGTCTCTTTTCCCGCAAATTTCTTTGTGATGAAATCGTGAAAACGGTGGCGATCTTTTTTTCGTTCTCTGGTTTACCTCCATGATGTAATTAGTGTGGAATATAAGCTGAATGTAATCTTTTTTTGAGTGCTAACTTTGAAAAACAACTTGCTGAAACGAATCTTTAAATCTTTAACTTTAGAAAACTTTAGAAAACTTTAGAAAATTCTGTTTTAGAACAGCGATTCAGCTGTCGATGTTGCCGCTTTCAAAAATGCCTTGATCGGGGAATGCGACCTTCCAGTAAGTTATCAAAAATTCGAAAATCTAAAGAAATTTTTATAGATTTTAAAGAATAATCTTAAGAGAAGCATTAAGAGAAGTATTTAACATTTAACATTTATTTTTCTTTTTAAAACAAATCATAACAATCTAATTTTATTTGAATAGAAAGTTTTTAAGTCAAATTTTGAGTTTATGCTTTTAAACAAAGATACTTTTTCAAAGAAAAGATACAGAAAAGTTGAATATAAAGAAATTTCATGAAAGGCTTTAATTTTCTTTAAATTTAAGCCTATCAGACTGTTAGCTCGGGTTAAAGACATGCATATCTTAGTCCGGATATCTGGTTGATCCTATCAAACTGCCAGTTCGGGTTAAAGACTAAGCCATGCAAATCTTAGTTCGGATATCTGGTTGATCCTACCAGACTGCTAGCTCGGGTTAAGGACTAAGCCATGTATATTCTTCAATTCTCTATCTTTTCTATCGTTTTCCACTTTCGAAAATCGCCTTTTTACTGATTAGTTATCAGAAAAGTTTTACAAATAAATTCATACTATTTAAGACAATTAAATAGTTCAAAAGATGTTCTTTTATTCAATTTAAAGTCTAAAAATCTAAACTTTTAAAACATTTTTGATTTTTAGTGGTTCAACCGAATTCCCAGGATAAACTCGACGCCTCGCCTCAAGGAGTGAATCTTTTAAGTGAAGTGAGCACTCCACCTTCAACAATTACCACGATAATTAGAGTGAGTGGAAACAACGTCATTCTTTTTTAAAACCAATTCTTTAGGAAACAAGCCCATCAATTTCGGGGATTTGTGAAACGAAATCAAACGATTCGAACTCAATCTCGCAAACGGAAAAAATGGCACTCTACGAGAAACAGAAATCCCTGAAAAATCGAGTCAATTCGATGTTTGAATCGGTGATTTTTAAAGAATACGATTTAAGAATAGTTCAAATTAGGTTAAAGCTTTAAATCTAAGTTGAAAGCTTTATGTTATCACAAGGGTTAGAGCTTAAAGCCAGTTAGCTGGCAAGACTGGTAGCTAGCAAGCCTAGTGGCTAGCAAGACTGGTAGCTAGCAAGACTGGTAGCTGGCAAGACTGGTAACTAGCAAGACTGGTAGCTGGCAAGACTGGTAGCTAGCAAGACTGGTAGCTAGCAAGACTGGTAGCTAGCAAGACTGGTAGCTAGCAAGTCTGGTAGCTGGCAAGACTAGTAGCTGGAACTGTGGGGCCGGTTAAAGATCTTTGCCTTTGGTTTTACAGAAGTCTCACCAGAAATCCCACTAGAAGTTCTAGAAGACTTGGCTTTTGGGCTTACTTTGTTCAGCCTGACTTGGTTTACAGGCCTTCAGCCCGGTTGAAACATTCTTTGTTATAATACTTCTAAATGCCAGTAACATGCCTTCATATTAAACCAAAACCCCTTTCAGTCAGTTCCCCTCACAAACTTCATTTTGCCGATCAAGCTGTCTTTGACTCAACAAGCCCTCGTCGCTCTCAATGAACACATCCAAAAATGGCCGCTTTGCACACCGGAACATGTGAGAAATCTATAAAATTATAAAAACAAATTTCTCAAAGGTTTTAAAGATTTGAAATTTAAAAACTTTATGACTTTACTAAGAAGCTTTCTATGATTATTTCGTTTATCGTTATCGTTATCGTTAACGAGCCAGATTTGCCCTAGTTTTCTAGCTGTTCAAGCTTAGAACTTAGAGTTTTAGATCCGACCGGGCAGCCCTTTAACTATGGAAGAACTCACCGGTTTTATCAACAAAGAAATCGAAAATATTGCCGTTTTTTGTATGAGTCTTGATGATTTCGCACATTTGGAAAAGGATCAAAAGGTTTAAAAATCAATTTCAAAACTTCAGCAATAAAGGTATTTAGTGGATTGTGTTTAAAAAGTTTTGGAATAATTTCTGCGCTCTCGAGCGTTACAAGGCGGCCGTGCGATGTTTTGGGCGACCAGCAGTCAATATTTGGGTCGGCTATGGGGGACAGTGAGTTGTTTGAAGAAAAATTGTAAAAAGTGACAATAATTTAACAATTTTGACAATAAACCATTAACTTATAGTAGACTGAACGTTCAAGAACCTTTTTCAGATACTACGACTTTCAAAACTACGGCGAGTGGGCAAATAGACAGCCAGAGCTGAAGAAAATGATCGAGTAAGTGTTATTCAAATCAAAATTGAATTGAAAAAACAGTTTGAAATGCATTTTTTGTTGAGATTCATAAGGATTACAAGAAAATTGAGCCATATTTATCGTTTATCGTTATCGTTATCGTTATCGTTATCGTTATCGAGCCATATTTGCCCTAGTTTCTCTAGCTGTTCAAGCTTTCCATGTTTAAGGATTAGTAAACTTAAGGTAACTTACTGTACTACATTAAGGCTTACTGTTTTTAAGACAAAAGACAGTAATGTAAAGATTACTGTAACAATTACAGATTCATGATGCCGTCTTGCATCAAAGAAATGGCTCTTCTCGGCAATCAGCTGATACGAATGGAGCCAACCGATTTTGAGTTGGTTTTCTGCATGCTGCAAACAATGTGGAATCTGAAAAGTTTGTCTAAAAAGCTACAGAGCTATAAAATAAACATAGCTATAAAAGAATCATAGCTATAAAGTTTTCCAGGAGATCCCGGGATCACGGAGACCACTCTCGTTGCAGCGGATGATGTGAAGAAGAGGCTGGCTCAAGAAGTTCATGACTATTACACGATTCAGGTAGTGGATTTTGAAAAATGTTTTAACAAAAGAACAGTCTGTGTTTTTGCAAAATAAAGAGATTAGAGATTAGATTTGCTTAGATATTAGATCTGGTTCTGGATCTGGTTCTCGATCTGGCTTTTTATCAAATCTAATCTGTTCAGCTCAAATCAAAAACGCAAAACTTTTGGTCAGTCGATCCAGGCCAAAAATTTTGAATCGAATCCACTTTAGGAAACCTTTTTTGACTTTTCGATGGGGAAACCAGGGATAGGAACAAAGACAGAGTGATCCAGATGGCAGATTTAATAAAATGAATAGCTCCAATTGATTCCCCGACCCTGAAAACCTGAAACTTACAGCTCAATATCTTCTTTTTGTATCATGTTCGATGCAAAAGAGAAATAGAAAGAGCTGAAGAAAGAGATTTTCTTTGTGCAGCCGCAAAATCGCTCACCATCTGGCAAACAGTTCCGATATAGAAGGCTTCTCTTTTAAAAGTTGTCAGCGTCTGAACCGATTTCTTCTTTTTGGGCGTTACTATGCCTAAATCTCTTGAAGCGATTCTTGCCTTAAATTTGGCTGAATTTTTGACACAAATTCTATATCTAACCGATCGTCTTACTCAAACAATAGCTAAATTGAGAGAATGCGATCTGAGTTGAGAGTTTAGCCTTGTAAACTTCATCAGTTTAGCGTTTAGCTTTGTAAACTTCATCAGTTTAGCGTTTAGCTTTGTAAACTTCATCAGTTTAGAGTTTAGCCTTGTAAGCTTCATCAGTTGAGAGTTTAGCCTTGTAAACTTCATCAGTTTAGCGTTTAGCCTTGTAAACTTCATCGTTTAGCCTTGTAAGCTTCATCAGTTGAGAGTTTAGCCCTGTAAACTTCATCAGTTTAGCTTTAAGCCTTGTAAAATTCATCAATCAGGTTTAACAATCAAAATTTTCTAGATGAGAAGATCAAACTATGCTGCAAGACTCATGCAAATGATGAACATCATTGCCTCGTTAGATGTAAGCTTTAAAGATTATAAAACTTAACAAAAATCATCAAATTTGATCGAAATTTGATCGAAAAACTGATAGAAAAACAAATTTGATAGAAAAACTTTCAGGAAATCGACCAACAACGCAAAGAGGATCGAACGGTTTGTCGAACGTTTGACCTATGCAAAGATGACATTTTCTATTATGATTTCACTGAGTGATTTTTATCTGTGAAACTTGTGCAAATGTAAATAAATTAAGTTTATTTGTTATTCAAAAAACTATTTATTCAAAAACTATCTTTTTTTGCAAACCAAATATGGGAAAACGTCGACAGTGAAGGGTTTAGCGATCAGCCAAGCACCAGGATAACATCCATAGCCACAATCGTAGTGATCCACAATCTAGATTATTGTTTTGCCTCAAAAAAAGCTCAATTTATCCGTTTCTTGATCTTTCAGAAGATTTTTGTAAACAAGTACAAGATCATTGGTTCCGTTAAGCAGAATCAGATGCAACATTTCAGCTGTGAATCAGAATTCTATGTTTGGAAGAGATTTAAGTCTTCTTTCCCTTTCCCTCAGCTTCTCTTTCCCCTATACCCTCTGCTCATCATTCTTCAAAACGATTTGGCAAAGAAAAGGATCCAAGGGGAATTGAACCCTCCACTGACTCGACTCGACTCACAGCCAGACAGATACTCCATCCACTGACCTACAGGTGCTCCTCTGATAGGCATAACCAGGAGGCTAAACCATACCATTTGTGCGTTGTCAGAATTCTATGTTTGGGAGAGATCTAAGTCTTCTTTCCCTTTCCCTCGGCTTCTTTTTCCCCTATACCCTCTGCTCATCATTCTTCAAAACGATTTGGCAAAGAAAAGGAATTGAACCCTCGACCCACTCGGCCGGACCAAAAGCCAGACAGATACTCTATCCACTGAGCTACAGGTGCTTCTCAGGCATAACCAGGAGGCTAAACCCCTTCCCTCCTCCTCCTCCCTCAAAACTTTGAGATTTTTGATTTTAAATCAAATAAGAATTTACAATAACTGCTGCTTCATCGTCATTAATTTCATAACATGGTGGGTGTTGATAATCAAATGGAGTCCCATCAGTCCATACCATTTGTCCGTTTGTCTTAAACCTTGAAGTCATTGCTGAAGTTTTCTGTATCTTTAATCTCATTTAGGTTTTCAAGATTATCAAGATTTTTGTAAACAAGTACAAGATCATTAGTTCAGAATCAGAATCAAATTCGTAATTAATCAGAAACAGATTCGTAGCTTTGAGAAAGCTATCAGAATCATGAAATCAAAATGGATCAGTTACCCAGCTTCAATGTTTTCCTAGCTTTTCTTTTTATTGTAATTTCACTCACTGAAATGCTTACCTTCCGTCCTCCAACCAGAAAAGCGCCAAGGTAGAAAGGAGGCTGAGCACTGTACTTTGTACAACCCGATTTGCAACAGAGACCTAGGAATTTTCGCTTGAAATAAGTTCATCTAAGAGCAAGCGAACTTGTCACAAAATCATTTTCAGTGTCAGAATGAATTGAAGCAAGATGACCGCCTTGACTTTGACAATAAGCCTCTCCAGTAGTGAAATTCTGATCGAAGAATACCTGAAGCTTTGAATTGGATCAAATTCTTGATATTGATGAAAAAACAAACCAGATATTGATAACCAGTTTGTGGCGAATACTGCCACCCTTTCAAACAGTTGTAGAGTGGTTGATTGTCGACTCAAATAGATCCATTTTCTTATTCCCAGGATTAAACCCACCCGCTTGACAAACCGTCGGTGCTTGCGTTGTCTGATCCACCGGCTGAGCCGCACACAACGCATACATTGCTTCACTGTTACAGTCGACGATTTTCCAGAGTTGGTCTGATGAATCCAAATATGCGCAATAACCACCAGCAGCTGAAAGATCACACTTTGAAGCAATGTTCAGAATGGACTTGTAACGAAAATATCTGTTTATTCTTTTTGCCGTTGGCAATTCAAGGTTTTTCGTGTTTCTCTCAGCACCAACCCTTCTATTTTAACTATTTTGACTATCATTCGATGCAGACTGAAATTATGCATTCAATGATACCAAAATTAACTCAAAATATAATATCCATGCAAAGTTATGAGACAAAAGCTTAAATCCCGCCTATAATGGGCGGGGTTTGGATTTTTAGCCAACGACTCTATGTGGATATTACATTTTGAGTTAATTTTGGTATCATTCGACGCGCAATTTTATTCTGCATCGAATGATAGTCAAAATCGACGGGTTGGTGGTGAGAAAAACCTTAAATTGCCTTAAAAATCCAAACCCCGCTCATTATAGGCGGGACTTAACCTTTTGTCTCATAACTTTGCACGGGTATTACATTTTGAGTTGATTTTGGTATCATTCGACGGGCAATTTTATTCTGCATCGAATGATAGTTAAAATAGTGAAAATCAAAGGATTGGTGCCGAGAAAAACACGAAAAACCTTGAATTATAAACGGCAAAGAAAACCGACAAATGTTTTTGTTACAGAACTAGTTCAGACCACTAAGAATCAGTCTTTTAATAAGTAACAAGTTTAGCACCTTGTGATTGAAAGCGTTGATAGTCGAACGGAGTCTGATCCATCCAGAACCATGGGTGATCCGTTCTGTCCCTCACAGCACCTAGCCAACCTCGATCTGTTGAAATTTTAAAGTATTAATCAACACTTTCAAAAACCATTTTGCATTTGAGCCAATAATCCATTCTGAAATGCATTGTGAATTGATATGAGCTCGCCTCCGAACGAATTACAACGAGTTCGACTCTCGGTAAATGAAAGCACTAAAAGATCGATTTCAAATAGTCATAAGACATACTTGCGAGCCAGTAACAAGTCATGGTTTGGTCATAGCGGTCATAGCTAGCGAACTCAAAAAGATCCTGGTAACAAACAGTTTCATTGACACACGTTTATCATTCATCCACATCAAGCATTGATTCAAATCTGGTTGATAAGTGAAACCCGATTGGCATTGAGAGTAAACTGTAGGAATAAATGATATATAAACAAGTAGAATAAATGAGAATTTCATTTTGAACTCCAATCTTGTCGAGGAAAGAAACAGTCATTTTTTCACAAAGTCCATAGTAGAGCTCATTTCATTTTCTCTCATAAAGATAAGCTCTCTTTGACATTCTGTGAAATTCTTTCTTGTGCTATTTTGAGCGCATTTTTTAACAAATTTTGAATAAAATGATAGATATTTACAAGATGTTTGACGGTCTGAGAGGGTAGTCAGCTTAGGAACAGTTGAGCGCTTAGCCGATTTGGAGATCATTGTAACCTAAAAGTTAGCTTTAAAAAAGGTGATTATAACTATCCATGTACAATTCTTGAATACAAATCTGGGATTTCCTAAATCTTGAACTAGTTTATCAGCCATAACTCACATGTACTGTTGCCTTTGTATGGATCTGGCGTTCTCGTAGCGAGCGACCATTTATTCAAAGGATTCGGCATACACTCGTATCGCTTCTAAATGGCAATGAGTTCGTAATAGTCTTGTTTTGATGTATTTTGTGCTCAAAGTACAAACATATCCTTTCTGATAGACTAACTTATCAAAAACGTCTTTCTTCTGGAACCAAATCGTCGATTAGAAAGGGGGATTCGACTCGACTAAAATAAAATAGACTAGAGTGTATTTGCAGCAGCAAACAAGTGATTTTTGAAACTGAATCAACAGAACAAAACTTGTAACCAAGTCACAATTTTGCGAATCACAATTACCGCATTCAAGTTCAGCCTTTGCTTGATTTGATCCACATCGTTGCAACATCGGAACAACGGGAAGAGACACATTTGTGGATTACAACGCATCATCCGGTATGGATAGCCGCTGGAATCAGCAAACAAGTTTTTCACAAGGCAATAAATGATCTTTTCATTAGCTTTTCAAAGAGCCAAGCTCAATATAGTAATTAGCAAACACGATGAGTCTTCTTGGCTCGATTTCGATGAGTCGATGGGTGACCACCGCCTCTTTTTTCGAATTCCAGAATTTGGCAGCAAAATAAACCAAATCGGTTGTTTTAATGGTTCCAAAAACATTTAGATGAAAATATCCGGATGGTCTTTTGAACAGATCTATTACCACGCAAGTTAATGGAAACAATTTAGCGCAGGTTGAGAAACATAGAAATCCGTTCCTCGGAAATCCCCTCCGGACAACTTGGTTGACTTTTATAACAAAAATGAACTGAAGGGGGACAGTTGTCCAAAGAATAGATACCCGGGCAACAGATTAGAACCCAGGCTGGGCAAAGGCTGAGTAATACGCAATTAAAGCAGCTACGGCTTAAGGCACATGTACCATGGCATCGAGTTTAAATCTACTACAAAAGAAAGCTCACATGCATGGAGAGCCTCTAATCGTGGTCATTTCAATTTTTCGTTTCATTTCAAAAGTCATTTAAACTTTCAAAAGTCACCTAAAGCATGCAAGAGCCAAATTTTTCTTTTAGAAAAGGTTTTAAAGAGGTTAGAAAAGGGTTTAAAGAGGTTACTTTCATTACAAGGGTTATCAAAATTCTTCCTCAACTTTGGCAAATCCTAGTTAATCGAATTCTCAACCTTTCAATTCCTATAACTTTATCAAATAAAGCCTCGTGCAAAGTCTAAAGCATAAACAACGAAACAGCTAGCGACTGTCATTTCCAGCACTCTCATTTCCAGCACTGTCTTTTCTCGTTCATTTCAATTACATCGAGAGTCGTGGCTGTAAAACCACGTACATAACCAAGAGAACAAGCTTTTTTTCTTAAACTTTTCTGTTTATATGGATAAAAATGGTTCAACCAGGTCGTATCGTAACTTGACTAAAGGTCAATCTTGACTAATAATATCGAAAACATAGAAAAACTTTGTTTGCTATCAAAGCAGTTGTGTAAACAAATTCAATGGAATTCTGGATTTGCTATAAAAGAGTCTCTGCGGAGTCTCAGAATTGAGGAAAAGATAAAATGTTATTGTTGCTATTGGGAACCGTTTTTGGGGTTGCTTTCACAATGGTCAAAGTTAAGACAACGACGCCGATTTCTTGCGGGAATTGCACGACTGGTGGTAAGCTACGATTATCACTTTTTGTAGCTTACATTTTGATCCCTGGTTATAATATTTTGGTTCTCTGGCTTGCTATTCGTCAAAAGCAATGTTTTATAGTTAGCTGAATCAGCTTAAACCGCATTTTAACCGCAGTTTAATCTCATTTTAACCATTTTAACCATCAGTGACCAATTAAACTATGAGTTACAGGTAAAGAGATTCAATGTTAGTGTTTAACTACATTATTGAAATTGTAGGACTGAAAACTATACTAGAAGAAAGCTATAATAGAAAACTATCAAAAAGTGTTTCTATTTTACGCACAAGATTTGAGAGACAAGCGCTACTAATCCAATCAGTCAGTTTCAAGGAGTTTACCTCCTAAATGCGCCTCCTTGCGCACAAATGAGAACCTAGATTTGATAAGCACAAGTATAGCACCTTGTGATTGACGAGTATAGCACCTTGTGATTGACGAGAACGAGTTAAGTGTAGTGCAGCGCTTATTAAGGTATTAGAACAGTTTCACAGTGGTCCAGGTAAGAAGTGATCTAAGCCATTTTCAGCTCTAAACTGTTTTCCATTTCCATCACTTCTTAGGACTCTGGTCACCATGGAAAAATGGGCCAACGAAGTGTATCACTGCTTATACGTGGACAGAGAAATCTGTGATAACAAAAGGAAAATGGAAACACACGAGGACAAAAGTTTTCATTGATTGCGGAATGTACGGAAGACAGGTGCAGTACAGAACGTGTCTCTCGGCTCAACTTGGATGTCCGTGCGTGTGAGTTGAAGGCTTGAAAGAAAATTCCATCAATTCTTGTTAAATCTACGACTAATGACAAATTTGCTAAACAAACTAGGCTTTTGCTAATTTGCTAAACAAGCTAAGCTAAAACCGAACTCAAACTTTTAGTGGAGACACGGTCCGTCAGATTTCTTGTGGTCAATCAAAAGTTTGCAGCATTGGAACATTGCCAGGAATCGATTGTGCTCCTGGATATATGTAAGTTGTAGAATTCCCACCAAAATCATTGAAATTATTACAAAACTTTAGCCAAAATGGTTCCTATTGTGTGGCAACAACCATTCCACCGCCTGACTCGACTGTGACTCCGAAAATCAACAAGCGTTGTGGTTAGTCTACTTGTGATCAAAAGTCAAACTTATTCCCAACTTTAGCACTAAAGCCAACTTGCAAATGCCTAAAGGGTGGCTCGTGGAGTGACTGGGAATGGCTCGACTCGGCACCATGTCCATCAATTCCTACCTATATGTATAATAAAACTACAACCGTCTACGATCCGATACAAGCTTGTGGAGCCTGTCAACAACAATTGCAGCAACGATTTTGCGTGTCCGCAATTAGAGGCTGTCAATGCACGTGAGTTTTCTTTGATAGATTTAAACTCGATGCAGTGATACAGTGATTAGCTTAGGCTTAGGCTTAGGCTTAGGCTTAGGCTTAGGCTTAGGCTTAGGCTTAGGCTTAGGCTTAGGCTTAGTGATTACAGTGATTAGCTGTATCACTTTAGCTACTTTAATAACTTTAAATGCAAATTGCACAGCCTGGGTTCTAATCTGTTGCCCGGGTATCTATTCCTTGAACAATTGTCCCCCATTCAGTTCATTTTTTGTCATTGTAGTAGTCATTAAGTAGTATTTATTATAATAAGTTGTTATTATAAGCAAGAGAGTCTGTGTGTCTGTCTGTCTGTCTGTTTGGCTGTTTTAGAAAAAACGGCTGAGCCAATCGATTTGAAAATTTGACTATATATCCAAAATTTTATGTAGTTTTCGAAAATCTAATTAGTTTTGTGGGTTAGATGAGCTATTTTTTGTAAAAATAACCACTTCCACTTCTTGAGAAACCACTTCTCAATTTCCCCGTTTGAGCGTGACCGAGTGATCTAAGAGCTGGAGCTGTGTGTCAGTCTGGCGCCAAAGAAGAGGTTCTTGGTTCGACCCCTCTACAATGCTGGAGTCTTTTTTTAAACGTTTTGAACAACAAACATTGTAACGAATACTTGAAACTAACATTTCGATTGCAAAAATGAATAAAGTTCAATCCTCGTTAAGCAACAATCGATTCGTAATTCTTAAGAGTTTTTTGTTTTATTTTGTTTAATAAATTCTAAAATCAAAATCTATTTTGTTTTACTTCAAATGACTTCTAAAATCACTAGAGTTTAGTTAATGATAAAGCACAATAGGATTTCTATTTCAAAGTAGCAAATTTCAAAAGAGACCGGGAAAAAAGATAAATAAGTCCTCCTTTTCATTGGACTTTCTATCAGAAAGATCTATCAAAAAGTGAGATTCTCACGATGAAAACGGACAACTTTCTCTTTTTTGCTTTCAAAAACTGCTTTATTTCGATAATGCTTTGAAGGCTGGTAAAAGTAAATCAGAGACAGTTGTTCGGGGAACGGATAACCCTCAGCCTGCTTACTGCTCAGCCTTTGCTCAGCCTGGGTTCTAATCTGTTGCCCGGGTATCTATTCTTTGGACAACTGTCCCCCTTCAGTTCATTTTTGTCATAAAAGTCAACCAAGTTGTCCGGAGGGGATTTCCGAGGAACGGATTTCTATGATCCCCAACCTGCACTAGATTCTTTCCATTAACTTGCAAAAGTGGTAATAGATCTGCTCCAAAGACCATCCGGATATTTTCATCTAAATGTTTTTGGAACCATTAAAACAACCGATTTGGTTTATTTTGCTTCCAAATTCTGGAATTCGAAAAAAAAGGGGGTGGTGACCGTGTTGACTCACACGCTTGTTTGCTAATAGCTATATTGAGCTTGGCTCTTTAAAAAGCTAATGAAAAGATCACTTATTGCCTTGTGAAAAACTTGTTTGCTGATTCCAGCGGCTATCCATACCGGATGATGCGTTGTAATCCACAAATGTGTCTCTTCCCGTTGTTCCGATGTTGCAATGATGTGGATCAAATCAAGCAAAGGCTGAACTTTAATGCGGTAATTGTGATTCGCAAAATTGTGACTTGGTTACAAGTTTTGTTCTGTTGATTCAGTTTCAAAAATCACTTGTTTGCTGCTGCAAATACACTCTAGTCTATTTTATTTTAGTCGAGTCGAATCCCCCTTTCTAATCGACGATTTGATCCCAGAAGAAAGATGTTTTTGATAAGTTAGTCTATCAGAAAGGATATGTTGGTACTTTGAGCACAAAATACATCAAAACAAGACTATTACGAACTCATTGCCATTTAGAAGCGATACGAGTGTATGCCGAATCCTTTGAATAAATGGTCGCTCGCTACGAGAACGCCAGATCCATACAAAGGCAACAGTACATGTGAGTTATGGCTGATAAACTAGTTCAAGATTTAGGAAATCCCAGATTTGTATTCAAGAATTGTACATGGATAGTTATAATCACCTTTTTTAAAGCTAACTTTTAGGTTACAATGATCTCCAAATCGGCTAAGCGCTCAACTGTTCCTAAGCTGACTACCCTCTCAGACCTTCAAATATCTTGTAAATATCTATCATTTTGTTCAAAATTTGTTAATAAATAAGCTCATAAGTGTGCCAGAAAGAATTTCTCAGAATGTCAAAGAGCGCTTATCTTCACGAGAGAAGATTAAATGAGCTCTTCTCTTGACTCCGGAGAAGTCTCCGATAGTTTGAGAATCCAGACCTAAGCCTGATCCGGTTTACAAACCCTAGAAACCGGTTGGAATATCCTTTATTTGAGTGGCTTTTAAACTGTCTGTAACTATTGTAGAAAGTATTGATGCATTCATTTTATGGCATCTTTGAGTAAGTCCAACAAATTCCAGAATCCAAGAGACAAAAGAACTCTTCTAAAAGTTACACTTGACCCAGATCAGTCTTGACTTTTAAAGGCACAAAAATGCTTAGCGAACCATTAGTATTCTCTGCGTTATATTGCTGTTTTAGGTACAAAGCGTCTACAATAAATTTATTCAAACTATTGAGAAAATTTTGAGAAATAAAACTTATCGAAATATTAGAAAAAAATGACTAGAATCAAGAATGGTTTTTGAAGAGGTCAGGCTTGAGCCAACGACGATCCTTGTTCAGCGACTGCTTCCTCTTCTTTCTCGAGTCTCTCTTGATAGTCAAAAATCACCTGCCAGGGATCCTCATTCCTGAAAACATAGAAATTAAGATATTTCTTTGAAATTCTTCTCATAATCATTTATATATGTTATTCATTATCAAAATTAAATGAGTTTATATTAGATTGGCGGGGAAATAATGCGAATGCTCTTTCTAATAGAAAAAGATTAATAGTAGCCGTGTTCAAAATGCAAAGTTCGCTAATTTAGAGGGTGCGTTTAAGAATTTGAAACCCACTGTTTTAGATCAATTTCATTGCCAACACAACACAATTGGAGTTCTTCCTGTGCTGTGCTTTCTGCGCTGTGCTTCCGGGTTTTATCAGAAATGCTAAAATAGTACAGAGAATGACTGTGAGGCTATCAAAAACGACATTTAAAGTTTATTACTTCAATATACAGTTTGTTTTTGTCGGCTTAACGCCACTTTTCTGCCGAGTTCTTCTCACAAAATTGATTTTAGTCAATTTTAACGACTAGGAAAAACATGGGCAATAAAAACAGCTGTTTTTTTGTGGCCAGATGATTTCAGAACACTGAGACACTGAATTTACTCTAATTCTTTATTATCTAAAGCTTAAAAAATTGTTTTCAAGTCTTATCGAAATATTTTTAAAGAGCGAATGATCAAATAATGCCGATGCCGATGCCGATGAGCTGGCAATTAGTCACCAAATAAACAACAATTTCAGTTTCAATAAAATCTTTCAAAAGTAAAGCAAACTTTTACAAAAAGAGTTATTCAATTTTTCTATTGAAAAGTGCAATTTCATGAGAAATTTTGGGAAAGGCATTGAAAATGACTGTCGAATTGAATTGAATTGAATTTGTAATCAATTGTTCTGTTAGGTATTTAAGGTGATCTTCAGATCACCTTAAAGTCAACAACAAAATAATTGTTAACTTAAAATGAAATTCGTTTTCCTCTTCTTTTTCATTGGTCTTCTCTTTGTTGAGGCTCAAGTAGAAACCACAGAGGGAACTTCTACGACTACGTCTCACGAAACAACACAAGGTATAGCTGGTAAGTGAATGAAATGAATGAAATCTTAACATTCTAACACCATCAAAATCAAGAACGATTTTGAATATCTTTCCACTAGAATCAGACATCTGACAATCGTTTATTGTCAGAAAAGTAACCCTTGTAAACTTTTGCTGACTCAGTAGGTGTTTAAAAGTCAGATCACTGGCCGGGCCGCGCCGTAGTTCTCCCTGTTGCCCTGAGAGTTGTAAGAACAATTGTAACAGTCAGGCCACCTTATCCTACCCAGTCGATTTTGCAATAACCTAGCACTTGTTAACAGCAACTTACTACCGTAATACCTGTAATAGCAGCACCCCCACAATGACGTACAGTCGCGTACTCGCTAAAGTAATCATGCGCCCAGATTTTTCTAAAATAAACTATTAGTACCAAAAACTCACTCTCAAGCGCTATCTTTTAATATCTAAGCGCACATTTTTTGTCGAAGCAGCGCGGAGAACCAAGCATCACAAATTGTGTGTTAGACTACGCGACTGTACGTCAATCTTACAGGTATTACGGTAACACTTGGTTCAACTAACTAAGACTTCAGATAGAAACCTAAAGATCTTTGGTATTCTGCTCTTTTCGTGATCTGTTTCGTAGCTGAGGCATACTTTAAAGTCTCCGAGTCAGTCAGTGTCATGAAAAAGTTGAAAGTATAGAAATCAAACTGTTTTCAGGTTACTGGCCGCCGCGCCTCGTCCAGCGTCGTAGTTCTCCGTGTTGCCCTGAGAGTTGTAAGAACAATTGTAACGATTCGGGATGTAAATATTGGTGCAAAGTGGATGGGAACTGTTGCTAAATAATTGATAATCTTATATAATTATCTTTTTTTGCAATGAAATAAAATCTACGTAAAAGTAATCGTGTTTAGTGAAAGAGTACGTTGATTTATTTGGAAAGAGGAAACTGGAAAAGTTGATTTATTTAGAAAGATTCCGGTCGAGCAATTAATGAATTTTAATTAATAACTATTTTTAGCAATAATACGCTTGATCACAGTTGCAATTCTTAAAATAATCGAAATAATGCCGAAATTTACAAAAGATTGCCCGGTTTGGGCAGGATTTTGTAGCAAAATGTTACTTCAAGTATAAGCAGCTTGTTCGAGTGCACGTTGTAGAAAAAACGATCACTTGGTTGGCTCCAACTCGAAAACGATCACTTTGTTGGCTCCGTTGCGGAAAATGAACTCAAGTAAGGAGGCCTAAAACTTGTAGCCCAGATATCTCGCGTTACAGGCCTTAATGGTAAAAATTGAAAATGGATTCGGAATCAGCGTAGTCGATTCGATAAGATGGAGTTGGTCACGTTTTAAAAGCTGACAAGCACCTGGCGACGTTCCCTAGTTAGAGAAGGATAACCCTCATTCTGGGATTACTACACCATGAACTCGATGAACTATATGTTGTACAAGAATAAAGATGTTAAACTCTAACTCGAGAATTGCATAACAAGGGTAATGCAGGTTCCCGATAGCCTAGGAGCCTAGGTTGTAGTACAACCGTCTCTCACTACCATTACCATAGTTCAATCCTTTCGTGAACCCGCTTACTGTCTTTGGTTTATGGTGAAATTGTTTATTGGTCTCTGCACAGAAAGCCTGAGGTTAAGTAGACGTTTATTATACAACAAATTAAACCTTTGAAGAATTAATAATGTTAGTTACTAAAGTTACTTTACAGGGTTTACAACGAATTCCTCATTTAGAAAGAGATCTTTTGCTTCCGATTCAGCCAACAACTGTTGTCGTAGAGGTTGTGGAGGTTGGGCCTGAAACTTGTTGATTGGAAATGGAAAGTCAAATCTAGAAAGATTACAGTTATTTGTTGGCCATGGATCCATTGATGTTGTTGTGTCATTCCAAAGATTTGATGGAGTTGGAAGACATTCATATCGCTTCTGAAATTAGAAATTAGAAAAAAAACTTGGTTTTCCTTTTACCGTTGTATAGTTGACTTGTTTCGTAATTCCATCGACGTCATTACAACATATCAATGTTGGAGAGATACAGAGAAGGGGATTGCAACGCTTCCAGCGATATGGTAGTCCACTGAAACGGAACGAAATAGAATTAGATGTGATTTAGTTTATATTTACTGAAAATTGAAGTAGCTACTTCATTCCACCTCTGAAATGCTAGCTTATCTAGAAAGCTGATGAAAACAGGAGCAGGTTACAGTTACAGCTAATACCGTTACACCGTTACAGCTCATAGCTCATGTTCTGATGGGAATTGTTGAAGTTATTGCTTCCTCTCAGTATTTGTAAGTCTCTTATTTACTAAAGCACTAATCCTGAAGCATCTAGTATGACACTCTTGGAGAGTTGAAATAACAAGTTATTGCATCTTAATCTAGTCGTGCTTGGGTTTGTAAAAATAGTTAGCAAAGGTTTTACTAATCGGTCTTCTCTTCGTACTCTGCTCAAGTCTTTTAACAGTAAAACGAACCTGCAAGGACATCCGCGAGTTGCCGATGTACAAGTCCTCTCTTCCAGCTGTGTTTGACACGATCCACAAGCTGCTGTGGCGTAATTTTGTCCACTTGTAGTATTATATTGATAGTTGGGGATCATCGGACACGGAGAAGTGGAAATCAACTGCCAATCGCTCCAAGCTCCACCCGATGGACAGGGACAGGTTGGGGAGATCACTAAAAAGTTCGGTATAGATGGATTCACTGTGTGAATAGAACTTACCACAATTTGGATTGCTTTGAGAAGGATCTGGGATCACCGGGGCATCTGTGGTAGTTGTTGCTTGGATACAAGTCGATCCGGACAAGCTGAAAGTGGTGTTTAGAGTTGGGAAGCCTTTATCCACTTCTCAGCGACATTATATCAAGTTCTACAATACCCAAACGTGAATCCAATGTTTAGAGTTCAGATCTCTCAGTTCTTAGCTACAGTAATCCAGTACCTGTATCCAGTGGCACAACTGATCCCAGGAAGTTGAGGCATTGAGCAGACTGTTGGATCGCCACAAGCAACTTGCCGAACGTTATCACCACTAGAAAATTTGACAATAAGTGCCTAATGGTTAGCCTAGTATTTTCTTCGGTAACCAATTTGCAACAAAACAACTCACATGCAAGGACATCCACGTTGTGCCGAGACACAATCTCTGACTTGCACTTGTCGTCCGTACATCCCACATGTGAAGTTTTGCTGTGTTCGACTGTAGTTTGGCTGTCCGGTTGTGGCCACTTGAATCCATGTCCATGACGGGGTACAGCTATCTTGATTGTACCAAGCTGACCAATATCCTGAAAGCGGAACTTGATCGTTAAATAATTGATTAACAAGAACTGTTCTTGTGCTTCTGCTTTCAGATAAAGTATGCAATCACCTGTAAAAGGACAAACACCACAAGTAACAGTAGTTGTTGTCGTGGATGGAGCTGTAGTGGTAGTTGTTGTCGTGGATGGAGCTGTAGTGGTAGTAGTTGGAGTTGTGGTCGTCGTGGTCGTCGTCGTAGTAGTATCAGTAGTGGTAGTAGTTGTTGTTGTGGTGGTTGTTGTAGTAGTTGTCGTCGTTGTCGTGGTAGTAGTTGTTGTCGTAGTCGTTGTATCGGTAGTCGTTGTTGTTGTGGTAGTGGTTGCCGTTGTCGTAGTAGTTGTATTGGTAGTGGTGGTTGTGGTAGTTGTGGTCGTTGTCGTAGTTGTTGTCGTCGTAGTTGTTGTTGTAGCAGTGGTGATTGTAGTTGTAGTCGTCGTTGTTGTTGTGGTCGTCGTGGTTGTCGTCGTCGATGTCGTAGTTGTAGTTGTTGTATTAGTTGTCGTTGTCGTTGTGGTGGTAGTAGTTTTGGTAGTACTCGTTGTCGTCGTGGTCGTTGTCTTAGCTGTTGTTGTTGTCGCTTTCGTTGTTGTTTTAGCAGTCAAAGTAGTGGTTTTAGTTGTAGTTGTTGCCTTAGTCGTTATCGTCGTCGTAGTGGTTGTTGTCGAAACACAGAGGTCTGGATACATAGAGCAAGTTATTGGAAAGCATCCAATTGTCGAAATCGCAGCAGTTGCCCCATTGTAAGTGAAGTCCCATTCAGTGCCGTTGCATGTTAGCTTTGCCACAGCTGATGGAGTTCCTTCGATTACTCCATTTGCATCCGAATTGAACTAAAGTACATTCTATTTTTACTCACAAATGAAATAAGCTTAAATTCAAATTTATTAAGAAACAGATTTCAAAGATTCACCGAAATATCCGCAGGATACCCAACAACTGTTGATGTACAAGTTAGCGTTCTTGTCACACATCCATTTCCATCCGTTCCCATAACATCTGAACAAGATAATTATCCTTTGATTACTGTTTTGGCAATTCAACCAAGATTATTACAAAGAATACATCTAATGAGTCTAACCGCTATCAAACGGAGTTGATCCAGAGCTTGTTGTATCAATGGTAAGCGTTGGATTTGTTTGTGTGCAGGTTGAACAGGCTGAAAAGGTTCAAATTACTAGTTTACATTGATAGAAGTATGTTTTAGATTAACATTTAAACTCTAAAAACCTTCGAGTCAAAGTCAGAAGCAGGAAGGTTTCATATGGACTCAGGAACATGGCTTGGGACTGGCTAGGCCAGGATAAGCCAAGACAAGGCCAGACTTGGGTCCGATCTGGTCTTGTCTTGTCTAGCTAGCCTTTCGAACGATAATCTTATTGTTAGCTCTACTGATTCTAAAGCTGTGCTCAAATTAATGAATTGCATTAGAAACCAATAAAAACTAGTGACTTACCACTTGTAGCTGTCACTGTAGGCCAGAGTTGTGTAAATAACAAAACTGATACAGTAATAAAAGCATATGGAAGCGATGAACCCATTAGAAATCTCATTTCTGATTTCAACCATCCCACTTTTCATATTTATATGTACGAGTGTTTTATTGACTCTTACTGAACTGAAACCACCATTCAAATGAGCTTTTTAAACTAGGAAGTTGGCATCTATGGCTGTACGAGGAAGAGACACGGACAGTACACAATGGGCTCTGTTTGACTCTATTGTCAAAATCAAAATTGACATCCCATGCCAGAACTAAATTTAGTGATTGTTCTATTTGGCTTTATGGGTCAGTTCATTTTGGGTGCCTTTTTGGTCCATGGAATGTTTTCGTCTGTTTAACAGAAATTGTTTATTTCTAAAGTTGGACAAGATATTAACTGATAATCAAGAGAAATAGTGCTTTCCATTTCAGCGTTTCCAATTTTATGCTTTCTTCTAAAATGCACTAGTTGGACTTGAGCATTCTCTAAAAATTGTACCTTTCAGAAGCTATCGTAATCTTGATATTGGTTTTATGGAAACTAAATATTGTATTCATATATATTTGCTTTGATTCTTTGGTAGTTCAAAAATTATACTAAAATGTTGAAAAAGTAGATGGATTAATAAAAGTAGAGAACAAGATTACGAGAGTTTTCAAAAAGCTGCCGATTTTAGCAAGCGCAACACAGTACCAAAACAAATTAGACTTAAAGTACAGGCTTTAGTTTAGACTGTAGCCACGTTTTAAAGTGCATGGGTCGTTTTTACATTTTTCAGTTTCCCTGCTTCTATGTGTGACTTTGAATTCAAATTTCGTGACGTTACAGCTTCTGCAAATGAATTGCAAGACATCAAAGTGGTTCAATGAAGTGAAAGGACGATCGAACAGAAAACCATCATTCAGAAAAACACAAACCAGGTTCAGACAATTTTTAGGAAAAGAAAAAATAAAGGAATCTCTTTAAAATTTCAATTTCAAGTAATTGCCAAGAAATTCCATTTCTTTTGAAGAAGGTATTCATAAAGGTATCGAACAGTTATTAATTCTTAGAATTCTTCATTTTCTCGCAAAATAGCTGATTGTGCATTTCGAAATTTTCATACTTTTCTACGAGAAATTCAATAGCTTCTTTGAGCGAAAAAAGACGAGCCAAATTCCGACAACCGAAATCCACAAGCTGATGGTTGATAAAATTAAAAATTTTAGCGATTCAACACTGGAGACTTCAAAAATGAACTATCATGAAGCCAACTTGCGCTTTATCACGAAGACGAACGATGGAAAGCTGGTCGCGAACAAGAAAGGCAACGAGTAATTCAACAAGAAGCACTTTTCAAGACCCTTTACAAAACGCGCGTTAAACTTGGACATGCAGGGATGTGCGTGATGTGGAAAGAACTCAGAGAATTTTATGGTATTTCAAAGTAAGTAATTGGTTGTACTTTTGTTTTACCTTATTTTAGAGAAATAATTGCTCTATTCGCCAATCTCTGCGAAGAATGCGAAATGACATGTCAAAATCCAAAGAGAACAGTCGTTGTGAAACCAATACAGACGCAAAGACAGAAGGAAAGGTGTCAAATCGATCTGATTGACCTTCAATCGACTCCGGATGGGAAATTTAAGTTCATCTTAGTATACCAAGCATTATTTAAATGCAACATTTTGTAGCTGTGCTTTAGGATCATTTAGCAAAAATTTTTACGTTGAGGCCGTGGAAAACGAAAATGGCAAAAGAAGTATGCGATCAACTCGCGATGATCTTTGGAATTTTTGGACTACCAAAAATTTTGCATTTGGGTTTATTTTGCAAGATTTTTAAAATTTTTGAAAAGGCAGAGAATTTGTCAACAAATGGATCGACGAGCTGGTCAATGTGTGGGGCCACTGCGAAGTTGTTCATGGAAAGCCCTCGTCATTCTCAATCACAAGGAAGTGTGAAACGAGCTAACACCGACATCGAGGTGGCTATTTTCTTAAATGTTTTTTATCTTAAATTTTAAGAACATCTTGCGCACATACCAGAGGGACCGGAACACTTCAAAATGGGCAGAATTTCTTCCGATGATTCAATTAATAAAAAATCGACGTTATCATCATGGAATCAAAAGGTCGCCATTCGCCGCTGTGTTTGGAAAGAATTACGACGACACGAATGAAAGCAGGTAGATTTTTAAACTATTATTTAAATAAATAATGGATTTAAAATGTTTTCTTTAGTCATGGTTTTGAGAATCCAGACAGCCTTGAGGTGACTGAAGCAAATGCTGAAGAAATAATCCCTCCGAATGAAGACAATGTATTGGACGAGAACAGTAACGGATCAAGTTTGTTTTAATTTTTTTTGTCTTCTACATTTTAATTTAGTTACACAAGAATTTGATTTTGCTAACCATGATAGAACAATCACTTTTGAGCGGGAAGGCCCCAGAGCCGGCCAAGTGACGGAACATTTCGAACTTTTTAGATGTCTTTGTCTCTAAAAAGCACCTGGCTTATCTGATTCTCGAATTTAAAAAAAATTAATTTAAAAATTTCTTACAATCAGTTCCTCGTTCTCCTTAATTCACTTTTTCAATCACACTCGTTTAGTGGTTTTGAAAAGAAATGCTTTTTCACCAATCTCCAACGACGCTAGGATCGTCTCAATCATTGAATCTCAATTTTTTGAAATCTCTGGCATCGTTTCATTAATTTTCTGCTCGTTGACTCTATATTTGTTATATTTGGAAAGCAAAAAATTCTCGAGATTGTACCCATATTTGCAAAATGGAATTGTGATGAGTTAACTATTCCGGGTAGTTAAAAAAAAACCAGTAGAATTTATTGAAACTTTGGATTAAAGCACTATCTGGTTATCAGGTTTGTTTGTGACAATCGAATTTGTTTCACTTCTAAACTAATATGATCTAATCGTTAACCATAAACCATTGAAAGCCATACACTGAAGCCATACACTGAAAGAGATCTTGACATTAACCAAGATATCTTTCAGTGTATGGCTTTTTATTGTGATTTTACCTTATGCCTCGTTCAACCTGTTATAATGCCCTACACGGCTTTTGTCACACTTTCATCTTTTGTAACCGGAGTTAGAGAAACATTAAGTATTCCTTTGTACTCTCTTTTCTGTACTCTGTAGAGTTTCTTTTGCTTTTCCTTGAAATAAAATTTTTTCATCTTCGATTTACAGCATTAACAACAAAAACAAAAAGAAATCAATTCTACCAAGTACGAAATGTTGTACACTAAAAAAGTTTGAACTCAAAAAATGAAATCAATTGAGTTCATCATGGATTTGATTGAGCAAATTGTCCAAGATGGTTACAGATCTTTCCTCGATGCTGTACGTCTGAAAATTCTATTTAAAATAGCCACTGAATTTGCTGAAAAACCTTAACTATTTTATCCAAGGTGTCTCCAATTTCAGAAATACTTTTCAACATAGTTTCCAAATCGTCCTCATATTTTCGATCTGTGCTGAAATTAATGAAAAATTCCTTTTCAACTGAGACTTGTTTACTAATAAATCATCTTTCGGACAAAACCCTCTTGTTGTAAACCCTCTTGTTGTAGACCCTCTTGTTGTAAACCCTCTTATTGTAAACCCTCTTGCAACCGGGGTTCTACTGATGGTTGCCTGGGACGACTGTTAGGGAACTCTCTAAATTTTTGTTTGCAAAGCTGTCAGCTGTAGTTATATACGATATTAGTAAAACTGGCGGTCTTTAGCCATTATTCTAATGTGTTATGGCTTATTAAAAGAAAGCTAACCTCCTGTAATACGCTGACCAGAGAACTTTCCCGATGCGAAGAAAATCGCCCACCTAAATAATATCCGTGCTTCTATGTATTAGAATGTGCTTCCCTCAAACAACACGCGTTCTAAAAAAGTGTCAACTACATAACTGCATGGTATCTTTAGATCAATTGTAGCTATCTTTGAATATTTACCGAAAATCGAGACTTGTCTAGCTTACAGGCTTTTTAAGTACTCCTAAGCTTCCCGATAACTAAATATTTCCAATGAAATTTGCAAAAATGTCTCACAAAACTTTTTGCCTACCATCACATTGGTCCAGATTTCTGGGGAGTTATGGATTCCGTTTCTAACGTCTGCGAATGCTTCTGGTGTTTCATTGTGAACTAGAGCATCTTCAAAATCACAAAGTTTCAGCTTCAAAATGAATCGATTTTCAACCATAGTTTCTTCTGAGATCAGAATGCTAGAATAGTGTGTTTTATTCACAAATTAGCACTCAAAAACAAACTCAACTCATACCAACTATCTTTTAAAATTTGCCTATAGCCTATAGTTTTATAAAGTATCACATCAATATTACAAAATGCTTACTTTTTCAAAGTTATATCCTTGTGAACGATTTTGTTTGCTCTCAAGTAAATGAGCACTTGAATCAGTTGAGCAGCACACCAAACTACAACAGTGGGCTTGGGATAAGCATAATTATCGCTCATTACCACTAAAAAGGAGCCAATGATAACAATTTTTAAGCACAAACCGTCGTTTAAAGTTTCTCGTCGACATTTTTGTAGCAACATCACAGTCTTTGGGATGTTGTGCTCATCGAAAGAGATTGTCATCCATCCAAAACATTTAACAATATTCGCATGATCGATGACTTTCAGAAGTTCGCTTTCTTTTTCTAGAGAAAGTCGGGCAGCATTTGTGTAATCTATTTGATTTCTTTTTTGAAATGAACATTCAAGTTTTCCAATCAATCCATCGGGAAGAAATACTCTGAAATCTTTCTGCTAGGAAATGTTCAAACTTGTTCAAACTAAAGCACTAACTAATTTCAAATAACAAATGTCAGGACTCAAATGTATTTCTCTCACTCTTTTACTGTGTGCGGAATCTTATACACCACATTGTATCGACCACGTCCAAGAAAATGCTCGGTTTCGACATACATGTCTAAATTCGATTTTGAAATACATATTTCATAACTTCTATTTCGAGAAAAACTCAATGTTAAACGTGAAAGAAAATACATCTAGTTGAGCAAGACAAAAAAGATTTTCCCAAAGAAAAACTATAAATTGTGTCACAAAGAGGGTTTTTGTGAACGCTCTTGCCACCTTTCTTTGAGCCAGTTGTTGATAAGAGCTTTTTTTGCCTCTTATCAACTACTGGCTCAAGGAAAAAAGCTTTATACCTCCTATTTTTTTTATTTCAGCACGCATCCTGGATTATTGTCTTCTACAACAACTCGGCAACTACACAAATATCAATCACAATGAGTCGATCTGAAGCTGGTGCTCAAGGCGCAAACTTTCCAGCAAGTGGTGGATCTTTGGGAATACTTCATTTCATTATAAATCAATACGAGCCGTGAGTTGTATGATAAGCAAACGTTTAAGAACTTGAAAACGTCATTTATTTAAAAGAAACACTAATGCTTTAGCATAAATAAAGTAGAAAGTAGACCTAAAGTAGACTAAAGACCTAAAGCCTGAAGTAAACTTAGACTTATAGCTGTTTAGTTAGACTTTAGACTGTTTAGTTTCTTTTAACTAAGTTGTCCTTTTAGAAAACAAGCTGTGAAATATTTTGGTAGCAATTATGAAGCTTTCAAGAAAGAAGCTGAAATACTTCAAAAACTCGAGCATACAAATATTGTTCGCTTTATTGATGGCCAATTTGATGAGGAGAATCTTTATGGTATTGTGATGGAAAGATGTGAACAAGGATCTCTTGCTAGAGGTTAACTGTTTAATTTTTTGCCAATTAGGCCTACATCAATGGCATGTTGTTGTCACTGTACTAATATTAGGTTGTAAACTAAGTCTTGACCTTCCTCAGCAAAGTTTCGAAATTTTGTTTACGTATACTGAGGGTTTATCAGTTCTTTCTTTAAAAACACAATCCAGAAAGCCAAATGCTCTTTTATATTTTTTTATTGATTATTTATTCAAATGCTACTCCAAACCTATCAACCGGGCATTTCTGACATGTAACGTTGTACGAGTTTAAAAAAGGTTTTCTATCTCTGTTTCTCTGGCAAACATCAAGAGCATAAATTAGGATGGCTCTTCTTCCGAAAGTACAATAAAACGCTGGTTCCACAAATTCTGAAATGGGGACATTTCTCTCGAGAATGAAGGCCAATCGGGTAGACCCCAGAGAGTTTGAAAATGTAGATATTCTTCAAAAAATTCGCGAAAACTCCCGGATTTCTTTGCGTAAAATTGCGGTTGAGGTTTAATACTTTGTAGCAGTTAAAAAGCACCTCTTACTATGGGTTTTTTACGGTCGGTGGATGCCCCACAACCTCACTGGCCCCATAAAAGGACAGAGACAGAGATTCAGTTGCCAATTCAGTTACCCTTCTTTCCAGATACGAGAGGAAATCTTTCTTGCCGCGTGTAGTGATGGGAGATGAGAAGTGGATTATGACTGCAAACTTTCAGAGAAAACAACAATGAATGGAACCTGAAGTTACACCAGCAAAGGATGTGCTCACAGAACCCCACCAGAAGAAATACATGGTTTGGTGGGATCTATTAGGTGTCATTTATTGGCAACTTCTCGATAATAAGAAGACAATCAATGCTTTATTATACAGCAACCAGTTCAAAAAACTCGATGAGAAAATTAAGGATTTAAGGAATTAATTAAGGATTTGAAAAAGGTCACTCTCCAACACGACAACACCAGCTCAAACACGGCAAAGTTGTCCCTCTCCACAATCCACGAGTTTAACTGGAAACTCTTATCTCAACTACCATATTCTCCTAATCCCAGTCCTACAGATTACCATGTTTTCCGATCGATGCAACACGTTCTGGATGGAGAGCACTTCCAAAATGAAGAAGACCTCAAAAAGTGACTCCAAGACTATTTTGACTCGAAACCAAAAATTTTCTATGAGAGGGAAATCCGTCAATTGCCAGTAAAATGGGCAAAAATTATAGCAAATAATGGAAACTATTTGATTAAACTACTCTTTTGGTTGTCAATAAATATTGTTTTGAATTTGGGGAAGACTTGGTTTACAACCTAATAACAAGCGTTTGTCACTGTACTAATAAGTGCTAAGTCTTGTATTTCGCAAAAAACACATCAAAAAACTACAAAGTTATTGAGAAATCTCGTGTTTAAAAATCCCATGATCAGCTTTTTCAGTTATTTTCTCTCCGGAATTTGAATATTCGATGGCGACGGTGATGTGGTGGATTGGGGATTTATTTGCTGTAATCCACTATTTGAAACAAAAATCCCTAGTTCATTGTGACATCAAACCATCAACGTTTTACGCCTTTGTGTTGCATATTTATTTAAATGATTTAGCATCCTACTTGACAAAAACTACGTATTGAAACTTAGCGCTTTTGGAAATTATCGAGAGCAAGAGGAAAAATCGAGGGTTTCTGTAGCTACTGAATTTTCATTAAATTTTTTTTAGATCACGTTTAAAAGCGATATGTTCAGCGCGGGTGTTACTTTGTGGGAGATGATCGAAAGAAGGTTTTGTAGTTTACTTAAAAGAAGTACCTCTCTATTACTTACCTATCAGACTCATCTTGCAAGGATTATTTGAAATCCTAGACAAAAATGTTAGAAAGATATGTAAGTGCAAATATTTATATTCCAGATAGATTTCAGATCTCCAACTTTCTCGGCCAACTATCAAATCGAGAAACTGCAAGCGGCAGAGAAAGATATTGAGGAGATTTTTATGAGGTTTAGTTTTATAAATTTTTGTTTAAAACACAAATAAAGGAAGCTAAAGCCTGATAAATAAAGTAATCTACTTAAGTAAAGTGACTATTATTTACCTTGTTTAGCTGTGTCGATGAAGACGCACAGAAGCGTCCTTTGCCTGCTGAAGCTCAAAAGCAAGTGAGCAAGATTCAGAAAGTAAGTAGAAACCACTAGTATTAAACGATCAATAATATTTTTTTAGATATTCGAAACCGTTTTTCAAGTGACTCCTCGACGCCGACCGGAAAATAGTTCATTGGTTATGCCTGACGGTTATGACCAAGAGATTGTTGAAATCTTCAAAGACAATTCCTCTACAACTTATTGGGAGTACAAAAGCACTACCGGTATGGAACCCGAAGCGTTCGAGCAACTTGATTCAGGATACCAAACTGGTAGCCCAAACATTTATAACCATCAACAGCTTTTTTAGATAGTTCGGCTCCAAAGAATTGGCTCCAAAGTACCCCAAAAGTACCCGGAAAGCCACCACAATCACATAATCTTGTTTCAGAAAAAGGTAGGACAGATTCACAGGCACTTTAACTTTTCACTTTAACTGCTGAGCTGCACTTTAACTTTTCTCAGAATCATTTTAATTCTAGTTCTTATCATTTTTAAAGAACTCTTTAATTTCTTGAATTCAACCCACGAAAAACATTGATAACATCTGAGCGACACTGAAAAATTATAATTTCGACGTAGTAGGATAAGTTTTTGCATCAAAGTTGGCGCAAAGATAATAAGGAGTGCAGAGTGCCCTGAACCATGCAGAATCTCTCATACATCTGAACTTGAATCAATTAATTTAGCATTTTACTTTATAATTTTTTGATTGTTTTATGATATTTTTTTAGATTCTTTCTCTATTTCATCTTTAACATCTTTAAAAAAAACTTACTGACGATAATAACCTTTTCTGCACTTCATTTCCTGGCATTCTTTGGAGAGATTGCGATGATTGTACCATTCGTAGTAACCAGCACATTGTAGTCCTTGATGTTGCCCTGAAAGAGGACTTTCTGAAAACGGCTCTACAAGAGGATTTAATGCACACGGAAATGACTGCCTGCCTCAAGCTCTTGGAAAGCGGGACGAATTGGAGAGTTCCGTTTATAACTGGTACCGTATAACAGTTGTTATCCAGTATTTCATTTCTTAGTATAGATGACTTCATGTACCCTGAGCCCGAAACTCCAGGTTTATGGTGGTCAATTCAAGAAGATGTGCCAAAGTTTTCTTGTGCCGGCTTCGACAGCTTTCCTACAATGCTCGAGCTTTCATATGAGAAAATGGTGATTATTGGACGAGGGACATTTGGTGATGTTTATCGACTTAAGGGCATGGATGATGTGTAAGTATAAAAATTAAAATAATTATTATATTTACACAATAACTTTTACTTTCTAAATAATCGTTTATCACTTTCGAAACAATTCTTGCATTTTATTATAGAATTCTTCAAAGAAATCCTGAGTTATCAAAAATCTAAAGCTAAACCATTAAAAATTAAATTTAAAAAAACCATTAAAACATATCTTTTAAATACATGGATATACCGACGTGTATTCAGGTCGATTGCTGTCAAAATTTTTGTTTATGAGCACATTTCATGGACAGATGAAGTTTATCGAAATTTGAACGCTATAAAAAACTTAAAAGATTCAAATCTTGTCGAATATTTTGAAGTGAGCGATAGATATGTCGAAGGCGGAAGAATTTATTTTGGAATTTTTATGGAATATTTCGAGTATGGTGATCTATTAAAATGCAAGTATTTTATTATATCTTTATTATATTTTATTATATCTTATTTTTCTATCCAATCTTTTACAGTTATCATGAAACCTTCATGGGTTTATATGATGGTCAACGTTTTTGAATGGGCTGTTCACCTTTTTAGTGCTATTTCTTTTTTGGAGCAACATCAATTGATTCATTGGAATATTAAAACGTCAAAGTTTCTACATTCGCAAATGTTTTGTGTTCAACATTATTTTAGTGTTTTGATGGGAAAGAGTTTTATTCTAAAATTGGGTGGATTTGAAATGATTGAGAGTTTTGACAAAGCTGACTTACAAAGATCTAAAGGAACCGAACGATACATGAGTCCTGAAGTGCTTTTTGGTCCAAAAGTAGCTTCCAGTATCACTATCATAAACTATATTTTTAAATTTTAAAGTTTTCCGAGAAAAGTCACGTATGGGCAGTTGGTCTCACCTTATGGGAAACAATTCAACGAAGGTAATTTTCTAAGTTTCTAGTTTCTAACGGTTTTCAAAGTCTAAATTTTAGATGCATTTTCACAAAGCCTAGCGAATTCCAAGGTTACATGACCCCTAGCAGTCTCACTGATTTAAAAGAGCAAGTCATTCTGGAACTTGAAACCTTGTCTTGTCTTGATGACTTCAAAAGAATCATTGAAAGGTCAGCATTTGAGTTTTCAAATTTGTAGAAAAATGTTAGATGCCTTGACTTGGAACCTTCCTCACGAATTGAAGCAAATGATGCTTTGCAAAAAAGTCTTGAAATAAAAAAGGTACTGATAATTCCAGTGACAGTGGTTTATGTACAGGATATAGATTTACAAGAAAAAAGAAAACGATGATCCATACGAGGACACCAAACGACATATCTTGAGCCCTATTAATTTTGATGGAAATGACGATGAAATTTTGATGGACTCAGATGACAAGCTTCTTCCTCCAGACGTCGACTTTGATTTTTCTGAATCTGGATTTTTAACTACGACTTTTTAAAGTACTCTGAATCGTTTTAGAAAACTTTCCAATTAGATGTTAAACAAATGTTAAACAAATTGTAAAGCAATGACCAGGAGACATGGTAACCGGGTCTATTCGATTCGGTTTTGGAATAGATTTTTACCAAACCGAATCGACAAATCCTTAAAACGGCTTCTAACCGAACCGAACCGAACCGAACTGATTGAGTTCTTCGATTTGGTTTGGCTCAAACCGACACAGGGTTTCGGTCTCAGCTCCAGCCTTTATCTTTTTTTTCAGCCTTTATAATCAGAAACTTGTCGAAATTAATCACATTACATGCAAAAATGTGCTAGTTTCTTAAATCGTAGAATATAATCGCACTATGCGATGACTTTCTCCATTTTCTTTGCTGCAACTAAATATCAGAGAACGTTCATTTCAGAAATTTTTTACTAGTCCAGAAACAGAGAATTTTTACTAGTTTTTTTCTCTATGAGTTTACACAAGTTCGTATACTAGCAGTGTGAAATACTACAAATAATGATAAAATTGAGACGAGAAAATTGTCTTTGAATCGTACAATGAGCATCACTCATGGTGCGCAAATTTCAAGCTAATTGATCAGAAAGAGCTAATTGATCTAAAACCTATCGAAGAACTCAATTGGTTCGGTTAGAAAGTTTTCGGTTCGATTCGGCTAGGAAGTGAACCAAATCGACCGGACCACAAAATCGGTTTGTAACCGAACTGAACCGAACCGATTGCGTCCGTCTATTGGTGCGAACCGAACCGATTAGATCTCGAATCGGTTGAAAGCCGAACCGAAACGAACCAAACCGATAGATTTGGAACCAGTTACCATGTCTAATGATCAATGAAGCAAATTAACCTGCTTTTTCTGATTCGGAAAAAAACAAAGCATTGTTTTCCTCCTACACCAATTTTTTCAATCTTTGTTCTACCTCTAGCTCACTTATAATCGAATACTTATGCTTTTTCCCTACAATAGCAACATATAAAACGAAGTTTGCATTGATATTTTTGAAATTTGTAAATTTAGCTAACTTTTATCATAATCGTTTTCTATTTGCAAGTTCAAAAAAGCACACTCCAATTGTTCTGCATGCCTTTTCATACCTTCTACCATGTACAGTCAGCAAAATAAGTCTTGCACCATTGTCTCCCAAAGGCTTAAAACAAAAATTTTTTCGCAAAAATAAGAGAAAAGTTGTTGGCAACTAATTCTACCATTGTGGTCTAGTTTCCGAATGAACAAGTAAAAAAATTTTTCGTAACAGTAAAATAGAAAAAAAATAACAAAAGAGTTAACGACCAACAAAAAAGGAAGCAAAAAAAGTCTTGCACCATCAAACAAATTCAATAAGTTTAATACTTTGTAGCAGCTCCTTTTGCTTAAATGATCTTTTGTAGTCTTCTGGGCGTCGATGAGACCAATTTGTGCAACACATATTGAGAGATCGTCTTCCATAGTTGTTCCACATGGCCCCATAGTTCAGCCTTATTTCGAAATTTTTTTTGAGTTTCCGTTTAACAATCGACCACAAATGTTCAGTCGGGTTGATGTCGGGGTTGTAAAGTGGTGTTCGAAGCAATTCCACTCCATTTTGATGAAGCCAGCCGGACATCCTCACAAAAAAACCCCTTTGAATCTTCAATCGACGTCCCATCATAAGCTGACTTATGTGCTTCGGGTCTCCATCTTGCATGAATAACCACCCCTGCCCCATTTTCGCTTGTGCATGAGGTAGCATATGTGTCTCCAATATGTCCTTGTACTTGTGAGCATCCATAATTTCGTCTATCAAGACTAGCGGACCAACGTCGGACGATGACATGTAACCTAAATATAGACAGAATTAGGCACAATCTAAAAAACATTAAAAAAACATTAACTAACCCCAAACCATGATTTGAATTTGACTGTAGGACGCATATACTTGAGTTTATGGCGTGTTCCAACAGGCCGACGAATCATTTGACCACCATCCGGATTGAATATATTGGTCTTCGTCTCGTCACTCCATAGTACCTTCTTCCAAACGTCGACCGTCCAATGTTTGTACGTCTTTGCGAAGGCCAATCTCAATCGCCGATGTCTCAAAATCATTAGAGGCTTTCGTGCTGGTCGTCGAGCAAACAATCGAACCGATTTGAGCCGGTCTCGAATTGTTTGAGCGGTTACTTCAAGCCCAAAGCAAGATTGAAGCAACTTGGCACCGTCGGTACTCGTCCTTTTTGGATCCTTTAAGCACATCCCGATCAATGAACGGTCCTGTCTGATTGTTGTTTTAGGTGGTCGACCACTTTTTGAATGTCGTTGCACATTTCCCTCTAGTTTTTGACGTTTACAAAGCCTGGAGACGATAGAGCGATCAACGATAAAGAGATCACAAATGGCCTTCACTTTCATCCCTCCTTGACGGGCTTTGACAATGTTTTCCTTAGTCAGAGTGTCCAGATATCGCTCGCAGGGGCATCTAAAAAAATAAATTAATGCACAAAAAAAATCAGAAAATAAAAAGAAAAAGTTTAGAACAGAATACAACGATGGTGCAAGACTTTTTTTGCGCTCTAAACCGGGTGTCTCTAATAAAACTTATTTTTTACGCAAAAGAAATAACTTGCAATAAAAATGAATAATATATTTGGAAACTAGACCACAATGGTAGAGTTAGTTGCCAACAAGTTTTCTCTAAAACGCTTCTTTTGCGAAAAATTTTTTGTTTTAAGCCTTTGGGAGACAATGGTGCAAAACTTTTTTTGCTGACTGTATAAAAGAGGGTTGCAGAATAAGATCGACAAGTACTCATTTCTTCAATTGAATATCTTCTATTCATTGTTGTGACCGTTTTGTTCTGGAAAAAGCCACGAAAACGATCCGGAAAGTCGACAGTCAGTGTATCGAATGTGATCATTGGGTCGAGCTCAGCCACGTGATCTTCCGGGAAAACTGGAAAATTAAAGGATTTTCTAAAAGCCGTGAAAATAAAGAAATATGAATGCAAAAACCGGAACAAATGAAAAAATCACGATGTAAACAAAAGGTTCACGAAGAACGTTTCCAGTGTTGAAAATCTTTGTGGGGAAAATGAATTTGAATTCTTGTCTTGTTCACTTTCAAACAAAAAAAAACTGAGTTGTGATTGGCAAACTTGAAAAAGCAGCTCTATCATTTTATTTTGTCGCAAAAGCTCTTGCAAGAACTTTTGCGATATGCTGGTACAATTTTACATATTTATTTGCACAAATTTTGAATCATCTTTGTAGCTTTTCCCAATTTCAAGTCTGTAATCCTGCAGAGGATTGATGGTTGTTGCCAAGGCAAGGATGGGCCAATGGAACTTGTACCAATGATGGGAAAGCTTGGTGCACAAATTAGCACCAGTATTCATTGCTAATAAAGGTCTTGTCTTGTCTACAATTTTATCCATTCGGGTAGTTGTTATTTCAAAAATGAGTCATGTCGAATTCTTATAATATCAAGTCAAGAATTCAGTATTGCCAAGAATTCAGCATTGTCAAGAATTCAGCATTGGGTCAAGCATTTCTGATCCTTCTTCTCCTCTTTTCTTTCTTATCTTTTGCAAAAAGCGCTAGATTTTGTCCAAAAGTGTGATAACTCTTTGAGAATTTTTCCGAACAACTAATTGATTAATTGATTATTGATTCTTCAATCTCAATTCTCAATTCTCAATCCTCAATTCTCAATTTTCAATTCTCGACAATGACAGCTCCACCATTGGATCAATTTCATGATCCATTTGATGAACGATATGATCAAGTGGCTGTTGATCCACCATATTTGGCCCCAGATTTGCCGACACCGAGTCAAAATCAGTCAATGAATGCTCAGGTAAACAATTTCGAACCCAAAATTTAGTTTTATAAAGCTTTTTTTAAAGATTTTACTTTCACTAATCCCAAATGACACTCAAATTTGACTCATTAAAATCCAAGTAAACAAACAAGTCAAGCAATTTGATTTGATTGTTTAAATGGATATAATAAACCCCATTCACGTGTTATTTGCTTCAAAAATTAAATGAAACAGTTCTGATTTAGTGAATGACTTAATTTTGTGAATCTTTGCATGCAAATAACAGATTTAGTTCTAGGTACAGCTTTTGTTCCATTCGTCTTTTTATGCAAATGGATAGAGTAAGATCTATTCTTTTTACTATAGTTTCGACTAAAGAACTTCATTTACAAGTCTTGGCTTTATATTCTTCCAAAGGTTTTGAAATTTATCTCAATTCCTTTACAGCAAAGGATCGAAGAGCTTGAAATGGTAACATTTGCTGCCCTGCAAGCGCAAGCTGATATGGAGTACTGCCTTGAAGTGGAAGAACGAAGAAGGAGAAGACTCGAAGAACCAAAGAATGTTTGATTCTACTTCTACTCTAAATATTAACAAATTCTTTCAGCCGACTGTCTTCATGCAGCCAGTGATCATCGATCGAGTTGTGCGAACGCCCGTTGTCGGTAATTTCAAATCCAAAACTTATTCTTATTTCAGTTATAGTTGAAAGCAGCTTCATGTCGAGCGTTTGGTTCCTCAAGGCTGGCCTTTGTTTAGGCATTCTGATTCTCTTGGGTATTTGTCTTATCATTGTGTTGTACTCACTCATCAATAGAAATTAGAATCTAAAATACAGTAGGGTCCAAAAGTTTGAAAACTCCAAAAACTCCAGTTGAAAAAGTAAAATGCACCGAGAGCGCGTTGAATGAAGGTATTGTGTGTTCACCAAACGCATATTTTGTGTCCTTTTTTGTCTAGTTTCTGGAAATTCATTTGATTTTATTTGAACTTTTATAGTTTTCATTTTCTCGGTCTTTTTCCAAGAGTATTGCTTCTTCAGGGGTCCTAAAGTTTTATTTTTTCTAATTCTGATATTTTTTAGAATGCCAGTACGTTTCAATCTATCAGAGGAGATCAAAGAACGAGTCATGGCAGCATTCAATCAAGTGGCCAAGCCCAAGAAGCATTGCCAAGATGTTTGGAATCACTTTTTTCGGCAGTCTGCAAGATCTACCGAAAATGGAAACAAACCGGAAGTGCAAAGAGGATTTCGGTCAAAGGAAGGCCTCAAAAACTTCCAAAAACTCGTCTATTTGAATTATTTAAAGATTCTAGAATACGAATAGGTCTCGTATCTTGCATTAAGAACACTTTTAGAATCTCACTTTTTGGCTGGAGAACCTACTTGACCACCTTCTCTTCTGACCCGATTTTATCTCACTCAAACAAAATATTTGAAAGAGTTTTAGATGGAAGATTGTGGGGAGATTCCAAGAATTACCTTGGTACTGCACACTTCTCGATCGAACCAGTACAGCATTGTGAAAACACTTTGCAAAGTCAATGCTACCAAAAAGCCCCATTTTTCTGTGTTAAATGAGCAAAGTCAATGCTACCAAAAAGCCCCATTTTTCTGTGTTAAATGTTAAATGAAAATTAAATGACAAAAGGCTTGTGGCTGTCATGAGTTCACAACCCCTGAAAAAGCGATACACTTGGAAAAAGACCGAGAAAATAAAAGCTATAAAAGTTCAAGTAAAATCTAATGAATTTCCAGAAACTAGACAAAAAAGAACACAAAATATGCCTTTGGTGAACACACAATACCTTCATTCAACGCGCTCTCGGTGCGTTTTACTTTTTCAACTGGAGTTGCGTCCAAAATTTTGGACCCTACTGTTATTTGCACTTGAAGTTAATTTGACATTCTTTTTATCTACAGGGTTTCTCAAAAGTTCAGAGTCACCTCGTTTTACGGTGTAAGGAATATATTTATACTTTGATCTTTATACACATAAGTACACAAGCTACGACAAACGGGACAACTGAAGATTGTCTAGTGGTTGATTACGGTAGTTCAGTTGACTAGACGATATTCAGTTGTCCGTTTATCCATCAACTTTGAATTTTAACTTGTGTATTGAGTTTTGACTAACTGCAGAGCAGTGGCAATTCGCCACATACGGCCAATAACAAATTTCAGAAAATTCAGTTGATTTTTGAGAGAAATTCAAGCGACCAGGCATTTGGGTTGATTCTGGCGATATATTCGCCATTAAAAGACTTGATCTTTACTTGCAAAGCTTTAAGTTCAACACAAATTTGCTATAATGCCAAACTTTTTAAGAATATTCAGCTTTGGATAGCTTTTTATGTTATCTTAAAAGAGAAATTTTGGGTAAACAAGGTGGCTCTAAACTGTATATTTACTTACTTATTGCCTTGGTTGACTTGAATCCTCGTTAAACTCTTGGAAGTACAACATGCTACCTTTCACAGCTTCCAGTCTGGACTGCATAAAGTTTTCATTATTTCCTGGACTTACAAATCAGCACAAGATTTCAAATTTACCTTCAAGCAAAACCATTTTTTTTGTTTTAACTATTTAATTCAAGCTTTGACTTGTTTATTGTCGTTGATTCAAATAGTGAAAAAGCATTTGAATAGATGCAAACGCCTTTCAAGCAAAACCCATTCCCCTGCAAGTGTCCAGATACAAAACATTCAAGAGCTGTCGAATGAATCATCTTGGACTCGGGCCTATTTTTTAGGGAGGAAACATCCGATTACCCCGACTAATAAAGTGAAAAGTTACGCAAGTAAATAAAAGAGATGTGAATGAAAATAGAAATGATCTAAAGAAAAGCAGAAAAGTGTAAGTTCAAGTGTAAGTTTTCGTTTTGTTTTCTCGGGTCTATCCCAAAATAGCGCCGCCAAAACAGCGCCGACCAAAACAGCGCCGCCAAAACAGCGCCGTACCCAAAACAGCGCCACCCAAAACAGCGCCAATGCAAAAACGCGCAAAACAGCGACGAGCCAAAAGAATTATTTTTTAGATTTTTGCTTTTGCTTTTTCTTTGCTGCTTTTAACTTTTTCTGTTCACTTTTTGTGTGTTTAGGGTAAAAAAAGGCGGAGAATCCGATTTTTTAAGCTTTACGCATAGAAACCTGCGATAGCGTTTATTAAAGTGATTTTAACCAAAAATAACAAAATTTTTCCTTTTACGGCCTGTTTTTTAACGTTTTCACTAACTTTTTATTTCTACTACGGATCACTTCAAAGCTCTAGCTGTTTAGGTTCAACATCGCTAGTGTTATGATGTTTCAGAGTCTCTTGGACTATTAATTTGATGCTATTTTGATGTTTTTTATGCATCGCTTAATTGTTATCGTTTATTGTTGTTGGTCATGTTATTTTTAAATAAATTATCAAAATTAAAAGCTGCTAATAAAAAAAATGAATTGCACATTGTAAAAGAGAAAAAAAACTTTGTTTTGTATCGGCGCTGTTTTGGGCGTTTTTCATTGGCGCTGTTTTGGGTACGGCGCTAGTTTGGGTGGCGCTGTTTTGGCCGGCGCTGTTTTGGTCGGCGCTGTTTTGGCGGCGCTGTTTTGGGATAGACCCGTTTTCTCACTTATAGTCAGCTGTTTTTTTGAAAAAAGTAGGTTAAAGAACAAAATAATTCATCTGTTTGTTCTCACTCGGATCTTTTTCTGCTTTCCTTTAGATCATTTCTATTTTCATTCACATCTCTTTTTGTTTACTTGCGTAACTTTTTATTTTATTGTTTTCTCGGGTCTATCCCAAAATAGCGCCGCCAAAACAGCGCCGACCAAAACAGCGCCGCCAAAACAGCGCCGTACCTAAAACAGCGCCACCCAAAACAGCGCCAATGCAAAAACGCGCAAAACAGCGACGAGCCAAAAGAATTATTTTTAGGAGCAGCTACACTTTCTAGTGTCAAATTTATCGACAATTCTTTCCGTAAATCCAATGACAGTCGATACACAGTTTCAAACTGTGTAACGACTTTAAACTCCCCAAAAAAAAGCTCAATTTCAAGATGATTTATTCAAGCTTTCTTGAACCTTTCAAAACTTTCAAACTTTTTGAAAAAGCTCAATGATCTTCGTTAGAATACCATATAATACAGATAATACTATGCAAATTTTAAATTAGACTTTAGTTCTGTAATTCTATAAATATGAAAACTTTATATTTGAATATGCATCAAATATTTGTTGATTGCTAGTGTGGAAAGGATTGTTAGTTGGTTAGTGAATTTATCGACAATTCTTTCCTTACATCCAATGAAGAATCAATAAAGAGTTTCAATAATTTAAACCTGTAAATTAAAGTTATTTAAAGAACATTGGAAATGGCCTGTTTCCAAAAGCGGAGCCACTAATTGCACAGGTGAAAACAAAATGCCAGAAATTGATGGCCAAATCTCATATATTTACAAATTATGGCTGAAGAATTGGTCGAAATCGATTGCATTCTCACAACTCATCGTTACTTGAATTTTATTACAGGTAAAGATTGCAAAGAGTGTTTTCTAAAAGATGTCTAAATCCACCGTACTCCGGATTCTTTTCAAATCAAGCCAAAGGTGAGCTTGCCTCCTCAAGGGAAGCTTTAAACAAGGCATTCAGTGAAGTGAAGCATTAATTTTGATCACGGTTGTTGTTTTCAACGGCATCTTTTAGAAGTTTATTGACTCCTTGCTCAACGTTCTCATTTCAGTACCTTTCTTCTTATTGAATAGCTTCGGATTGTTTGTCATCTATTTTGCAACTCCAAAACATTTAGGAACTTTCAAATACTATCAACTAATTGTGCAGGTAAATTGTTTTAAAGTTTGGCTAATTGTAAGTAGCGTTCATTTGCATTCAAGGTTTTAAAAGGTTTTAAAAGGTTTTAAAGGCTTTAAAGGTTTTTAAAGGTTTTAAAAGCTATTCGAAAGTTTAATTCGCACTTGATTTCTTAAGTTTCAAAGTTTCTTGTGGGTAAAATGTGAAAAGTATCTAAATCAATGGAAAATTAATACCGTAAATACTGTAATAGTACCCCACCACCCTCGTACAGTCGCGTAGTCGCAAGTCGCGTAGTCGTAGTCGTTTTTTAGTATTTCATTTTTTGCAAAGCACCCGTACTTTCAAGAAATGCGTCTTTGGTATGAAAAAAATAGCTGAAATTCAGGGCTATTTTTTGATACCTAAGCGCGCATTGTAGCATAAACCAGTGTCGAGAAACACTCGTTCAAAGCTAGACTACCGTATTTTTTCTAATAAACGCCGCCCCCCCCCTCAACCAACTTTAGATGCCTCGTTCTCAGCCCGATTTTATGATATTTTTATGTTTAATATACCAAATGATAGAAGAAATTAAGGGCTATCTTTTGGTATATTAAACATAAAAATATCATAAAATCGGGCTGAGAACGAGGCGTCTAAAGTTGTTCGAGGGGAGTGGCGTTTATTAGAATAAATACGGTATGCAACACTGCGCATCGTCATTATTGGAGTAGGGCACTATTACAGTATTCAAATACATCTAAATAACCTACCGTAAATACGGTAATAGTACCCCACCCCCCTCGTACAGTCACGTAGTCGCAAAAGTTTTTTAGTATTTCATTTTTTGCAAAGCACCCGTACTTTCAAGAAATGCGTCTTTGGTATCAAAAAATAGCCCTGAATTTCAGCTATTTTTTGATACCTAAGTGCGCATTGTAGCCTAAACCAGTGTCAAGAAAAACTCGTTCAAAGCTAGACTACGCAACACTCCGCACCGTCATTATGGGGGTGGGGTACTATTACAGTATTTACGGTAAGTAATCGAATCAAGTTTCAGTTCCTCGGCCTCTTGAATGATTTCTTTCTTTGTTCATGTGTTTTACCCGTTCCCTGTTTCCCAGCTCCATCCGTTCTGTACATTGGCCTCTTTGCGAATCTCGGAGTATCGAAAATTTGTCAAATTGTAAGAATATTATACTAACATTCATCAATATCATAATTCTAGAGTCTGCAAACATTTTTGCTTATTGAATTCGTGGTAGCTTTACTGGGAGCGATCTTTGAGAAGGGACAGGCTGTTTTGCCTGATCATCACTGGGCAAAATTTGGAAGAAGGTAAAATATTTCACATTTTATTCATAATAAATCAATAATTTCTATGAAATTTATTTCAGAAAAGCTCTTGTTACTGAAATCTTCTGGTACTCTCATCCACTTTTCCTACTTGAGCCTATAGTTTATGCAATCTGGGCAGCAAATGATGAAAAAGTGGCATTCAACGAGCAAATTCAGGTTTAAATTGAGGGGTTTATTCAGGTTTAATTCGTTAAACTTTCGTTTTTTCAGAGATTTCCGGAAATTACCTCTTTTCTCACAAATGTGAATGTTTGGATACTTGAAAAATCAGTGGGTTCTGTATTTGTGGCCACTCTAGCAATCTACTTTTCGCTTTTTGGAGCAGTGCTTTTCGGTTTGGTTTATATGTTATTAAAGTTTCTCATTTTCAGCCGTACTTTCAAGAAATGCGTCTTTGGTATCAAAAAATAGCTGAAATTCAGGGCTATTTTTTGATACCTAAGCGCACATTTTAGCATAAACCAGTGTCGAGAAAAACTCGTTCACAGCTAGACTCTCATTCTCACAACAGGCTTGCTCATCTTTACCAATCACACTCTGACACAACAACGAAACTTTATGAGCTCTCGAACTTTACATCTACACAAGAAATGGATCCGGAATCTCAATCTTCAGGTAGTATTAGACAATCCGTTCCTTTTAACTAATCAATTTTCAAAAACAAGTCAAAAGCTATCATTGTTTATGTTTAAAAGCTATCATTGTCTTGACTAACCGACTTTTGGTACTAATCAGTCGTCAAGTTTGGTATCATTTATGAAACTAAACACCAAAACTAGTACGCCAAAAGGCAAGCGTTTATGGGATGAGAAGAGCTTGTAAACCCTCAAAAGGAAAAACAGCTGATGCTGATGGTTCTCTTTGATTTTTCAGCTGATTGTTCTCTTTGTGATGTTCTTAGTCCCCGATATCTGGTTTATCATATGTTTCTTAACTGCAAACACGAAAATTATTTGTAAGTGCTTAAAAGTTAATGAAATCTTGTTTGAAATGAAATTTGAAATAAAATTTTCCAGGCTATTCCATCTTTGCCTCATTCTTCTTTGCTTCTCATTCAACAGTTGGTACTATTGTTCAACTGACTTGTTATGATACTTACCGAGAATTCGTTTTTCGACTCATTCGATGTGAAAACCCGATAAAGAAGAAGAAAAAGCTGCAACCGATTGCAAGGATTGCTGTAGCTTGGGTAAAAATATCACCTTTTATTTAAACCTTCAAAATCTAGACAAAAGAAATCCCTAAAACCAATATCAATGAGCGATCACGGATATCAAGAAGCACATCAGTGTTTTGAAAAACTTATCTGACCTTAAAAACTGACTTGGCTTGTCCTGATCCAATAAAGAAGAGGTTCTAGGGGACTTTGAATGCTTTGAACGCTCTATTATTGTTATTATTGTTAACTTTTTATATGTAATAGTTTTAGAGAGGAGACTAAAGATCTTAAAAAGAAAAACACGAAATCAAAACCACGAAAGCAAAACCACATACAAAAGAAATAAAATAACTTATTGTGAGAGTATTTTCTATAAAAATCAAAGTAATTATCTATTTTAAATCAGTATACAAACGAATTTTCAAAGAAAACGTTTATTTTCAAGTTAACTCAAATATTTCAAACTTTCTTCCTCCAAAACTTTTATAGTTCTCTTTTTATACCGTTGGCTTGGCTTTTTACTATTGAAATAAGTAGCTAAATGAGCTAAATGGCTGATTTTAAATGAACAAAATTCGGTAACTCTGATTTTATTGATTAATATAGCTTTGAGACTATTAAAGTCGCTCAATAAACTGTGCTCTATTACTGTACTGTACTGTATTCTATCTTAATATACTTTTCTTGTTATACTTTCCTTCTTGTACTATATCTTACTATATGCTCTAATGGTTTAGGTTGAAGTAAAATAAAGTCCACTAAAGAAACTCACTTTGCAGTATAAACAACAAAAGCAGCAAAAAAAAGAGGCAACAATAGAATCAAAATGATGATTCGTCCAGAGATCATACTTGAAAAACCGATAGAATGGTTGAAGATGACAGAATACGTCATAATTATGGGTCCAGATAAAATCAGTCGGTAAAAACAAAGTCACCTAAAGATAACAAAGTTTTATAATAATCTTTATGTTAACAGGTGTAGAACTGAAATTTCAAAAAATTCTACTTTGCCTGTAAGAAAAGAAAAAGAAAATGGCAGCTGCTTTTGTCTATAATTAATCCCCCGACTCAAAATTTTATTTAACAGAATTGCGATCGTTGAGAACGGAAATCAAGAATTCAATGTTCTTGACGGGGAAACTGATTTCATAAGAAATTAACTTTTTGTAAAGGTAACTTTTAACCTTTTCCTACAGTAGCGTTTTCTCGTACTGATTGGGTACACAAAAAGCACCTGGATAAGCAAGAACTAAACTGGAATAGACAATGAATTGTAGAAACACATGATTTTGTGGACTTTTAGAACCAAATTCCAGTAGTTGATAAAGAATGAATAAAGAAGAGTTCTTTAAAACAAAACTATCACGTTGCCATACCCGATTTCGATAAAGCATGAGGAAAATATTAAATGAATTTACCTGTGAAGTCGATGTTTCCAGTTCAACAATGCCATTTGGTGAGATTTCCTCTTCAAACCCATCCAACTCCAGATTATCATCCAGAATCTTGTCGCACAATGAAGCGCCATGTTCACCATCCGAGGCGATCGAATCAGAGATTTCCTCTTTTTCTTCAAACATCGCCATCTAAAATGGAGAAAATAGTAATAGTAACATCAAAAATGAGCAAAAGAAAAAATACGATACTAGAATAGATTTTTGGCTTGAATTTAGAAAAATAAAAGAGCATTAAAAAAGCTGGGGTTGCTTGGGGGTTTTGTAGACTCAAAAACCAAAAAAAAATGAAAACTTTCAATGCGACACAAGATAAAAACTTCTAGTGATTTTATCCGTAAACAAATAAGAAATACAAATGGATGGGAATTGATGTAACGGCTAAAAAGTGAGGTTTTAACACAGGCAGGGGAAGAAATTGCGCAAATGAAAATTAAAAGGAATGCAAAAGGGCGCGCTTTAGCAAACAGCAAATGTGCGGTACGGTATTTTTCACTTAAAATTTGAATTTTTTCAATTTTCATTTTCAAATTTGGATTTAACCGTCATTTTTGCGATTTTGCATATTTTCAAATTTGAATTTAACCGTCAAATAAAAGAAAACGCAGAGTTGGGAAAAATCATCTTGATCTTCTCGCCCGATCAACTTCTGCAATGCCTTCAACCAAGAGTGGGTTTTTTTGTTCTTTCTTTATTTTCTTTTACTTTGATTTATTTTAATTCGAGTTGTTATGCTTTTAGTTAACATGTTTCTTAAGTTACTTTTCTTAAGGTCCCTAAGTTACTTTTTTAAGTATTGAATATAGTCCATGAATCTAATCTTCCTATAAGTTTTCACTTCATTTAATCTTTCATCGTTCAGAGATGGCTTCTGTCCGCTCTCGTGGTCGTGCTGCTCGCTCAAGGCCTTCTTCCGTGTCAAGTGCCGGCTCCATTCGTTCTCGTTCGGGTCGTTCGCGCACTCCAGCTGCTGAAAGATCTTCGATCTTCAACTACCTTGCCGGCCCTCATCATCAAGCCCTTCGCGAAGCCTTGCGAGCTCGCCGTATTGATGAGAAGAAACGTCAACGTCGCGTGGACATGGTGTGTTTTCCTTTGCTTGTTCATTAATGTTGTTTGGTTTGCTATTTAAATTGTTTGTTAAGAAATCGCTTCCTTCTGATGCGGTCAACCAAGTGCCCTCAAGCCCTTCGGGATCTCAGGTACACATTGCGCTTTTTTCATTTAATCTTGAAATTTAGGATTCTGAAAGCTTCTCCGATCTTTCTGAATCCTCCCCTTCCTCTGCCGGTGGTCAAAGCTCTCGTTCGGCTTCAGTGGTGACGGCTACCCGTTCCAATGTCAAGCGCGCATCTCGTTCTCGCTCTCGTTCGCGTTCAACTCGTGGTCGCTCCGCATCGGGCCGCTCCCGTTCCAACAAGAAGCGTGTGGCAAAGCGCGGACGCTCGGTGAGTTACTTAGTTTTCATTCGCATAACTTTTTTGCTTAGGCCTCTGGTCAACGAGCAGGTCGTGCCTTGAAGAGCGCTGGTTCCGGTCGTGGACGCTCCAGATCGGTGCGTTGACACTTTCAATTGAAGTATTTTTATTGGCTTCACTTTTTTGTTTTAGGCCTCAACTCGCCGTGCCGCTCGTGTTGTGAAGGGTTCCCGTTCCCGTTCTCGCAAGGACGACAAAGCCAAGTCACCTAAATCCGCACCAAAGTCTGAGGTTTCACTTTTGTTTGTATCTTTATTATGTTATCAAGCTTTTTAGAAGAAGCGCCGCTTGACCGCTGACAAGGAATGATGGATGTTTCACAGAATAGCCACCCTATGGCCTTCTCCACTCAATTGGTGCCAATAAATCTTTTTCCGGGAGCGCAATAAATATTTTGGGGTTTAACATTCGCTTATACAAACAATTTGAGTGCTTATAACATGTACTTATAAATTTTGTGCTGGTGACTTGAATAATTCAAGAAACAATGTAAAGTATACAACGAAATGCATTTCTGAGCAATCATATTCTAATGTTTATCTCAAATTTGGTCTCTGGCTTTCCGTAGAATTTCAGTGATCCACTACTGATCTCACAGCTGAAAAAAAGATTGCATTTGGAAAGTTTTGTCTATTTATGAAAGCAAAGGGACTCACTGATATTCCATCAAACCGACGGTCAATTTCGAGTTCAACGGAATGACTTGGCCCTAAATTTTCATTTGTTCTCCAAGAAAAGATCTAAAAAGACAGTGCCACTCACTTCTGGAATCACACAACCGATCATTTGTGTTTCACCGTGGGATTTGCAAGTGACTTGGAAGCGCTTTCGTTGAATCCATTTCTCACCTGAAATCCATTGAATCTCAAAGTGTTTTCTGTCTTTCGCCTACCGAATTTATGTTTTCCGCCCTCGGAATCCATGCAATCAGGGTTCGCTTTCTTCCCAATACCATTCAAAGTAATTGTACCATTTTGTGATGCAACCAACGAATTTTGGCATTCCGCCCTCTTCAAATTCGAAAGATTTATCGATCCAAGTCGAACCTAAACATCGTTTTTAAGGCTTTTCATTTGAAATCACTTCTCTTTCGTCCAGCAGGACTATCGGCATTTTTGTCCATTTCTTGTTTCAATGAAATGGGCGTTTGCTGAGAAATGCCTTTAAAAAAACCTTTTTGCCAGTTACTCACCTCGCAAACCCATTCGTGATTTGGTGTAGGTTGAAATGATTGATCGGCAAGTCCACTAAAGAAACTCACTTCGCAGTATAAACAACAAAAACAGCAAAAAAAGAAGCAATAATAGAATTAAAATGATGATTAGTCCAGAGATCATACTTGAAAAGCCAATAGAATGGTTGAAGATGACAGAGTGCGTCATACTTATGGGTCCAGATAAAATCAGTCGGTAAAAACAAAGTCACCTAAAGATAACAAAGTTTTATAATAATCTTTATGTTAACAGGTGTAGAACTGAAATTTCAAAAATTTCTGCATTAGCGGCGACGCACATTTCAAGACGTGGGTGGAAGACGTCAACTGGCAGCAATTAGGCAACATAAAGCACGTCCCATGCTTTAAGGAGCGCTTTCTTTAACGACTCAAGTGTTTGATGGGGTTTAGCACAAGCCTTAGCTTCTAAGAAGTCAAACAAAATTCAAACGGTAAGCTATTATCTTTATCAACTCTTGTTCAACATATAGACATATCTACTTTTTGGTAGCCAGCTTTTTCTTGTATTTTTTTCCGCTTTTCAATTGCTACAACCACTTTTCCTATAAATTAATCTGTTTTCAACCTATTTTTACCATTTGCCAACATAGCTGACTGGCTAAGAGTCCAGTATCTTAGTCTTGAAGTCAAAGGTTCAATCCCATTAGTTAGACTATTGCTTCTTCTTCAATATGGATTTTTATGGCTTGCATATTGTTTGTAATATTCGTGTGAATAAATGTATTTTTAATTTATCCTGACGAGAAAATATTGTAGAGAGAGGGCAAACCGAGTTCAACGGAGAGACCAAACCGAGTTCATTCAGAAAACTTCTGGAAAACTTTCTCACAATTATTTGGTCGATTCTAGGAAATGGATGAGTAAGCTTTCTTATTTTGTTACAAAGGTAATTACAGGTTTCTCACGTTAATAGGAAAAATTCTCTCTTTTTTCTGCAAACTTGCCATAAACAAAAGATATCCAGTTTTCCCAGGGTTTGCTTGTATTTAAGCTTTTTTTTATGATTTATGTATTGACGATTAACGGTTTTATAAGTAGAAAATTACACGTTTCAAACAAAAGTACATAAAGAAAATGAAAGCTACATTGCTTTTGAAGCTCTAAAACCCAAGGAATTTTCAATTTCTTAGCTTTTGACTTCGATATTCTGTAAAATTTCAGTCAAATAATATTTTGTTAGCTTTTTATGATCATAAGCTTTCAATATCATGAGCTTAAACTTCTAATATTTGCCAAAAAAGCTTACTGTAAGCTCTACTGTTTTAGCTTACTGTACTTAGCTGGCTTTTGTCTTGCTGTGCCTATCATACTACTCTATTTTACTTAATGAACTTTATCTTGTCGTACTTATCATATGATATCTTACTGTCTGTCTTACTGATACTTATCGTATTGTACTCTATCTTCCGTTTGTCTTACTGTACTGTACTGTACTGTACTGTACTGTACTGTACTGTACTGTACTGTACTTTACTGTACTGTACTTTACTGTACTGTACTTTACTGTACTGTACTTTACTTTACTGTATTCGATCTTAATCTACTTTTCTTGTTATACCTTGTTATAGAAAAAGTTTATTTTTCAATTTAACTCAAATTTTTCAAACTTTCTTCCTCCAAAACTTTTGTCGTTCTCCTTTTATACCGTTGGCTTGGCTTTTTACTATTGACATAAGTAGCTAAATGAGCTAAATGGCTGATTTTAAATGAACAAAATTCGGTAGCTCTGATTTTATTGATTAATATAGCTTTGAGACTATTCAAGTCGCTCAATAAACTGTGTCCTATTGGTTTAGGTTAAAATGATTAATCGGTAAGTCCACTAAAGTGACTCACTTTGCAGTATAAACAACAAAAACAACAAAGAAGGAGGCAACAATAGAAACAAAATGATGATTCGTTCAGAGGTCATACTTGAAAAACCGATAGAATGGTGGAAGATGAGGGAGTGCGTCATAATTATGGGTCCAGATAAATCAGTCGGCGAAAACAAAGTCACCTAAAGATAACAAAGTTTTATAACCATCTTTATGTTAACAAGTATAGAACTGAAATTTCAAAAATTTCTCTATTAGCGGCGGCGCACACTTCAAAACGTGGGCGGAAGACGTCAACTGTCATCAATTAGGCAACATAAAGCTCGTCCCATGCTTTAAGGAGCGCTTTCTTGAACGACTCAAGTGTTCGATGGGGTTTAGCACAAGCCTTAGCTTCTAGGAAGTCAAACAAAATTCAAACGGTAAGATATTGTCTTTATCAACTCTTGTTCAACATATAGACATATCGACTTTTTGTTAGACAGCTTTTTTCTTGTATTTTTTTTGCTTTTCAAGTAAAAACAAAGTCACCGAAAGTTTTATAACAATCTTTATTTATATGTTAACAAGTATAAAACTGAAATTTCAAAAATTCCTCTATTAGTGGCGACGCACACTTCAAAACGTGAACGGAAGGCGTCTCGTTATTTTATCTGGTTTTCTTTCCTTGTCATAATTCTTTTAAAGTCTAACTGACAACTTTAAAATTCAATTTGACCAAACCTTAACCTTTTTAGCTTCTTTTTAAAACCGAATCCCAATTCAGAATGTCAACACCAGACATTGGACCAATTCGGGCAATTTTCGGCTATCCAAGTTACATGTACAATTGCTCAAATCGAACGGCCGAGCAATGGGCAAAAGAGGGAACACAATGGCCAGCGTTGGGCATGTTTTTGGCAATCCTGGGCACATTTTATTTCGTAATTTTACGACTTTTAATCTTTCAACAACTCATTTTGCTAGGGTCTCTATGTTCCGAGTTTTTATGCGATCATCAAATGTCGACTCACCAGTCATTCTTGCTATAGAGTGAGTGTGATGATGGAGAAATAGATAACATATTCTTTAAAGGCTACAGAAGACTACAGAAGGCTACAGTATGCTTATGTTTCAGATTATGTCCGTTTTAATTTTCGCTGATGTTCTCAATGTCATCTCTGCTTCGTGGTTCAACGCATATATGGCGGTAATTGGTGGAGTTTTTTGCACGAATCCCTTTTGGTCGTATCTCAATGGAATGTTCACAATTTGTGGGTTTCATAATTTTCTTGACAATTCACACTTGTTTACCAATCTCCTACACTCAAACAATTGTCTTTCAGCGGTTTGGAACTTTGCCTGCTATCACTATGTCCTTTTGGCGGTCAATCGTTTATGCGTGATCACAGGCTTTCGAAAAATCGATTGGTTGTTTGAGGTTTAGCTCAATCACATGAAAATCAAGAAAAGAACTTGAAATTTCAGCGTTGTGGTGGTTATATTCTGTGGCTGGTGCCGGCTGTGATCTATGCAATTCATAACGGAGTGCTCAACAAGCCATTTTGCTTCAATTCACGCGTCTTTGCTGTCATTCAATTCCCGTTCATTCAAGAGCCAACAGCAGTGACCCCACAGGTTAGTACAGACTAAAACTGGGGCTGGAGAACTTTCGGTATGAACATCAATAGTTGTGCAACGAAAAAAAGGCATATCTTTGCCAATTTCACTCCAATTTCTTTGATTTTTATATCAATTGACGCGGAATTTAGTTTTCTATCGGTTGAAACCAAAAACAAAAAGATTGGAGTGACATAGGCGAAGATACGGTGTTTCTCCGTTGGACACCTATTGACGTTCACACCAATCACACCTATTGACGTCCCAGATCTAGTGCAGACACATCAAAGATATCAAGAAAGAGTAGATATCAAGAAATTCGGATAAATAAGGCTAATACTTTTCCAAATCTTTTAAATAAACTGAACATCATAAAACTGCATGTTTTTCTTTCTAGCCTACTGTAGGAAGAAGGTATGGTTGATTTCTTTGAAACATTTGAAGCATTTGAATGCAAAATATCCAAGTCAGGGATGTTTTGCACACTGTTTTACACATCAATTTGATCACACAAAACACTAGTCGATGTTTCTGATTCTGATTTCTTCAACGAAAGGCATTCCAAATCTTTCTTAATTTTTGCCATTGGCTTACAGAACTTTGAAAGAACTTTAAAAGATACTCACAACCAATTTTCTTACTTAAATATTTGATTTCCGGTTTACGGAAGTGCAGGGTGTACCCCAAACTCGAATTTAACTCAAATTTAACTCGAATTTAACGAATTTTCAGCATGCCGCATAGCATTTTTTCTATTGCTCAGCTAGAGTTGTGAAAGTCATTAAAAATGTTACTTCTTATTAATGTTTTTATTAATTCTTATTAATTCTTATTAATTCTTATTAATTTTATGTAAAATTACGTATAGATTTTATGATTAATTGTTGTTTTTCAGGCTTAGGTTAATGCATTGTTTTAGAAAGCCAAAGAGATGTTAACACATCAACAGTTAACCCTATAAATTGGCCCCATTTTGGTGCCCCAAAATCACCCGAACCAACCACTGTTTGCAGCACTTTGATTTTACTTTTGCCTTTTGGCTTGACGATCTCTTCTACTTTTTGCTTATTATGCAGATTTTGACTTTAAAAAATATTATTTACTTATTCAAGATCCGCCTGCGCCTGCCCGCAAAGCTTGAATTGTCGAAGGCTGGTGTGAACGAAACTTCCCGGATTTCATCATCTTTAAGCAGTGACCACCATTAAGCCTCGATTTAAATTACATGGATTACTCAATCTAGATTGTTCTCAAGCACATTCAAGCATTAATTCACTGAAAAAATCACTTCAAAAAGCTTGGGCTGAACTCGGTCTTGCGTATCTTTTGGCGTATCTTTTGGCCACCATCGACGGCTTCACAAAGCGTCTCACCGCTTTTGCTGCCGCCCATGGATGTATTTTCGAGAAGAAATAAACCAAATTGTTGAAAACAATCTAGAGGATAAATTTGTTAATGTTAATTTTTGTTTTCTTTGATCAAAAGATTTTTAAACCATGAGTTTTATTGGTTCGGATTTAGTTTTATTGGTTTTATTGGTTGCGCACCTGTATTAATGCGGACAAAACTTTTCAGCCATCCTGTACAGCAAGAGAAATTCTATAGGTAACTAGTTTTCGAATCAACCTGGAGCTTGTGTTTTTCCAGTTTTTATCTGATACTCACCAATATATTCAGTCCATTCTTCCCATTTATCTTTCTCATTTTCATTTCGAGTCTTCTTTCGACCTTCTTTTTATGAGTGAGTGTGTGAGTCTCCATGTGAGTCTCCATAAGATCCAGAAAACCGAAAAAAGCTTTCTTTTACTGAAAGCAATGATTAAATTTATGTGAAACAAATGGGTTTTCAACCAAATTCTTATTTCTCGACTGACTTGTTTCTCCCTTTCGAGGTATTTTCGAGAAGAAATAAACCAAATTGTTGAAAACAATCTAGAGAATAAATTTGTTAATGTTAATTTTTGTTTTCTTCGATGAAAAGATTTTTAAACCATGAGTACAGTTTGGGTACATTTGGGGCACTCTGTAAGAAAAACTCTCAAGACTATAGTGATGAATTCAGGATATGATTCTTTACGACAATTGGACGCATGCCTGGAACAACACGGGTACCGGTGTCCTTCTCATCATCATCTACGCTTTCATTTCGCTTTTCGTCATTTGTAAAAAGGATTTTCGTGTATCGAGAGATGAAATGGGGGTGGGAAAATCTTTTGTTGCTTTATTTTTTTGTCTAAAAGTAAGTCAAAAACCAATCCCTATAGCTATAGATTGTTGGTTTTCGAATTTTTGATTTAGAATTTGAAATTTTGAGAGGCCTATTAGCTTTTTTTGATTAATAATTACGGAAATTCTTGGTAGAAGTGAAATTTTTGATCTACGAAGACTTTTTGTACTCGATGTGAGCCAGGAAAGTTATAGATAAGATCCAAAACTGAAAGGGGAAGACTGAGGTGGCTAAATTATATGAACCATATACCATAAGATGCAAAATTTGACGCTGATTCCGATGCTGATATCCGTTTTTCGCAAAATGATTTGGAAATCTGGCAAAGGAAATCTGGCAAACAAGTTTGAGGTCAAATTAGAAGTCGCTGGACTTTAGCCTGCTCCTAGCCTACCCCTAGATTGACTTTGACTTTGGAGAAGAATCTAGGAAGTTACAGAAGCAATTGGAAGAGCTAAAACTGAATTCAGAAAGCATCAAATCTCATGGATATTCTGGATTCAGACTAACCACCAGACAGACTAGATTTGATTCAAAAAAGCAACTAAAATTGCTAGTTTAGCTAGTTAACGAACGTAATTTGACCCAGCCAACACACTCTCGCTGCTTTCCAAATAAGCAATTACAATTTATTCTTTTCCAGCTTCTCCTCCAGTCAATTCTCATCACCATTCCCACCTTTTTGGGCACAGTTGTGTATGTTTATGTGCAAATGTTCGCCTCTGATAGCATAATCCTCAGTTTGGTGGGATATATCGGATGGCAATCTTGTGCAGGTTTCAATATTCAATAGAATATCAAAAACTAATCAATCTTAGGAATCGGATCAGTTGTTTATATGGGTCTTAATCGAAACATTCGCTCGTTTTATTTCCAAAAGAGTGTCAAGAATGACCCAACGACGGAGAACGAGCGAAATGCACCAAATAACTCGATAAAAAGAGGAATACAAGATTCATATAATGTTCGTGTGGAAGTGGTGTCATGAAAGCTTGTAAATATCAAGATAAATATCTATTATTTAATGAGTTAGAGAAGTGAAACAATTGGAACAACTTAAACTCACAATTCGTCGACTATTTCCACAATGGCATAAAAATAGAGAAATTAGTAGGATTATATTACAGGACAACAAAATTAAACAGACAAAATATTTCAAAATTTGTCTGTCACTTGACATCTGTTACTGACGAAAAAGATAGGCACAATTATTATTGAACAATTTCACTGAAATAAATAACGTATTGATTCTAATAGAAGCACAGCCTCTAATAGAAGCACAGCCTCTAATAGAAGCACAGCCTCTAATAGAAGCACAGCCTCTAATAGAAGCACAGCCTCTAATAGAAGCACAGCCTCTAATAGAAGCACAGCCTCTAATAGAAGCACAGCCTCTAATAGAAGCACAGCCTCTAATAGAAGCACAGCCTCTAATAGAAGCACAGCCTCTAATAGAAGCACAGCCTCTAATAGAAGCACAGCCTCTAATAGAAGCACAGCCTCTAATAGAAGCACAGCCTCTAATAGAAGCACAGCCTCTAATAGAAGCACAGCCTCTAATAGAAGCACAGCCTCTAATAGAAGCACAGCCCACAAGCCACATTTTCCGACGCGGATGAAAAATAGAAGCACATGTGCTTCTATTAGAATAAAGTTGTTAGTTGTTTTGTTAAATGCAAATGCAAATGTTTCAAAAGCTCCTTAACGATCAGTTATCAGTCGACCAATAACCGTTAGTTTGAGAAAAATACCGTAATCGAAGAGTCCACTTTTCGCTGTCTATTCCTCTCCTTTACAATTCCCAGCGGGCTCCAGATACATTTAATTGTCCCGTATCTGGCCCCATTTCGCCATTTTGCCCAATTTTCTTATCATATCTAGAAATTCACGCAAATCTGCTCAAAAATAATTTCCCCATCCACTATAAATAGAGATCCAAATTGCCATTCGAATCATTCACAAGTCATCTTCTCTTCTCTACTTTGAAAACTCTCTTCTAACATTCTTACCTTTTTTTCTTTTGATACCTTTGAGCTTTTAACTTTATTTTTTAATTAGCTAATCGGTTAAGAAGTAGTATTTTAGCTCAACCTTCACTCCATTTTTCATTTTATGCTTAAATTTTAGCTTCTCAACTTTCCTCATAAAGACCTCTTCGAAAATGTCCGATGAAGGCCCATCTGATGCGAAGCGAGCCCGTCCGGAGGATATTGTTTTTCGGGTATCGAAATAAACCACTAGAACAAAGAATATTCAGTTAAAAGATTAACAAAATCTGTTTTTTTTTAATAATACTGATCATTTGAAGTCTAAAAGCTTATGTCCTTCTCCAGGTTATCTCCAAGGAAGACAAGGAATTCACCCTGTCGAAGAAAGCGGCGCAAGTCTGTGGAACCATCAATCACTATGCTGAGGTTTCAAAAAAGAAAATAAATAGAATTTTTCTCTAATTTAGCATCGAAATCCATTAAATTTGACGATTCTCTAAGTTTAAATACCTTTTCGCTTTCAGAACACCGGTTTGACAGACGATGAGGCGATCTCGAAAATGGAACCGATGGCTCTTCCAAATGTTTCCAGTGAAAGCCTTTATTATGTGAGTTTTGAATGATTTTAATCTTATAAAATCAACTTTTCATCAGTTGCAAGTCTGAATAAAATTCTTCAAATCATCTTTCAATTTCAGATCATTCGTTGGTGTGAACAACACCGCGACTGTCCGGCTTGGCAAGAAGAGAAATGGTGGGTTAAATAATTGATTTAATTCGATAACTAAATAAGTTAATATTTAGCAGTGAAGTTTGCAATTTGATTACTCGCAAAAAGCCTTAATTCTAACAATTCAGGTGGGAAAACAAACGCGATGCTGAGTTGACGAAATGGGAGAAAGAATTCATGGCCGAGCTGACTTCCGAGACTTCCGAGGCGCTTCACGATGTTTACTTGGTTGGCTTTTGCAAATAATACATTAGAAGCCTTTTCGGTAATAAAATCAAAACATCTTACCATTTCAATCTGAAAAACCCTTACCAATTCCTTTTCCAGGCCGCCAACTACATGGACATCAAGTGCCTTCTCGATAAATGCGCTCAAACAATCGCCGATATGATCAAGGTGAGTTTCAAAGAGAGATTTGCATAGAAATAGCTATAAAAGCTTTGAGTAAGTCTCAAATTTTTAACTCTTTTCAATTCAAATTTCAGGAAAAATCTCCGGAAGAGATCCGCGAGATTTGGGGATTGGAGAACGACTTCACTCCCGAAGAGGAAGAGGCATTCAAGTGGGTTTTGAGAAGAATTGTGATTGGATAGAAGTTTGAACTGATTGAATCTTAATCTTGATATTCTCTTGTTTGCAATTTCAAAATGAATAGTATCAATGCAAGAATGGGTAGCTATAGAGTACATTAAAATAATGATTTGAGAGACTTTTACAGGCTAATCTGGAGTCGCACGGCATTTAATTTTGATAATGAATAACATATATAAATGATTATGGGAAGAATTTCAAAGAAATATCTTAATTTCTGTTTTCAGGAATGAGGACCCCTGGAAGGTGATTTTTGACTATCAAGAGAAACTCGATAGAGAAGAGGAAGCAGCCGCTGAACAAGGATCGTCGTTGGCTCTAGTCTGAGCTCTTCAAAAACAATTCTTGATCTCACTTATTTTATAGTTCTTTAGCTATGTTTTTAAGATGTTTTCTCCAAATTTCCTCCTAACTTTTGCCTTTTATTATATGAATAAATTTATTGTAGAAGCTTTGTACCAGAAACCGCAAATTGCCACAGAGAATAACAAGGTTTTGCTAAACATTTTTGTGCCTTTAAAAGCCAAGACTGATCTGGGTCAAGTGTAACTTTTAGAAGAGTTTCTTTGTTTCTTGAACTCTGGAATTTGTTGGACTTACTCAAAGATGCCATAAAATGATTGCATCATTACTTTTTGCGAAAGTTACAGACAATTTAAAAGCCACTCAAATAAAGGATATTCCAACCGGTTTCTAGGGTTTGTAAACCAGATCAGGTTTGGGTCTGGATTCTAAAACTATCGAAGACTTTTAGAGAAAAATTAATTCAAGTAAGGAGGCCTAAAACTTGTAACCCAGATATGTCGCGTTACAGGCCTCGAGGGCAAAAACTGAAAATGAGTTTGGAATCGGCGTAGTCGATTCTATTAGGTTGTCCAGTTATAAATGCGCGTTTTTAAGATAACAACTCTTTATTTCAAAACCAAGAGTTTAACAGCTCAATCAACAATATATTCACCATATGTTAACAATATTTGTTTCCATCTTCCATGCAAAGAATGAATTCCTTCGGCGTAAAAATTGGCTTGTTTGAAGGCAAAGAAGTCGGTTAACCATTTTTCGACCTCTTGAACATCTTTAAACCTGTTTCCAGCCAAATGGTTTCGCATTGAGCAAAATACATGGTAATCTGAAAGAGAAATATCCGGAGAATATGGCGGATGCGGGAGAGTTTCCCAGCCCAACTCTTCGAGTTTTTCCTGAACAAGCTTTGCAACGTGTGGACGGGCGTTATCTTGAATGAACTTTATGTTTGAAGGATCAAGGCCTTTTTGTAGCAATACATTGTTCACTGGTTCCAGCTGTTGTGCATTCGTTGTGATTTCCCATTCTTCAATGGGAAATCTATTGAAATCATTGATTTTAGATTGATTTTCTGTAAGAAAACACTGCCAATCGTCAATTAAAACTAACACTGTCAATCGATTCCCCGAAAACCCCGATTGCAATTTTTCTGTTCAAAAATGTGGTTTTTGAACTTTAAAAGTGCAAAAAAGAAGGTCACCGCGTGTTCCCTGTGCGCGAGCACAATCGCGTTCGATCTGGCATAGTACGTTTGGGCATATAGCTCCCTTTTCGCTAACCAAATCGGAAGCGTCCATTTTGGGTCATCTGGTAACCAATCCGTTGTCTGCCCCATGTGGTCACCGCTTCCCAAACTAACTTCGGCTGTAGGATTGGCTAACCCAATTCCGGCTCATTTTGGCCACAATGGCGGGTTCTCCGCCGGTCGAAATGGGATTCCAAGTGCCTGTAAAAGGGTGGTGAAGGGAGCCGCTGTGAATTTTTGGATTCATCCCAAGGATTTCGGTCCGCAGGGGCAGCAAAAAGCTCATGAAACGAAACGAGCAAAGCTCAATGATACTCGACTCCCACCAATAGGATCTATCAATCGACGACGGTACATTTGATTTTAAAAAAACCAAGATTTTCCCTTGTTATGCTTGATGGATTATTTGACTAATTTACATTAGAATTAGAAAATACTTATATAAAATTCATAGATGCGCAACTTTTGAAAAGAGCCCCCGAAATAAATACACGGATTGGGTTCAAATCGATGAGAAGCCTCGTCTCGAATGTGATATTATGCTGGTGTTGTGCGAATGAGTGAATAGCTCAACGAAATCATCGCTCTACGCGCACATGTACACTCAGACCTATCCAAAACAGTTACCTTGACTATAAGGATCATTTTTGATCCCTATACAGAAAGAATCGACGAGAATTGTTCGGTCCGAAACCCATTCTCCAAAGGTCGCCGATGGGAGCTTCCACCCGGGCGTTCATGTGATGATCCTCGATTCAAGGGGACAATTCCCCATGAGAAGGTAATAAATATTTTGGGAGATTATGGATAGATCTATCGGAGCTATAATATAATTGTACAGACAAGCCCCGAAACTCATGGAGGAACAAATGGAAGCCTTTCCGATGGACCTCCCGACGAGAGTCGATCAAAACAGCAAGCCGATTTCAATCGCAATGTTTTTCGGTCTGTATTATGACACAATAACACAACTCCACCCCAAACGGTCATATATGTTCGGTTTCAGGAGAGCTACCCATCGATGTGGACGCCATAATCTACAGAGACGCAAAAGTGGGAAGAACATTGAATCAACACGAGTCTTGTTCCCGGTACATGGTCAACGAGACGTTTTTCCGGATCGAACATGAAGTAGGGAAGAGTTTGTTATATACATAGTTTGCATATGTTCCTACACTAGTTGACACGATCTCGTTTAGGATGCCGGCTACAAGACGATGTGGGCCTCGGTCTTGTCGGGTCTCATTTATGCAAAAATCGGTTGCAAGGGGTTCTTGCACCAGATCTCCCCACATTATATTAGGTTGTCCAGTTATAAATGCATGCCTGCTCTTGAACAGCATACCTTAGGGCTTTTTATTTTATCAAAAGAAAAGGGAATTGATTAGCCCTGAGCGCTGACAGATTACTTGCTAATAAACCGAACATACCTTGTGGTAGACGAAGATCGGAAACCATAGCAAACGCATATGAACACCACGGAACAATAAGAGTAACATCTGGGAGGAGAATCTAGAAGTATTTGTGAGATTCAACCTTTTCTGGCTCAATTTTTAAAAGGGAAAAATTATTAGAGTTTCTGGCAGAGGGTCAGTTTCAAGTGATGTTGTTACACAGCATTTTAGTAGTACAGTAGTACAGTATACTGTACTTTTTTCACCTACACCAACTAGAATAGGATCTTTGCTGAATTTAAAAGATTATGGTATTGAAAACGTTGATAGTTGTGAAGCTACTTCAGTTTAAAATTGCAGTTCATAATAAATAATTGCAGCGAAGAGAATAAATAAGTTTCAAGGTTCGTTACAAATATACACATATGGCACAGATCATTATTGCAAGACGAGCTCTCCACGATAGCTGCCAGCGGGAAGAACGCTCATTTCGATTCCATTGAAGTATGCGTGATGCAAGGCCTTTTTGGATGAGATACGACAAGCCGGATCATAAACCACCATCATCTAAAATAGCAAATTAGGCTACTCATAGACTATGACTTCCCTGTAATTTATAGTTTGGTTAATGTTTTCCAGAACCATTCCTTTAGACTTGACTAGCCAGCATTAGATGCATTGTCTCTACTAGACAATCTTACAATTGAATTAATTTGCGAATCTTTTGAGTCAACTAAAAAACATTCCCAATTTATAGTTTTGTGTCCAACAAGCCTTGTTATTTTATTTGAAAACGAAAAGATCATCTGACAATATTAAGCAATATTCGTCAACTTATAGTAATAGATATTCAGAAACATTTGACTAACGTCGTTTGAACATGGTTTTTCTTGGTTTTTATGATAATAATTGGATTAACAGGCCATATCTTATCAGATTTAGCAAGAAATCCACCCGTTCTAAGCAATTAGTAATTTCATGAGCTTCATCATTCGTACTTGAGAATGATAGTGTAGTTTTGAACCTAATATTTGGTAAATTAACCAGATTCTGTTTACTATTAGGCTAGTTTATGGAATTGGGTTAACTTTTTTTCAACTTCAACACTTCAAGTATCATATGATTAGCTGCTCAATACTTGACCAGTGTACCACATTTTGAATGCACTTTCCACTTTTGACAGCTTTCCTATAAATTTCCGTCAATTCCTGACAGCCTTATCAACCTGTCAATTACTTGGTCAGTGTTGTAAGTACTTCTTCAACTCCAGAAACAATCTCCGTTGTGGTCTAGTGGTTAGGATTTATGGCTCTCACCCATAAGGCCCGGGTTCGATTCCCGGCAACGGAATGATCTTTTGCTTTTGGCGAGAAAATAATCATCAACATTTATCATCCTCAAACGTTCAGCTTTTGATGGTCTATATTTCTATCAACAAATACTTTTAACATGTCTAGTGCATCTAGCACTCTTCGTCCGGAACTTTTCCTTTGTTTTTATGATAATAATTGGATTAACAGGCCAGATGCTCATCTTACCAGATTTAGCGAGGAATCCATCCGTTCTAAGCAATTAGTAAATTCATGAGCTTCATCATTAGTACTTGAGAATGATAGTGTAGTTTTCAACTTAATATTTAGTAAATTAACCTGATTCTTTTTACTACGGATTTCTTGGAGCAAAACTCTGGCATGGTTCTTGAACTTGTCATTTTATAAACAAATCCAAGTTATCCTCACTAGTAACAGTTAGAATGGCATTACTAAATCACTCCAATATATAGAACCTATAGTTGTCAGTCAAATATCTACCAAGGTTTGTACCAGACCCATTCCTTTAGACTTGATTAGGCAGGATTATATGCATTGACCTCAAGTGCGCATTCTGAAAATAGCTGAACCATCAAAAGCTGAACATTCATGAATGATAAATGTTGATGATTATTTTCTCGCCAAAGGCAAAATATCATTCCGTTGCCGAGAATCGAACCCGGGCCTTATGGGTGAGAGCCATAAATCCTAATCACTAGACCACAGCGGAGATTGTTTCTGGAGTTGAAGAAGTACTTACAACACTGATCAAGCAAATTGACAGGTTGATAAGGAGGAAGCTGTCAAAAGTGGAATGTGCATTCAAAATGCAGTACACTGGCCAAGTATTGAACAGCTAATCATATGATACTTGAAGTGTTGAAGTTGAAAAAAAGTTAACCCAATTCCATAAACTAGCCTAATAGTAAACAGAATCTGGTTAATTTACCAAATATTAGGTTCAAAACTACACTATCATTCTCAAGTACTAATGATGAAGCTGATGAATTTACTAATTGCTTAGAACGGATGGATTCCTCGCTAAATCTGGTAAGATGAGCATCTGGACTGTTAATCCAATTATTATCATAAAAACAAAGGAAAAGTTCTGGAAGAGACAGGTTAAAATTAGGACTAGACATGTTAAAATTATTTGTTGATATAGACCATCAAAAGCTGATAAATGTCGATGATTATTTTCTATCTGTCGATGATGTCGATGATAAGCAAAAGATCATTCCGTTGCCGGGAATCGAACCCGGGCCTTATGGGTGAGAGCCATAAATCCTAACCACTAGACCACAACGGAGATGATTGCTGGATTTGAAGAAGCACTTACAACACTGACCAAGTAATTGACAGGTTGATAAGGAGAAAGCTGTCAAAAGTGAAATGTGCATTCAAAATGCAGTACACTGGCCAAGTATTGGCTTAGAACGAATGGATTTCTTGCTAAATCTGATAAGATCTGGCCTGTTAATCCAATTATTTCCATAAAAACAAAGGAAAAGTTCTGGAAGAGACATAGTGCTAGATGGACTAGACATGTTAAAAGTATTTGTTGATAGAAATACTCGAGTCTCTAACAAATCATCTGTTCCATTGTGTTTTGAAACATCGTGTAAACTGTTTATTTCGAGTAAAACCTTTACAAGGTTGAGAAAAATGATTCAAAGAAAGGCAATTGTAAATCACAAAAGCACAGCGAAAACTCACAAACCAAACGACGAACTGCTTTGATAAATTTGAGCTTTTTGATTCTTCTGAGGCTTGAAAAGATGTATTTTATTGTAAAAATTGTGAAAATTGTTAAAATTTCTAGAAAAAGCAACTACAGTAATAAATTTCTTTACAAAATCACCGGCAATAAAGAGAAATTTATCGGTTTTATAGTGGAAATGAAGCTTGTTTTGAGATTTTCAACATTCACAAATTTACAATGTCCATATTTCGTAGCTGAAAAGGTTTGAAACCTTTTTGGCTAGCCGATACGGTTTGAAATTTAAAACCATTAGAAGAAAATACTCTTTCTCAGCTTGATCGTTTAATATTATGATATTTAATTTCCATTTATGGAAACACCTTCTAGAATCACGATCAACAAAAACAAACAAAACAAACAAACAAAACAAACAAACAAAACAAACAAACAAAACAAACAAACAAAACAAACAAACAAAACAAACAAACAAAACAAACAAACAAAACAAACAAACAAAACAAACAAACAAAACAAACAAACAAAACAAACAAACAAAACAAACAAACAAAACAAACAAACAAAACAAACAAACAAAACAAACAAACAAAACAAAAAAACAAAACAAACAAAACAAAACAAACAAAACAAAACAAACAAAATCAACAAAACAAACAAAACAAACAAAACAAACAAAATCAACAAAATGAACCAAATCAACCAAATCAACAAAATCAACAAAATCAACCAAATCAACAAAATATTTGCCTATCCCAATCGGTTAATAAGCTTAAAATATGATGATTTCACGTGTTGTTGCAATTCTTGTTATTGTGACAACGACTATTGCAAATAACATTTGATTTAAAGCATCCGCACCTTCCATTCCCATATCCATTTGTGCAGTTGCCCTAAAAGTAAAGAATAGAAAAGCTCTTATTGAAAAATTAGTGGGATGAACTAAAGTATACCTTGCGAGCCCGTCAATGATTGGCATCAATAGCCGAAACGATGTTTTATTCATTCATTCATTGACTTATCTTCAACTGCCAAAAAGTTGCTGCTAGCGGATTCAAATTGATTCCTTGATAAGCTGATAAGCTAGCTAGATTTCGCTAATAACATAGCCAGTATTTAGCCAGGATTTAGGATATTGAAGTATGCCATTAGAAGTGTCAATCCGGTAAAATCCATCTTCCGACTCGATAAGTCATTACGCCAAAGAGTGAAGGATAGCCAATCTACAGCATCGATCAGCAAACTGACTAGCCGATGACTAGACAATCAGCAAACTGACTGTTGTTCCTACTTCAACTAGCTCAAATCTAAAAACTTGTAGAATAAACAAGTCGACCAAGAAACCCTGTTCCTTGAAGGTTCAAGCATTTTCTGCAAGCATTTTCGGTTTCACATGTTCAGCTTGTTTTCTCAGCTAGCTTCTCTTCTCTTCGGCTAGCCGATAATCTTCCAAACCTTTTCGGCTACGACAAATATATTGTTGAGCTTCTTGAGATCTGTTTTTGATTCAATCTAACTACGATACTTCTCCGGAATTTCTCAAAGGAATCAAAACTGTCTTTTACCATGAAAGCCATCAAGCAAAGAGCTTTCCATCTCAGAATTGGCTGTCTATTGGCTGTCTATCACATTTCGATCAAAAAAGTCAAGTGTTTCATGAGAAAACTTTGGAAAATGAATCTTCGAATGAATCTTCGAATCAATCTTAGAAGCCCCATCCCAAAAAACTTCTTTTGGCGACAGTGTGTAAGTTGAGCAATCCCGAAGCTCAGACCTTGAAAGGAACTTTGAAAATTGCCCACTTTTCCATTCCAAAACTTTGGGTAACTCGGAATGTACTGTTATTTGCAAATTTTCGCAAACAATTGGTAAATTTCTCTTGGAAATCCTCACAAAATCAGAATATCGATCAAGCAATAAGGAAAACCTTTTCACAATCTGAATTTTAGGCCAAAATTTGAAAAAACTGAAGTTGTCTGGCTTTTCTTTTGATCCGTTTAGAGTTTTATTCTCAAAAATGCGAATTTCAAAGTTTTTTGCGAATTTGAGATTTCGGAATAGTCGGTGATGAGTTGCTTTGATGAAAATTTGATGGTTACAAGTCTCGGAAAAGAATGGATAATTAAAAGAGACGAATTTGAGTTTTTCTTGTACTCAATGGAGTAAAATGATGGAAAGATTCGAGCTGAATATCTCATTTTCTGAATATCTCACTTTCGTTTCGTTTCGTTCGTAAATTCTCATTGAAATCGTGTTAACTTTTTTCGAAAAAGGTCCATAAAATAGAATTCGATGACGAAGATTTTTTGAGATTTTTACAAATTTCAAAGCATCTTCGAGAAATAAGTGCTCAAAGATTGAGTCTTGCAAAAGTGATGGCAAAGATTTAAATTCAAATCTTTGCTTTACAACTTGTTTCATGGCTAAAGGAATAAGTTACTAGGAATGGGAAAAAAATTTTTTTGAATGATTTGAATTGAAATGGTAAAGATTTCAATTCAAATCTTTCCTTTACAACTTGTTTCATGGGTAAAGGAATAAGTTACGAGGAATGGGAAGAGGAAGAGCAATGGGAAATTTTCAAAACTTATACTGACAATCAATCAGTTCCACATAAATGTCTCTCTTTTCTCTTTTCAATCTGCTTTTTCTGCTTTTTCTTATCTCTTTCACTCAGCATCACTCAAAGAACGAACCAATTTGCGAATTGCAAACAAATTTGCACATTGACCTCTTAACTGAATTCAGGTTTAAGTTTGACTCGTTCATTTCAAATTCAACTCAAATTGAGATTTGAATTCATTGAATTCAAATGAATTCAAATTTCAATGACTGCTGAAGACTTATAGATGTCATAGCCGTTTACGAAATTCAGCCGCTAACGAATCATTCGTTAACGGCTAGCGAAAAATTTCATTCGTCAACGGCTAGTCGTTAACGAATGATTCGTTAGCGGCCACGACACGCCACGACATATACAATGCTTATACAGATTTTCGATGCCTTCTTTTAAGAACAAAGTTCACCCAAAAGCAATAAACTAAATTTTAGGTTACAATAGATTTGATTACTTTGCTAAAAATGATCTAGACAAGTTTCAATCTTTTATTTAAACAATCGAATTGTTTCTGATTTTCGAGAGAGCCAAACAGTCCTCTACGCTCGGATCACATGTATATCTGAAAGGAATTTCAATGAGATTTAACCTTTTCGACCTTTTAACTGAATTCAGGTTTAATTTTGACTCATTCATTTCACATTCGACTCAAATTGAGATTTGAATTCATTACGGACATGACTGCTGAAGGCTTATATACAATGCTTATACAGATTTTCGATGCTTCCTTTTGAGAACACAGAGAACAAAGTTCACTCACAAGCAATAAACTCAGTTTTAGACTAAAATGGATTTGATTACTTTGCTAAGAATGATCTAGACAAGTTTCAATCATTTATTCGAAAAGTGGGATTGTTTCTGATTTTCGAGAGAGCTAAACAGTCTTCTACGCTCGGATCACATGTAGATCTGAAAGGAATTTCAATGAGATTTGGTTGATTATTGATTCCTTGTGTATAAAACCAAAAAGCTATATGATTTGATACTCCAATTTTGAGATGAGACCGATCGCCGATCATCTCACAATTCTTTTGCACATGAGTCATCGGTTCATTCCACGAGGTGCCAAGTACAAAGTATTGGTTTCTCATTTGACAACCTAAACCAAGCAAAATTCAACTCTACGGTTTGATCAACGAAAACCAAGTTTTTATGTTTTCTCCCATGCCAGAATGGACATAAAAATATAAATTTTAGTTTTAGTGATGTAAAAATAAACATTTAACTATAAACTCAGATGAAACAACCAAAATAAACAAATAAAAAGTGAGAATCATAACTTAAACATCAGTATTATCAAATCATTATCTGTTTCGATTTCTCCAACCAACACCAACGACTTCTTTGTTTTTCTCTTCTTCTGGATCAACTTGCACCACGATCGGGTTGTAAAAGGACGCTGCCATTTTGAAAAACTTCAAAAATCGATCCTGGCTGCTTGTATCACAAGCTTTGAAGAACAGTAAATGAAAAGAACTTGAAGAACTGACGGTTTTTTCACTTTTCTTTCTCTAAAAACGTTTCCCCTTCATAATTTTAAACCAAGGTTGGTTTGGAGTCTCGATCAGATCGTAAAGTTGAATTTAGCCCTAAATCAAAAGATAACTGTGTTTAGTATACCAGAATTACACCCTAAAATTCAAATTCACCATTCACCATAATGGCTTTAGTGCGACACATTCACCCAAAGCCACTGGTTGCTCATTTGTGCATTGATCCTTGAAGGATTTAAAATGCTCAATCTTCGGATGATCACTCAGCTTTAAAGAATGTTCATCTCAATTAAGTAACAAAAAAACATAACGATAAGGAACACAAAGATTGAGAATACTTTCATATAGAGAAATCCCGTCATTGTTCAAACAAGAACTTTAGTGGATCGCCAAAAACCAGCAAATGACCTCGTTGTTCCCTCAAAATGAACCCTCTTTGTCATAGAGATTTGATCAGAAAATCCCCTTTTACCAAAGATCATCCACTCATGAATCACTTCCACAAAACTTTAGTGGAACCTTTTGATTGAATTTTGTTGCTTTGTCATTTGGATAGTAACGAGCGCGTAATGTAAGTATTATTGAAATGAATGCAAATCATTTATACAGACATTGGGCACATAAGAAAAAGAAAAAAGTAGTGTTGATTGAGGAATTTCACCAGCAAGTTGATTGCTTCTTGGTGTTCACGCTTACAATCCACCGAGCAAGTCACCGAGACCCCTGGAATTGAATTGGTTTTAATTATTTGGAAACAGACTCACAATCCATTGGTGAGTCCACCAACAACTCCGGTAAGACCTCCAAGTCCTCCAGTGAGTCCACCAACTCCACCAAGACCTCCAGTCAAACCACCAAGAGCATCAAGACCGGGTAGGACACTGAAATGAGATAAATGACAGATTTCTGTATTAAGACTTACACAAGAAGTTTCCCAAGAAGTGGCTCGATCAATCCCTCGAGTAGTTGACATACCAAATCCTGGACTCTTTGGAGGAGACCGATTTGTTTGATGAGTGAATCATCAACCAAAGACCAAGCGGGTGAAAGAACTCCAGTCAAAATTTGAAGACAGAGACCAGAGTAGAGATTTGATTCACCGGTCAACAATCCGGAGAGAAGATATTCAACATCAACCTCCAATTCTAATCCACATGGACCCATCGGGACGAGGACGACGGAGGGCAGTTCGAGGCCACCCTGGAATGGAGTTTATGAGATATTGAGTCATGAATTGAATACCTTGAGGATCTGCAGGTGTTGGATGGTGTATTTGTTGAATTGCGTTCCATTCACAGTCTCGACAGTCTTGTCCAAGATGTTCACGTGGCTGACTAAATGATTGACATGATCTTTCTCCTATTCGTTACTCACTGAAATCCAAGATACAATCCAATACTTGAAGATCTGGAATAAGCGGGCATTTACAAGTTCCATTCACATTTGGAATTGGAATCTTTGGGGTAACAGTTGGAAGAGTGACTGACGGGACGGACACCGGGGGAAGACTTCCAGCTAATAGTGGAGTGGCTAAGAAAGCGATGATGAAGATTGAAGTGGTCATTTTCTCGGAATGAGTAGAGAAATGAGAATGTAATGGTTGGATGTGATGCTTTTCCAGTGCCATCTTTTATAGTGCCAAACTTGGTCAAAATATTTTTAAACCATGATTGGTGATCAGCTTACGAAAAGCTGACTATGAGTTCGTTTTGAAAAGAGTCTGATTCAAACGATTGGGTGTGTTGACAGAGAAATTTCTTTATTGCTCAATGAGCCTTTTTTGAATGAACATAAAAATGAACAAAGAGAAATTTTTTTCTCCCAAAAATGAACCCTATTGTCAGATTGTTATTGACTATTATAGTAGGA